AACCCTAACCCTAACCCTAACCCTAACCCTAACCCTAACCCTAACCCTAACCCTAACCCTAACCCTAACCCTAACCCTAACCCTAACCCAGTAATAAACTAGTAAGAGCTTATCTCTTAACTCTTTTACTCTTTTCTTAATTTAATTAGTATTTTAATAAAATTATATTTAATACTTAATATATAATACCTCTCTTTTTATACTCTCTTTCTTTTATTTAATAATTACTTACTTAATTAAGCTCTAGATCTATTTATATTAATCTTCCCTCTATCTCTCTCCTTTATTTACTACAGTTATCACTATAAATAATATCCGCTGCCTGGTATGCAGTAGCATATGTAGCAACTTGGAGATGCGCAGTAATAGTTACAGGAAACACGGAGGTGTCGACAACGCGGAGCTTCTTCACGCCCTTGACCCGGAGGTTCGTGTCAACCACCTTGCCCATAGCTGCAGTTCCCATCGGGTGAAAAGTAGACCTGGTGCACAGTTAGTGCTTGCTATGAATAAAGATTGTTTAGACTTACGCAAGACCAGCGGCAATACGAGCATCAATATATGCGTCTGTCGACTCTGTCGTGAAGGTTTCAGTAAATCCTGTGGCACCTAACTCTCCAGCGATAATGTCTCGACCAAGAGCCGTCTTGTTCGAGGAGAGGAAGTCGATTTGGAGACGCATACCCTCGCGGGCAACGAACTTATCAACTTCGGTGGAGTGATAGTTGGGATTGATGTTAGGCACATCGTTGATATCAGAAGAGTTAAGAGTGACGCTCCCCTTAGACGTGGGCAGTAGGTTGATGAGCATGATAGTAACGGTGGTTCCGTCCGGTGTACCGGTGTACATGAAGACGTGCTCATTGAATGTGCGATTGGTCTTGAGCAGAGGATGAGTCTTCGGATCAGGCTTCTTCCCCTCGTCCTTCTCAATAGCAGCGGCCAATCCGGCTTTGTCCGTGATGCTAGTCGTGACGAGGAAGTCTGCCGGTGTTCCATAGCCGTATTGTGGCAGATTCCATAGCGGGTTGGGCGAGGTGACAGCATAGCCTGCCGATGGGTTCTTCAAAGTCCACAATGATGCAAAAAGACCATGGTCTTGAAAGTTCTTGCCAACATCGGGTTGAGATACGCGGACGGGGATGTTGAACTTCTTCAGCTCATCGGCTGGTCCGATTCCGGAGAGCATGAGAAGCTGAGCAGTGCGGATGGCGCCAGCGGACAGGATAATCTCCTTCCCCTGAATCTCAGTTCCGTTGGCGAGCTTGACGCCAGTGGCTTCGGGCTCTTGGCTCGACGCAGTGGGAGTGCTCAGAAGGACTTTTGCGACCATGGTCTTAGTGAGGACAGTGACTCCGCCGAGCGGGAAATTGTTCGAGGCAATTTCACGGCGGCCCTTGAGCTTGTTCTCAAAGAGATCGCCAATACCGAGAGGGTTGCCAGCGTTGCCGTCAACGTTGGGAAGCAGCTGAACGCCAACAGCTTCCCATGACTCAAGAGTCTGGTTGCGCAGTGGGAATTCGCGATGGGTAGAGATGATTCCTTGGATAGGCAGAGGACCGTCTTTGCCGTGCTCTTTCGGGTTGTCGACAGGGCAGTCCTCACTGAGTTTCATGTACGGGAGGAGCCCAGCATAGGACCAGCGGTGATCATCGACGAGGTCGCCCCAGAGGTCAAAGTCATACTTGTCGCCGCGAATCCAGCCACCTGAAAGAGCACGTCAGCATGGACTCTCATATAGTGTCAGTGCCTTGCGCTGTCAATGCGCCTGGATGCAAAACGGCTGAGGTGCCTTGACCTGGGCTTCTTCACCTGAGTTGATAACAGTGCCGCCTCCAAGCGCCTTGCCGCAAGGCAAATCAACATTGCGGTTGTTCAAGGCCACCTGCGGGACCGTCTTGTACTTCCAATCATACTCTCCACCGATGAGGTTGGTTGAATTGGGCCACATGACACTCTCGTCGTTGTTGGCGTTGCCTCCGGCCTCGATGACAAGGATCTTGAGGGACGAGTTGAAATGGTGGAGACGGTTGGACACAACGGAGGCGGAGAGGCCACCGCCGACAAAAATGTAGTCCCAGAGCATGGTGGACGCTTCCTCTGCCGTTGTTTGGGTAGGCTGGTTCGTCGACTTTGCCATCTTGAACTCACAAGAGCGGTCGAACAGGCTTATATGTGCAGAACGCGGAACGTTGTACTTAGACTATCCGATCAGGGCTTCTATTGATTGCTCTTCCAGAACCCTGCGGTTAGGCCGACAATCAAGAATCAATAGTCGGTTTCGGACGGAAGCTTCAATATAAAACACCCCCAGGGATAGATGCTTGCTTCTGCACGTCAGCCAGCTTGCTGTGGGTATCCCAGCGGATGTATTGGCTTGAGCTCAATAAGGTAGTAGATAGTCGGATACGGGATGCGCGATGCGTAATCCTCGAGAGAAAAGGAAACAAGGACGCAGACTTGTCCTTTAAATATTCGTTTGTTTACAGACCAACGCGCACTCGCTAACTACGCCAACATCTATTCGGCTTCTTATCATCGCTCGCGTCGCATCAACCAGAATTGTCGTGCCATAGACGTCCAACGCTCCTACCGAAGAGGCTTCGACAACGAACGATGTCCTGCGGCTTGAGAGGGGTAAGGGCGCCACATGGAGAGAGCGTGCTCGGCATGGGGAAGATGAGAGGAGACGAATGAGAGCCTCTGCATGGATAAAGTTCCTGACGCCACTGTCAGCATGTCAGCTCTCTATGCGCAAACGCTTCTAGGTATTGTCCGTTTTGGGCATCCGGGGCCGTTGGTCCAGGGTCTCGTCCAAGATTGTTGCGCGATTTACCCAATATGTTGTATGCGCTATCAGACACAGTTCGAATTGCAAGCGGGAGCATCAACGCCGACCCCTGTGCTGATCAATGGGAGTTGGACTTTCGCTTTCCCTAACTGGTCTGGAGCCGGTGATATACGCACGTGCTTCCTGCGGGATCGAAACGCTACGGCATATAAGTTGACTTGTCAGCTTTTGAGGCACAGACTGGAGACGCACGGGTGGCTAGGGAGCCTCCCTAGTTGCCGCTTCGGCCGCTTCGGGTATAAAACCTAGTCTCATCCCCTGTCATCTCCTGCCACTCTAGGAGCTAGTGCACTTGGCCTGCGGACGCAATGGCACACAGGTGCTTCGTGTCTCGTATGAGTCCAGAGAAGGATCTTACAGTGAAACCCTCTGCGATCGTCGAGGTTGCAGTGGCGCTCACGGACGGGTAAATTCGAGCCATCGATTTTGCGCACTGGTCAATGCCGTACAAAACAAACTATAGCCGTTTCGACCCCTACCTGGCCTATCCTGATCACATCGCTTATCGAGTGTGGCTGCTGGCTCCACGTTCTCTACGTATGGAATCAGTGGGCGTAACATTTGTAGGATTATAACAGTCACCCGCATGCCCTCCGCCTCTTGTTCCCATTCTGATCAACTGTGCATATTACATACGTGTGTTGGACTTCGATAGTAGCCAGCGCACTTCCCTTGTCCTACCCATGCCTACACAGATCCAGATCTGAGTTGCGATCGATTGTGAAGACAGATTATCCAACGTCTTTATGATATTGCGACTCAAGCGGTGCTGAGGTCGCAGCAGCAGCAGCAGCAGCAGCAATGGCGGCACCAGAGGCTTCGCCGATAGTTGGGAGCGAGCTCCCTCCCATCAATCATTACGGTGCTGGCATCGTTGCTCTCTCGGTGGTAATGCCTATTATTGCCACTGGATGGTTGGCGCTGAGGGTATGGACTCGACGGATAAGAGGGATCTCGCCCTTCCTCGTGGAGGATATCTTCTGCTATATTGGTCTGGTGAGTACCTCTCAACAATAGACGCGCAGGTGACGCTTGAAGCATAACGATGACTAAAAAGCTCTTGGCTACAGTTCCTCTTCTGGGCAATGGGTATTAACGGCATCTTGAGTACGTGGCGATTACCGATAGCATTGCAGAAGAACACCACGACCGTGATACTAACGAAGAATCCCAGTGGTCGTTTACGGTGGTCTCGGAAACCACCTTCGTCAGCTCCAGCCGATTCAAATCCTACGGTATTCTCAGATTCTCTTCGCCAACCAGGTTCTGTATGCCACTGCTTTGGGATTCACCAAAACCAGCCTCGCACTCATGCTGAAGCGCATCTTCTTCACTCAGTCGTATAGCTGGGTCGCTTATTGCGTAATCGCGCTCAATGTCTCCTGGGTGATTCAGACCATCTTGACGGGCATCTTGATCTGTCAGCCTGTCACCATGAACTGGGACCCGACCGCGCGGGGCCATTGCGGTAACCAGACGCTCGCCTTTGCGGCGGTTAGCATTGTTGATATCATCACCGATCTGGCAATCATGATTCTGCCTCTTCAAATGGTATCAAAGCTCCACATGAAGAGGACGTATAAAGTCGCTCTGATGGGCGTGTTCGGTTTAGGTTTCGTGTAAGCTTCGCAGTTCACAACACAAATCCCGCCTTAGACTTGTGTCCACCCACTAACTCGCCAGTTAGAACCATCATCTTCACAGCTGTCCGTCTTTATCTCGTTTTCAACGTCGACTTCCTGGACATTACGTTCTCCGCGATACCTACAACCATACTCGGCATATTGCAACTTGGTGTCGCCAACATAGTAATCTCTGCGCCACTGCTTCGTCCAGTGCTGGACAGAACTCTGGGTAAATGGTTTTCCCTCTCTGTGGTCAATGGCTCCCGCGGTACGCCTGCGGCTGGCTCTCATCCCAGCGGTATCTCAAAACCAGGAAGCTCTGCAAACCTAGGCCTGCATACCAGTATCCACGGTCGTCCGAGGGCACCGGGGAGCAAGAACTTCCACCGGATTACCGAGAGCGAAGAAAACCTGAGATGGGAAATGGATGTGATGCATTCTGACAAAGGCAGAACCACATACGCGGCGTGGCCAGAGGGAAGCCCAGAGAGCGTAATGGAAATGGGAACGACGCCACCAGCGGGCAAAATTTTGAAGATTCAATCTACGGAGGTGACACATGAATAGCGGTTTCGTTCAGGATACCCTTTGAGCTAATAATTGGAGTTGATTTGGCGCTTGGTGGGCAATTTTGAAAAGGATATCCCCAGAAAGGCAGGAAGTTCAAGTCTGAAGCTGTATCAAACACAATTACCTTAATTAGTAATAGACATGATGGCGATATAGCAAACGTACCTGTCTGCGCTCTACACTGGTGTTGTAGCTGTTTCCATTAGTCCAGGATTGTAGTAGAAATGCCGACTCTATCACCAGACTGCTGATAAACAGCGTCGAGAACGGCGCCGTTCCAGTGTGAGCAAATGGAAATGACTGCTGCAGGACGCGATGTCCGAGACACCTTCTCCTCGTAGAAGTGATTTGCTGTTGTTTAAGCCAGGGAAGATAGGATAGTTCACACATTGTTTGCTGACGCCATGTAACTCATTGTGGATTAGTGCTTAGTGCTTTGCAACATGACTCGGGTTTTCCAAACTTAACATGGCGAAGATCGTGGTCAGCAGCAGAGACCGATGTCACCCAATTCCTCTTAGTGCCATTTAACACAGCCGACAGCCTATGCACATATCGCTACCGACGATAATCAGAGACAGGGACGAGATCATGGGTCACTACTCATAACGGCAGGAGAACAGTTGGGTTGCAGCTGTAGCCTCATTCCTCTGCACACACTGGGTTCGAGATCCATTTCAAGGCAAGCGAAATGATGAAACAACCATGTGCAATCTCCATTCAGATGCAACGAGCCATTCCCAGCCTACTCACCGTGACTTGTTGAATCAGTCGACGAACGCTTTCGTCCCGGAGACTTCTCGATCGCCGAACCACTCGCGGATATCCCAGAGCAGTAGATCGGGCACCTCGTAGGCTGCAAAGTGACCGCCATGGTCGTGAACGTTTCTCTTGATCACATTACCACCACGCGTCGCCCAATCCAGAGGCAGTCGATAGGTGATATCAAAAGGGAACTGGCTGATTGCCACTGGTATCTCCACCAACGGCAGAGTGCCAAAGTCAAGCCCGTCAAGAGCACCATCTTCAGCCACCTCCCTGTAGAAGCGCATACCGGCATATGGTCCTTGGATGTAGTACATCATCGACCAGGTAATTATCTCTTCTGGGGTCCAGACTTTGATTGCTGGATCGACGACTTCTGCCATCAAGGCGTAAATCCACATGGCATTACCTAGCGGAGAATCCGACACCGCAAAGGCCGCTGTGAGTGGCTGCGTCTCTTGTATCAAGCGATAGCCAGATGCCTGGCTGATATAAGTCTCCAATGTCGCAATGTACGCTATTTCATCAGGAGTTGCTACTCCTTCTGCAAGTTTGCGAATATCTCTCTGATCTGGCTGAATGATCCAGAAATTGCTCAATGCAGATACGACGTTGTTCGGAAACAAATGTGCCTGGAAACGAAGAATGACGCCGCCAAAATCTCCGCCCTGTATGACGTATTTCACGTAGCCGAGTTGCTGCATTAATTCGTTAAAGGCATGTGAAGCATGGGTAGGGCCAAATCCAGGGTGCTGAGGTGCAGGGGAAAATCCGAATCCCGGTATTGATGGAGCGACCACATGAAACGCCGGGACGGATTTGTTAGGCGGGTGAGTCAAGTCGTTTATGACGTTGCTGACCTCGAGGAATGAGCCTGGCCAGCCGTGGATGAAGAGGAGAGGAATAGCATCCTCGCGCGGCGAGCGGTGATGAACATAATGTAGCGGGATTGCGTTGGTGTCGTTGCCTATTGTCGGCTCAACAATGATTGTGAATTGCTGCAGTCTGAAAATCACCGTTAATGAGGTTCGCAAACCTAAGAACTACAATGTTGACTCGCCCTTTATTGATAGACTCCTCGACAGCGCTCCAGTTGTATCGATGGACCCAATATTGCTGAACGTTCGTAAAGTTCTCCATGGTTGGACCCTCGTATGTTGTCTCTATGAAAGCGGGGGACCTGGCGCGCAGGACACGCTGTCTTGTGTCTTCGATGAAGTCTCGGTTAACGTGAAGTTTGAACGGCTTAGACACCTGGGAGAAGGTTGTGTTAACATTTGGGATAGAAAATGCATTTAATGCCCACACAATGTTGAAGAGGATAGCAATGTAGAGGAATATCATTATGATATGCTCTCCTCCTGCAAAGCTCTTGGCACAAGGAAGAATTTCGCTGTTCGTCTTTATGTCAACTCAGAGATTAAGGAAGATGCTTTGGTGACGAGATTCGGTGCTCTAAATGAATAGATTTGCGAGACAAGCCAAAAGGACGCGTGTAACCAGACTTGGAAGAGTGTCCAAATGGATAATTAATCGTAAAATACATCGTACAGATTCCCAACAACTCCACCCATGACCAATCTCAAAGCCTCCAACCCGCAGTACTAGAGAAGGATTTCTAAGCATAAATTTTTGGGGACCTGGATTCCTGCTGAAGACGAAAGCAAGCGGCGGAATTCAAGTCTGCAGAGCTGAGCTGTTCTATTACCATGCCCGTCGCAGACTTTACATCCGCGATAGTTCGGATGTAGACGTCAAACCCCTGTGTTGGGGCAGCTCCCCACAGCAACCTGACGAAAAAAAAGAGGAAAAGGGGGGAAAAGGCTTCGATATTGTCTCATGATGCGCATATTATTACTTCTTAATAGCTCATTCACTCTTCTTTCCCTTAGACAGGTGGAAGCCATGCTCTACCTTATTTAAAAAGCTGAGACGCCTCTCGCTCTCCACGGCCATTCTCATCAGCAACAAACATCTGCGCGACCCCGACACTGCCTGTTGATCTTATAATTTTGTTTATCCTGCTCAATTTTGGCAACGCGATTGCCTTTTGTTAAAATGGCCGCTATCCACGTCGGTACAATTGTCTTTGCCTACCAGGTCGTCGATAGCGCAGGCCCTACCGACCTTCTGACGTCCGCACGAAAATCTAGTCTTCAAGCCGTTCAGCAATACGGACCGATCGATGAGGACATCATATCTAGAGCACCTGAATTTTTTTTCCATTACATCGGAGTCGGCAGAGACCCAATACTGCTAGAATCAAGCCAGTTGACCATTGTGCCTTCGACCACTGTGGATGAATGCCCTGAAATAGACATTCTTCTCGTCCCCGGCCCGTACTTGAAGGACTTTGAACTACACCCCAAGCAGGTCGAGTTTATCCGCAAGCATGTGGCAGCGGGTAAGCTTCTTTGGACAACGTGTACGGGAGCCAGCGTTGTGGCATCCACAGGTGTGCTGGACGGGAAGAGCGCAACTGTTAACAACGTTGAGTATTCCTGGGTGCGCAAACGTTGGCCCAACGTCAACTGGACTAGAGAGAAGAAATGGATCATTGACGGCAATATTTGGACCGCCTCTGGGGCATTTGCTGGGGTAGACATGGTCGCGCATTGGCTAAAGGAGAACTACGGGCTGGATCTGCTCATTCAGGCCAGCAGTACCCTTGATTACGAGGCTCGAGACGCGGATGGTCTATACACAGTTTTCCGCCAAAGATACAACGCTGAAGGGAAGAAATTGTCCACTCATGTCTTCCGATACTACGACGAGGAATAGGTACAATAAGTGAATTGGTGGTTTAAGCGTTGCGCTCCCCGCCGGAGTACCTACCTAATCAAGATAGTTCTTCGAATAAAAATATGACGACTACTCACTCACTGTCCGCCACCTCGATCATGGTCGAGTTGAACTTCTGAGCTGGCACACGCCGGTTGAACAGGGTGTCGCTCTTACAGCACGTGCGATGTTTGAGCTCAGGAAAAGAAGAAGTAGGCCATGAACCAACGGACACAAGCAGTGCCTCCCAGACATAGCCACACTTGCCTGCAAGGTATTACCTGGTGGGGTTCAATGTTATGTTGTCAAATAGATCATGGGGGATCTCGGCGATATAATAGGCCGGACGATCAGAGCCAGTACTCAAAGGTTTAAGACGGCCGGAACAAGTCCCGGAAATGATAGTTGTATGAGGTTGGTCCGAGGTTTCCGGCGAAAACAAAAAGGATGATGATTGCAAGACAGGTTTGCGCGTATTTCATTGCGTGTATCTGTGAGATAGAGGCGCAAGTGGCGGGAATCAAGAGCAAGGCAACGTCGGTGATTGCTCGCCAGGGATAGATCGTCCGACGAGCGAACCATGTCGTGGGAAACCGAGAGCAGGCGTTGGCAAAAACCTGAAGGCGCGAATTGATCAACTTCAGTTGAAGGCACTATCGGAAGTAATGCCGGCCTCTGAGTAGGTAGATGTTAATCATCGGCTGTGGAGGACGTCTGAAGACGCAATTATATGCATTCATGTTTAAAGAAGAAAACTGTTTGGCTGGCAATAAGATCACTCGCAAAGTTCTACGAGGCGTATATAAAATACGGATAGACCTTCGTCTCTGGTCAATGCCCCTAATATCAAGAGATCGAGCAGTATAGGTGCACCGCTCAATTACTTTTCGGTCTCAACCGTTCAATCTGTCATGGCGAGTGTCCACTGGCTGCTTTGCCCAACCTACTACCAAGTAGTTCAATGAATCTCAAAGCATACTTTTTATTCACGCGTGGAATGAGCCACCACGGAGATTCGGGAGCGGTGAAGATGAGGACCAGCACTAGGGTCTGAAACTCATAACAAACTTTCTAATAACCATTAAGAAAAGTCTCTACATGCACCCAAACTACCAATATATGCTACTCAAAGTGTCTAGAAAAGTTTATCTCTATTAGAGATATAGCTTGGCAACATTCATGTTTATATAAGATTCCCTATAGTTATATATATATAATGTGTGTAAACAGTTTCTGCTACTTTGCTAATACCTGCGGCATAGACTATTGCATTATATGCTCAATTTGTTTATCTGCCTATTATTAATGTGTAGAAAGAGGTTGAAAAAAACTTTCGACAAAGAGTAAAATCACGGGGCAACGTGACTATATTAACTAGTTATGAATAGATATGATTTAAGTAGCTTGCGAGATATAAGGGAAATACAGAATGTGATTTTAGAGAAGAATAAAAACAACTTCTAGGTCAGGTGCTTCTTATATTTAACTAATACTATTAGGTCTTAAGCCTGTGTAGCGGCAGGTGAGATAGAGCATCGCAGTCTGGGGCAAGATGTATCTAGGGTTTACATAATAGTAGACTTGTGCTATGGGTTTAGACTAGGGAAGTTTGTAGCGGTTGATAAATAAATAGATACCTAGTCACTTTTCTCAACTCTCTATAAGTACAGGAATGTCTAATGCCAAGTTAGGCCGTTAGCCAGCTTATGGCAGACGCCTCTAGCCCCAGCCTCACTTTGCCTTATAGTCTAGTGTTACTATTATTACTCTTCAGCTAAACATTGACTTACGCTTGACAGCTGCTTGGGGGGTCTAGAAGTCGACCACTTCCTGCGTCAGCACAGCTAGACACATGCTGCTACGGGAAGTGGTCGACTATAAGACCCCCATAGTATGCGCTATAGAGTCATAACACTAGTTGAAGCCATACTAAGCGGAACTTGATGCTAGGTAACCTAGCATCGCAACACTCTTCATTTCCGCTTTGTGTATATCTTGTACCGTTTCTGCCACACCGAGATACGGAATTGATACGTGTACTCTTGTTTGTTAATCTGCGCCCACGCCGCATGATATGGCTGCTTAGTCTTCTGAATAGCTTCGTTGAGAAACGAGAGGGTGGACGCTTACGCTCGAGATTTTACTTTTGCTTAGTGCTGATTCCGGCGTCTCTTGAACTTCGCTTTACTTTTCAGTTATAAAACGAGGTGTTGCCCTCAAGGTCATAACCTGCAATATATTTCATCCATAGTCTACAAGTTCGTGGTTTAATCACTCATTCAGTTCTCATACATTATTTCAAGCTCGACATGGCTGAGCAGAGCCGGATTGAAGCATTCATTAACGAAGCCCTCGATCGCCAAGTCGAAGGTGGCCATCATGCATTATGGGATTGCTTAGCTGTATGAAGACCAATCCTCACTCATCTCGTGTGCCAAGCTAATTGCAAGAAGCTTGTTGGCCTCACGGCTGTCAATCAAGGCCATAACGGAGCTTATCTTTACAAGTCGGCACTCGAGAAAACACCTGCTGACTCTCGGCACTTGTTGTGGCGCCGCTATATTGATGCACTCTCGGAGATGCTTATAATCGTCGGGATGCCAAAAACGCTCAACGCCCTGTATGCAATGATGCCGTTGGTAGACAGGGGCGACCTAGCCTACGTGAAAAAGACCGACTGGGAAGCCGACAATTCAGCGAGAGGCTGGGAGTATGCTAGACTGACACATGGAGATGGTTGGCCCGAATCCTTCAAAGCCGCCAGTGCGTATGCACCAGACGTTGGTAAGTCTTCTGCCGTCAACTTTTTGCAAGTGCTAGGGCTGAAAGACGCACTTCATAGCACACATAGCTATGGATGTTTCAATGCAGAATCTCCTATCCGACTACTCGGTACACGACGGACAAGCGACCATGGCATTGCTGGTCACCGTTTTGATAGCAATGAACTGCCCGGTCCAAGCCTCTTGGCACGCAAAAGGATTCATCAGACACGGAGGGGATAAAAATAGTCTTGTCCATATCGCTGAGTTCGCGAAAAAGATCGTGGTCGCGACGGGAAATAGCCTTCCCGCTGATTTTCCGACTGTGGAAGCCATGCTGGAGGAACCTTAAGCCCCAACTCTTGAGAATATGTCCGGAGCACACGTGCTGGGTTAGTGGACATCTCAAGCATTTTTCTTTAAAACGATGGCTTGCTTCGTCATGCATGTTGGTCTCATTCCGTATTCCTCTGCTGGAATATGTCGCAAATGGCAATCGTCCACTCAGAAGAGTCTTATGAGGGCTGGTACTTGGGGTTGGGCGAACCGTGTGATGAAAAGTCATAGGTACAATTAGGCCAAGTCTTCGCTAATCGGAATTCATTGCCTTCTTTCGCGGACTTTGCAATTCTAGCTCATGACCTCGGGGTTGACGTCCTGGCACTTGGTAGTTCCCAATTACTAACGGCCTCCCGTGCTTAATAAAGAGTCTCGTCAAAGCTATGTAAAGGCCGACATGCGTCCCGCTTAGTGCGTTGTAACGCCGATGTCTCTTTTGCGACGGGTTTAAATTTCGGAAGACGCTATGGATTCGCTCAACCAACTGTCGCGTATACAAGCATTTCAAGCGCTCGTTTAACGAACTTAAGCAATCAAGGGTGAACTATTTATATATCTCCGTTTTAAAATCCGCCTTAATAGCAGGATAGAAGACAAACTGGTCGCGGTGATAGGTGATAGAATTTAGGCTCCCTGTTCACGGCATGTCAACAATTAGTCAAGGGTGTAGCCGGTATACATACACATATATATACACATTACAGATCTGCCTGTCGAGAACTGTGATGAAGGGCAGAAACAATTTCGACGCAGCTGTGCAATTACTCTCATAAAGAAGCGAAACGTTGTCATTGACGAGCCGCCGTCTCAATCACATCATCTGATTCACGGATTCCAAGACCAGCAAACGACCAACGATGTCCAGGGCACCGATCCTCATTACTGGCGCCTCCAGCTACGTTGGCGCCCATGTTCTCAAGCAATTCCTCTCCGAGGGCACTCCAGTCCGAGGCGTCGTACGCTCTCAATCTTCGGCGGACCGCGTCTTGAAGGTGAATGGCGAATATGCTTCACTTCTCAAATTCGCCATTGTCCCCGATATTACGGCGCCATGTGCTTTTGACGAGGCTGTTCAAGGCGTTGAAGGCGTCATCCATATTGCCTCGCCTTTCACCGCGAATATTCAAGACAGGGAAAAGGAAATGCTTATTCCCGCTATCGAGGGTACAAAGCAGGTGCTCGAATCGGTCTATAAATGCGCGCCTCAGGTGAAGCGCGTCGTCATGACGGCTTCGTTCGCGTCCATTGTCGACGTGAGCAAGGGCCTCCGAGACGGTTACGTCTATGATGAGAAAGATTTCAATCCCGCCACGTATGAGGAGGCCAAGTCCGAGGAGACTAGCCCTGTTTTTGCGTATTGCGCCTCCAAGGCGCTGGCCGAGAAGGCAGCATGGAAGTTTGTGGATGAAAAGAAGCCTCACTTCTCTCTCACTGTTATCAACCCGCCTGTCATTTACGGACCTAACCTACACTACATCGACGATCTCAACAAACTGAATACCTCGTCGGCCATGTTCTATTCTTTGATGAACGGCTCCCGCACCGAAGTACCGCCAACCGCCTTCTGGGCCATAGTTGATGTGCGCGATGTCGCGCTGGCTCACAAAAGGGCATACTATAAGCCGGAAGCAGGAGGTCAGCGTTATCTGACCACTTGGGGCCGCTTTAGCTTCCAGCAAATCTGTGACATTCTGCGGGAAGAGTTCCCTGAACTCCGTGACCGTGTCCCGGTTGGCAATCCCGGAGAGCCCATCACCGGCGTATACAATGTGGACAACTCTAAGGTGAAGAGGGAACTCGGAATAGAATTTATTCCGCTGCGACAGATTGTGGTCGATACGGCGAAGAATTTCCTGGAAATTGAAAAGCGCCTTGCCACAACTAAGGAGCTACGGAATTAGATGGCATGAGCTTTTATGTCAATAGCTGCACATCTAGAACATTACCACATATCGTTAGAGAAATTGATAGGTTACTGAAGTTGGTCCGAATTTAAAATACTAGAGAACGAATTAACGGATACTTAAACCAGGGTCTTATGGTCAGGTTAAGACGTAATCGAGTGCATGTCCTCATTAACTGAACCTGCTACTGGAATACACGATCGACTGTTGACCTCAAACATAGGTGATTACCTAGGTAAGTAATGGCGCACATGTAGGTATGGTGCTATAGGAGCGGGACCGGCTCACACCGTCAGAGGAGGGTTGTAGTGAAGGCTGGTGTGGTCGCCTCGAAACACAGCAACAGCTCGATCACTTGGAATTTTCGCTCATAGACCTACGGAGTAGACCAGACTACGACTACCTCCTACCCAAGTTGCTACTAGGTACCTAGGTATAGGCGCTTTTGGCTGCCTGATTGGCGTGTTGATGCAGCACCGTGTTGTGTAAATAGCTTCTAACAGCCTCTGGGACCTTCCTTAATGCCAATAAATTTTACGTGTACTTCTTGCCTGTGGAGTATTTTAATCGGCGCTGTGTGTTTAGAGCGCTCAGTTTGTTGAAGCAGCAGTTTTGTAGGTTGTTGCGGGCTTTCACCCATCGCCGGTTGTTGAAGAATGACTAATAGCCAAGAGCCTTCATCACATGACTTGCAAGAGATTAGTGCCGTAATTGACCCGACATTTCAAAGATTCCGATTGGCAGGATTTGATCACGTGAATCCGCTCTAAACTCTGCCCCCTTCCAACTCCTTGCGTTATTTACATCTCCAGGGCCGTACTTCCTGATGTTGCATGCCTGAGGCTTGCGCGCCAGCTTCGCCGCCAACCCGCGACACGGTCGTCTCTCGCCTCTTTTTCACCTTTATCTACATGCCGTACATGCCTTGCCATGGGAGAAACTTTCGCATCACCATCTCGAACCCTTGACGATGACGACGTCTACGAACCGACACAGCCGTTCTCCTCGTGCGGGTTAGTGGAATAGTTCTTGCGCAATTCCACCAAGCTGGCGTGCTTGCGTGGATAGCCGTGCCGCTCCGCTTGGTGGCATTCTCTCGGAAGACAGTTGCCTGCGAAGCAAGACCGGGAAACTCCTATACATACTTGACACGTTCGCTGCCCAAGGTGAATCTGTCAAAATGGTAGGGGTCTTGCTGGCCGCAGAGTGCGAGTAGCAGTTCGTTGCAGTACGCGATGGGCTTGCGTAAGGTGGTTGCTGGATCCGCTTCTGCGCCAGCGACGCCTTGCTCCTCTCCTGCCTCCTTATGCCAGTACTGTCTCTGTGACAATGCCATTATGCGACGAGCGGCGGGACTCTATTAGCACCTCGCCCTCTGCTCCATCCACCTAGGCCAGCAATAGACCTAACATGTGGCCCAGTGTTCCTCCCATCTACCGTCTGATGTACTGACTCATCGGTCTTCTAGACCTCCATCTGCACCGCGACTCATCAGTGACAGGGACGAGCTGAAAGATGATGGTGGTAGTGATGACGGCGACATCGAGCAAGACGGCGCTGGCGAGGGCGGCAATGATGGGGACGACTCGGCTGTGCTTGACTCCGACACAAGTAACCGAGGGGATTCCCAAGTGGACATCACGTGTAGAAACATCACAGTCACTTGGGAAGATGCCAGTAGCGAGGCGAAACGCGTCGAGGGCCTGGCTCTTGATCTCTATTTGGATGCACCGACAAATACAGCCATTTTCAAACTCTACGGCTATGTGCTTCTGAAGGGTAGTAAGGACAAAAACAGCAAGCAAGCGATTTACTTGTTCATACATCCCGAGAGCCTTGTTGCCATATCATTGCAGACTGTTGATGCTGCTCCATCGTCAAATTCTACAATCCCTGGACGCAGCCGCCACTCCCTGTGTTTCTCAATGACGGCGGGACCTCGCCTCGTCGTTCCCAAGAATCTCGTTCTGGAATCCAGAGCCAAGACCCGCGCTTTGCTCGATTCAATCCAGGCCCTCGCCACTGTGAAGACTTTCACTGCACACTTCAGTAACCCCGACACGGCTATGTCATTGAGAGACGATCTGGAACTTATCGCGTCGGTGTTTTCGCTCCCGCGTGGTGACAACCGCCCGTCCACGAATTACCAGCGCGCCAATCTCACGACGCTCTATGCCGGCAGAGGGGGTGAAATTGTCAATGCGAGCAATGATGCGACAAACCTCGAATCGCACCTGCCTCCGTATTCCGAACCTGGGCCCAGCCGTAGCCGTACTTCCAGTAAGCATACTTGCCTCGGACAACTCAACCCCCTCTACGGACACTTTGGAGCTCATGTCGTTGATGAATACTTAGGTAAACGTAAGCGCGAAAATTCCGATACTGACAACGAACGCCCGTCCACAACCCAAGACCACATTCTGCTCGTTCTCAAAGCCATTTGTACCCGCCTCGACGGTATAGAGAACCGCATGGGCCAGCTTGAAGATAAAGTCTCGGAAGCCTTGGATGCTGGTCGCAGCCCGTGCCGATATGGAACAGAGGAGAGGACGGAGATATTACAAGAAGTCGACAATCGACTTGATGAATGCATAACGGACCTGAAGGTGGAATCTCACGACATAATCGAGGACCTCAAGGACGAAGTCGAAGGGACTTTACAACGACTCGATGATGAGACGAGTGAGCGCTTAGAGCGCTTGGGAGACGATGTGGACGACAATACAGCGAGGTTAGTGGAGAAGTGCGTGAAAAAGAGGCTGCAAAATGCCAGCTTGCGAATAGATGGTTCTGTATTCTTGGATGTTTAGGCGATTCAGCAGTTAACTTTCGTGACTTTCGCAATGTCACGTCGCTCGATGCGTGCCTTAGAATCTTGCGCCGCTGTGAAGTGCAATTTGGTAGAAGAGCTGTCGACGTCAAAGCTCTCGATTCCTCTTTCAAATCAGCTGTTTTAACCTCACGTAGCATTGCTTTGGCACCACAGTTGCCGTGTCAATACCCTCGTACGAGCTGAGTTCCGCAGGACACGCCTCAAATACGAAATTCCAAACAAGCATGGCCAACACGATTCTCAGCTCCATGTACGCCAATTTCTTTCCAAAACAGCCTCGAGGGCCACCACCAAAGGTCAGAAAAGGTCCAGCATAGGCGTTATATTCGAGCCCGTTGAACTCGCCTTCGCCACCTCCATCACCTTGAGCTCCGGGCTTTTCGTGGAGCCACCGCTCAGGCCGAAATTGTCCAATGTCATCCTTGTTCCACTCACCGACGCGGTCCTTCGAGTCTTGCGATGTGCTCGACCTGACCGACTCAGGGATATCGAATCCAGATTCCAGCTGCCCTCCGGGTCCATGATTGTAAATCATGATGCCTGTGCCCTTGGGAACCGCATGACCTAATATGGTTGTATCCGTCAAAGTCTCCCGTAGAATGGAGGGGATCGTTTTCGTGAGACGCAAACACTCCTCTAAAAAGGCATCGAGAAAGGGCGCCGGCTTCTCGATAATTTCCATCACCGTTGGCTGGCGCTTTTCTGCATGGGCTTCGGCAAAGGCAACGTGCAATTGGCGACGAAGTTTCGCCTGGGAAGACGCGTTGTCGGCCAACATCTTTGTGATCCACGAGAGCGTTGTGGACGAAGTGTCATGACCAGTTGCTACGTAGCCGAACAGCTGGTTTTCACAGTCAGTAATGTTTTATCAACTTCGTACGCTGAAGCACGGCTCAATCCCACCTCATCTCGGATCCGGGGAGCATTGACGTTTGGCGTCCTGCTTTCCTTTTTCGCTTGGCCCAGTTCCCTCAAAAGCATCATGTCCATGGCGCAGCGCATACGACTCTTTTGCTTATTCTCCGAGCTCAATCTCTCAACGCTCTTGTTTATTTCATTCGTAATAAATGCTTCCTTCTCAGCAAATGTGCGGCGCCAAATCGTCTTTCTCAAAAGCCAGTGATGGAGGCGCGGGAATGGAGATTTGTATGCAACCACCACACTCCCCGTCACCTCAATCAGCGAGATGCGAGATTTCGGTACCGGTGTGCGGTTGTAGGCAACCGGTTCATCCTTGGAGTTTGGCGGAGGCGTTGCGGGCGGCTGAAGCTGTAAGAACTCGTATTGCTTTTGCGTTACTGACTCCTCGAGCGGAATACCAAAAGCTGCGGCCAGAATAATGTCGAGCGCTACGTAATGGAGGTCCTCGTGGGCGGAGAAGGGATGGCCTTGAGCTTGGGCGGCTTTGAGAGCCCACATGTCAACCAAGACTGTGGCAATGTTGTAAATATGCACAGCAGAAACCTATGTATTGTGAGCATCTGAAAATGATCTTTGATGTGAAGACATGACTTACTTCATTGAGGAAGGCCGGCGTCATCAGATCTCGCAGCAGCTCTTTATTGCCCTTGAACCGCGGATCACGAGACTGCATGGCAAGATGGAAATCTTCTCCAATGACTCCAAAAATGTCTGCATTTCTCTTGCTCCGATCAAACTCTCGATGCCTTTTTGATAGAATGTCATGTGCTTCACGAAAGTCTGTTACTAAGACAAACGGCTTGGGGTATGGAAACATGAAGACCTGGGAAATAGGCGAATGCAGCTTTGCGTTATGATCGTGGAAAAACTGCCTGAAATTCCCCATTTTCTGATACCGCCGAATTTCCAGGGTGTCGCCCCAAAGGCGTCGTGCCGACTGGGTGTTGTAAGGAATATCGCCCGGGATAGGTTTGGGAAAGTGCCGAACATAGAGGTAGTAGGCGAAGAGGCATATTCCGGCAAGAATAATGGTTACGGAGGTTGGGATCCGCCAAGGTCTCAAAACCCAGTACTCGCCGGTCTGAGCCATGGTCAACCCAAATCAATCAGAAGCAGTGTCTCTTCTTGAGCGTGTCCTGGCCGTCCTGTATCACAAGTTGTGTCCCTTTGCTTGTTGAGACCAAATGAGCAACAGTACAGGCAAGCCGTATTCGTGGCCTCGGCTTCCTTTATAAAAAAAACTGCTCATTTGCACTCAACTGATGCAGGAACTCTAAATCTCGGTGGCTGATCCTCTGATACCTAGTGATTATATTCTCCATATAATAATGTCATTGCCAAGTACCTATCCCGTCCACTATCCACGAATAGCAAGGTAGGTAGTCACCGAGATACGAAGCGGTCTTCATTCTGCAAGGGCTTACTCAGATAAATTATAAAACGTATGGTTATTCTGTGCTTGCCCAGCGTTGGTTCCAGTGATCCTGTGTCAGTATGGTTTACTAGCTATTACGCTCGTAACCTCGGTAGCTCGGTGAGGTCATCACCTACTACTACCTAGGTAGTATGCTGCCATAATCTTTTGAGCTGACCATGATGCTATTGGTATTGCCAGATAAATGTGGTTGTACAAGGGACATGGCAGCTCGCCGCATGTGGAAAAATGCTGACATCACTTGGATTACGGAATCATCTACTTGTAAGGAAACGAACGACTTTCGATGCACGTCCATAATTCAGAGAACCCTGGTAATACAAACGAAGTATTTTCAGAATTCATAGTCACCATGTTACCTGAGTCATACACGAATCCAGCGATGGTTGAACCGATGTTAGGACCAGTCTGCTCGACTTGTATGATGGTCAAAATCGCATCACCTGCGCATCCATTGACGCGTGCTACGAGGATGGGGGCTTTCCTTTTCCCGCCTGCCTCTGGTCCACCGATACATATCTGTTCACCTTTTCTGCGAGGGTACGTCTAGATATTTTTCTTAGCATCTAGGCACCACCTCCTCCAAAATGTTTAGGAAGCTGAGGGGTGAGAAGCCACATGTCATCGGCTCACTACTAGATAACCCAACGTCTTGGTAGCGGTCTTCCGAGAGTCAAAACGCGGTCACGGAAGTGATAGCTCATGCTCACCACCACTACGTTGCGGATTGTATGCTTATGCATATTTTTCTGGTCTATAGATACACAACTCCAGTGCAACAGACCACGGTGATGCCCTCCGTCCAGTCCGGACGTATTCTGGGAAGCTTCTCGAGTGGACACCGTGCGAGGAATATGTGCAGCTCAATCGACGTGCCGACGGATCAATTCGACAAGCTGAATTCTGGTAAAGTAAGACATTTGATATATCCTCTAACACGGCTATGTGGCTCCAGCGTTGCTATGAGAAACTCAGTCATCAATACAGGTGGCTCTGGAGGCAGCGGCATAAACTGGCTCTATGAAGATGCGTGTAAATGGCAAAGAACAGGTAGAAGAGCCAACTTAGAATCGATTGATTACAAAGACCAAAAGACTGACGACTGTAGTCTCAGCTCACGAAGCTATCAAAGCAGTTAATAAGATGCTTGCGTCGAGACAATACTTATAATTGTTCTAGAATACCAGTGTCTGCTGTTGCTCAATCTCGCGGTAGGTGCTGGCCTTATCACATTCACGCCGATTTCGCATTATCTCCGTGAGATAGGGTAACATTAATCGACGCTCATATGGAGTCTTGCACTGACGTCATTTTCAATAGCCTATCGTCGATATCATCTTATCTCCGTAACCCCAGAAAGTATTGCTCTTGACAAACAAGGGGGAATCACGCTTTCTGCCTCTGATTGGTTAGATCTACAGCGTTAGTTACTCGTATATGCTACGACTTGCCGATTGTACGACTTTGAGGAGAAAAGGGATCAATAAATCGAAATCTACCGGAGATAAAGTATTGAGTATTGATTTGTGATGATAGAAGTTGATTATCAGCTCACGCAGGCTGAATTTTCAGACACCTCTAAGGCTATGGCAAATGACTGGAGATTGGCTTTCGCAAGCAAAGTCCCAGTATATAAGGACAGCTCCGCCAAAGTCATGGAATGTTAACATGGTCTTTAATAGCAAAGTTTCCGAGAACCACTAGCCATCGATTATCAACCATCTGAGACTACAACATGGCACCATTACAACTTCCACTTGCCGGCAAGACCGCTCTCGTGACTGGCGGTATCAGAGGCATTGGAAGAGGCATTTCCCTAGAGCTTGCTCGACGAGGTGCCAACGTCGCTATGGTCTATGCCAACCCCAGCCGTAGCGAGACCGCCAAGCAAGCGGTTAAGGACATACTCTCACTTGACTCTGGCGCAAAGGCTATCAGCATTCAGGCCGATCTAAAGGTGTTTGGGAACTATCAGAAGATTATCGACGAGACGCTGCGAGAACTTGGAGTCACTAATATTGATATTGTCGGTATGGTTGGCTCTTTGACAGATCACACTGCCTGATATAGCCTGAGCTAATGCTTAGATGAAAACAGTTCACAATGCAGCAGTCGCCTCGCCAGTATCCACGGAGGATACTTCGGAACAGTTATATGATGATACAATGGCTACCAATATTCGAGCTCCATTCTTCCTCACGAAGACAATGCTCCCCTATATTCCACGCGGAGGGCGCATCATTCTCATTTCCTCTATTGCGGCTCGGCGGTTCTCTTTCGGAATGAGTCAAACCGCTTACGCAATTAGCAAGGCAGCTATTGAAGCGCTCGCGAGAAATTGGGCTGTTGAAGTGAGTTCATAGAATGCCCAGCTAACATTTGAGATCCAGAGTCTAATGTATTCCGTATCAGTTCGGTCAATCGCGTGGCATTACGGTTAACGGTGAGTCTTTAACCTATGAATTCTACGCATTACTTCATGGCTGACTGCAATGCAACTGAAGCGCTGTCTGTGGGGTTTGTGGAAACGGAATTGGTGCAAAGTCTCTCCCCTGAGAGCCTCGAGGCATATCGCAAAGAAAATGCACGTGTAACCGCAGCAGCGCCAAGGAGCGGCACACCGGATGACATTGCCCAGATCGCGGCGTTTATCGCTAGCGAGGAGTCACGTTGGGTGACTGGGAGCACCGTTTCTGCTAATGGCGGAAAATGGCCCATCTAGTTTAGAAGTTACATACTTCGGTCGTGACTAGCGAAGATCAAAGCATCGTTATAGATAGTTGATTATCTGATATAGATTGCTTCTTGGTACAAAGTTCTCTAAGTATTCTTCCCTTGTTAAGCAACCATTAGCACAACAATGCGAAGCTTGAGCTCCGACCGCGTTCCCATAACCGCATCACAAACTCTCTCCTACACGGCTCTGTTTTCGCCTTGGCATCTCGGCTACCCTCCTGCCGTGTGTCCATCTTTTAATCCAATTGCCAAATCCAAGCATTACATCTGGCACAAGTAACAGCTTCACACCACCGCCATCCAAAGTCTTCTCTAATGTGAAATGCTCATCAGGCATTCCAGTTTCAAAATCACCAAAACACGCTCATGAAGTACACTTGTTGCTGTCTAACTACTCGGCGGTGCACTTCGCTGCTCTCAGGGTGCAATGTTCACTGGTCAGTATCAGCACCCCTGTGCGACTAGCAGCCGCCAAGGATGAGGCTTCAAGCTCAAAGTCGACCAATCCCACATAATGCAGGAGGTCTTCGAGCCGCACGTTTCCGGACGCCTGAGCTAAATAGCGGATGCCTTATATCCCATATGGAATGTACTCCCAGCACAAATCCGGCATGACTGGAGCGAGGCTTTTATTATTGTGGGTAGACTCGGAGGCTTCCAAGACCGGTTTGCTCTGCCGGGTTCTGAGATTCCTCTCTTTTGAGATTGAGAGATCGATGACAAAAGCTACACTGAAGGCGACAGCGGTTGAATGATCCGCAGTAAAGGCAGTTGATAAGCAAATCTCCCTCCAGGAACAGGGCCCGGACGGCAACACGGTTCGTACGGTGATGATGTGAGCGGACGGTCGGAAGAAAATCGTCAGCTGGGATTGCAAGGATCCAATATCATGTACTTCCTTGATGCCTGTAAGTGGTCAACTCAAACTACAGCTGTATTCTTGGTATCGGCAGACGCAACCGCTTGACGACAATGAGTGAAGGAAGCTGATAGGAAGATACAACGTAATTAGGTATCCCGGTGTTAAGAGACTGCGCATGCGATACACTTGTAGCAGTGCCGTAGGTATGCATGTCCATCTGTGAACAATGTTGGAAAACATGTTCGGTATAAGCGTGGTAAAAGATCTCGCTTATAAAGAGCGTTAGTCGTCATTGTGGAGCTGGAGAATAAGTTAAGTCGTAAGCCGAGTTCGAACGTTCAACAGGTGAAACGAAGCCATCCCCGCCATGTAAACACGGCGTTTTAGAAATAGGTAGACGAGCATGTATTCAAGCTGATCACAAAATACGAGTATACGAAAGACCGTCAACAGCTCCACTGCCAGATCATCCTCGTCCTCTGTGCTTGTCTGGTCGGACTGCCATGCATTCCCAGCTAATGCTTTATAGGTCAGAGTGAAGAGCGGATTCTGTATGTACATTACGCTCGCATCACCCCATGCCCAAAAAAGGCGATTTAAGCAAAAGCGGCGCTGGCCACAAAGCTCACGTCGTCATTGAAAGCGGCAGTGGCATCGAATGTGTGAACGCCCCCATTGCTCGCGATGTAAAGCGTGTTGTTGTAGTGGCGAAAGTAGCGTGTTGGGTAGCTCCAAGATCGAATCGAGTTCCCCTGACCGTTGAGGCCCGCCTGCGTGCAAAAGGTAGCATCTTCGGCGAAGAGCTGACTGCCATCGTTGGCATTCAGGACAAGCCCGAAGTTGGAATGTCGGATGTAACTGCCCGAGGTATCCCTGGACTCAAATGAGAAGCAAGCGTTGTTAGCCAGGCCGGCACGAACCGTCCAGCTGGCCTGTTGCTTGAGGGCTGTGGCGCTAGACGATGAGACGACCTGAGTGTTGACCGTCGACCCGCTATGCGTGATGTAGCGAGTCGTGCAGCATGCTGTGGTGGCTCGTAGAGAGACTGACGAACCAACAGTGAGGGCAGGACCGCTTGTGAGCGGCGCGACGGCATATTTGGCGGCTACGATGTTGGCTTGCACTGAATTTTCTGTTGCATCAGAAGGATATCCAGAGGTCATGACGCCCTCATAGAATGTGCCCTGGGCACCGTTGCTGTTGTCACCGCCGATGCCGAGAATGATGGCGCCCTCTTTGCTCATCGGGTTGTATCCAGAGACTCGTGGGCGTGCGCCGCTGTAGAAAGTTGACAGCGAGCCAGACGCAGCATTGCCACCACGGATTGCCCATTGATTTGGCTCACCCTTGACAGCTGCAGTGACGAACCTGTACGAGATGGATGGATCGCCGGCGTTGTTGCCAGGATTGGAGCCAGAGAACAAGCCGTTCTCCAGATCGGCCATGATCCACGGCCCGTTGCCTGAGCCAGTGCCCCAGACAGTACTGTCGCCAAAATAGATGGCCTCCATATGCCCGTTGCCCGTATCGCGGCTGCTTGTCTCGGCGTTGCCATAGTCAAAGCAGCAGGCGCCGTTGTAATGCGTACCGTCGAGCACCGCATACATGCCCTCTGCTGCGTCTCCCTTGGCTGTGCCGCTGGCAGCGTTATTACGATATCCCGTCCCCGGAGAGACAAAAACTCCGTATGCCTTCTGACCATTGAGTGTTACTGGTGCCCCGATTGCACTGGCCAGGTTATCGTAGCCATTGGATTCTGGGCCGCTGAACCCCCCCGGCGGGGCCTGGGTGAGGTGATTGCCGCGACCCGACTGGTCGTATATGATGGTGATGAGGCATGTGGTTCCAGCACAGAACGCATCTTGAGCAGCAGCGTTGGCTACGCCACTAGAGAGTGGCGATATGGCGGTTGTGGCGCCGTCTGAGCCGCGTTTCACCTGGTATAACGGACCGGTATAAGCGCTGAACAAGGCACGAGTGGTGCTGTGGGCGGCAACACAAGGCGTTCCGCCCGAGGAATAGATGTCACAGGGCCCAGCAGCGACCAGAGACACCGTGGCAATACCGCCCAGTAATATGATGCGAGCGTTGGAGAGCATGACTATCGCAGACAATCGTAGTCTAAGACAAGGCACGCTTGTCAGAGAAACTTGGAACGTGAATAAGAAGCTACAGCAGCCACCGAGACAGAGTAGCTCAATGATGTTAAAGATCACACTTATTACTCTTGTTCGGATGGGTTATAACTGGCTCTTTTATAATTATTTCTTATTCCCTAGACACACGCCGTCAGTATCAAGGGTAACATGCGTTGAAGTGGCAAGGATTGCCTCGAAGAACTCATAATAGCCTACGTATCACTTACGACTACCATTCGCAATTCTGCAGGACACTATGCAAAGAGCCTATATAGCCTTGTCAAAATACTACTTTTCGTCTTCAATGCTGCATAACCAAGGCCTTGTGACACACATAAAGCTGGCTTTTGTAGTTGTCAGAGGTGGAAAAAGCATTCCGCCCGATCTCGAGGTGGGTATTTGGGGATGTTTACCCCAGGTTTTGAGTTGTTCTATGCGCACCAATCAGACGTCTGCACTCCAGACAAGAGGTTGAAATATGCAAAGTTCAATGAGACATGTCCTTTTCTTTTTCATGTAAGAGAACAAGAAATTCCATGTCGGGCAATTCCATACTATCCGTAGTCACGTACCACGAGACCTTGGCCCATCGTTAAACGTTGAGTAGCCAGCTCTGCAGCAGGATGCCTTTGCCCTATTGAGGCATGGCACCTTCATAACAACCGAGGAAGATATTATTCGAAGTAGTAAAGCACTCTTTCCTCGGCCATGACCACCCCTGGATATCTCGGTTGGCACTATTGGAGAACGGTACGCTTGATGATGCCAGAACATGCTCTGCTGCGATACTGATTGAGCGCAAGGGCTGGTTGAACCTTACCATGTTTCGTTCATCAACAAGGGGTTTTGTCTATGCGCTGACTCCACTTAGGGGCAGTCTGATGTCTGAATATAGAAATCATTCAGTGAGAGTCGAAGCTAGGGTACAGATATGCTTGAGCTCTTCGGTGCTTATGTGGTAATTATGTGCGTGCCCTGGGCGGCAACCCCAGCTTTATGCTCCTGTGCCCATCTTGGGAGCTACAAGTGAAGTTTGTATTTTGCAGCTCATGAATCGAACGAAGCTCCTATGATGCACAATCACCTCTCCCGCATTTCATAGGGCCGATGGCGCCATTGCATTGTTTCAGTCTCTATTTCCAACATGAAAAGTACGATTTGGATTGATCTGCTAGATTGGAAGTTGCAGGCTGAAATGAAGCATGCATGCTGTCATGAATGCGGACACAAAGACTCTTCCCCTAAATGAGGCCATTTGCGCACCTGTCTACTTACATCTCCCGAGATTCGGTGTCCTTACCTTGCCAAGGCCAGTTCGGGCAAGAATACTATCCATTCAGGAGACTCGGGTGCGGAGAAGTGAGAAGAAAAAGACAAGGTACATATGCGTGACGTGCTCTGAGACCTCCTCATCCGATGCACTAATTCGAACATATGACGGCATAGAACAAGATGACTCGCAATTTCTACCGAAAAAACTGAAGGTCACTGAAATACTTCTTACGCGACCTCCACTTGTGTATCGCGCTGGGTGTTCCTCATACCCAAGCAGCACACCAATAACAGCTTGTGGATGGGCATCGGATGCGACAACGCATTCAACTTGATTGCTGTTTTAGTCAATCGGGGGGACTATTGGCTATCTGCTACCCGGTGTACTCCTCGCTGTTGTGGAACCTCGGAATGTTGGGCATCGGATGTGGCAACGCATTCAGTTTGATTGCTTTTCCTGGCCAACTGGGAGATTATTCCCTTTCTGATGTCCGGCCTCCTGTTGTTCGACGTGAAGCCTCGGAATCTATCGTCACCCTGCATATCGTACGGACGCCCCCTATGTCATTCTGAAGATTGTAGCGAGTACGGCTATTGTCTGCTAAATGGAAAGTTTGACGCATCCAAATACTCGCGAGTTATTGAGAGTCGAAATCACTATAAAGGAGACTGAACTCGTATTAAGTTCTTCTATCTCTCACCCGTCTTCCCTTTATCCTTATTTTGCATGCTTTGGGAGTTCCCTTTGACTGTCATAACCTCGTTCGCCATGTTGATGGCGAAGCAAATACTCCTTGCCAGCATTTTAGGATTATCAACGGCATATAAACTCTCGCCCGCGAGCTCCTTGTCCAGGTTTTATAATCAGTTGCCTCTGGGCTTCGGCCATAACAACATTGATGTGCCGCGATTCAAGTGTGACTTGGGTGAACCTCTTGATCCTTCTAATGACGGGCTTTCCAGCTCTCATGAGATCTTTTCAAACAAGAAAGCGGTCGACACATTAGTACAACGCCATCAGCCGCTCGTGAAAATTAATTCAATCTGCTATGACGATCTGGGAGATTTCGACGAAGATGACAGATGGAAGCCCTTTGATGAGATCCCCAAGGTATTAGAGGACAAGTACCCACTGGTGTCAGTACCGCATTCCCCAATCTTTCGTGGAATACATACACTGACTATAGCTCAGTTATAAAAAAGCATGGGTCGAAACCGTCAATAGATTTGGGCTCGTATATACATTTGAGGGATCTGATCCCTCATTGAGACCCATTCTCTTGACAGCTCATCAAGATGTCGTGCCAGTTGGAAGCGAAACATTGGATTTGTGGGAACATCCACCATTCGACGCATATTACAATAAATCAACTGGATATCTCTATGGCCGTGGAGCTTCGGATAACAAATCAGCCATCACAGCTCTCATGTCTGCTATGGAAGCTCTCCTTTCACAAGAGGACTACAACCCACGCCGCACAGTCATTTTTGCTTTTGGGTTCGACGAAGAATGTTCAGGTCTTCGAGGTGCGTCGTCGATATCGAAGCACCTCGAAGAACGGTACGGAGAAAATGGAATCGCCGTGATCCTTGATGAGGGCGGTGCTGGTCTACAAAGTGTCGGAGACGTTCTCTATGCATTGCCCGCTGTGTACGAGAAGGGATACCTCGATGTTTGGTTCGACATTGAAGTTGTTGGAGGGCACAGCTCGACGCCCACACCACACACTTCCATTGGTATGATGTCTGAGATCGTCGTCGCTCTCGAATCCAATCCGTTTCAGCCAAAGATCATCAGGGACGGGCCAATCCACGAGGCCCTCATCTGCTTCACACGCTACTCACCCTACGCTCTGCCGGCGTTGACCCACTACATCAAGATGGGTCTGCTCGATTCGGCCGCTCACCTGTTAGCGCAAGTGCAGCGAGAGACACAATATTTAATTCAGACGTCTCAGGCAGTGACTTGGATAGCAGGTGGCCAAAAAATCAACTCATTGCCGGAGTATACCACTCTGGGGGTGAATCACCGCTATGCCCCCCAGGACAGCATTGGCAGCATCCAACACCGCATTGTGAACCTGGTTCAAGGGGTTGCCGAAAAATACAATCTCACTGTGCTAGCGTTTGAAGGTGACGAGGACTACGAAGATCATCTCAGACATGTGCCCACAGCCAAACACGACCGTATGCACACGGCTTGGGAGCCCATCTACAACGGAAAATTGACATTAGAGGCAAGGAAAAAATCCTACATCACTCCCCAAACGCCAACTGGCGGGGCTGTGTGGGATATATTTGCCGGCACGGTCCGCCACACGTTTGCTGATCAGGCAAAGACAGTCGTTCCGGCTCCAGGAGCCATGACTGGCAATACTGACACGCGCCACTATTTGAGTAGGTGTTTGTCTGCTTGATGAAGCATTTACCTGTGGATTGTATGCTGACTACTTGCTTTAAACCTTTAGATCTGTCGCAGAATATCTACAGATGGAGCCCAGGAAGTCTGAAATCCTTCTCCAATATTCACGGCGTTAACGAGAAGCTCTTGATGAGTGAACATGTAAACATGGCAAAGTTCTATTATGATTTTATCCGAAATTATGACCAGGCAGACGTCTAAGCGCAAATGAGCTTATTTGGGTCATTGAATTTGAGACAAAAGAATTGCGTCAAGATGTTTGCTTCATAGTTTGACAGGCGGGTCGGCCAAAAAAGCTAGTGGAGAAGTAGCAGTTGTATGCACTCCTCGTCGACCCGCTGCTCGACTAGAGCAGTGAAAGTAGCGAACAAAATTGTTTGGAAAGACTAGTGAATATGTCTTTTCTGGGCCAGCGCACGCAGATAAGAGGTAGAATGGTAGTTTCTAAGATCAGGCTCCGAGTTGAAAGGGGCTTTGCTAAAAGGCTGACGTGCTTTCTTGATCATATACCTTCGTCGGCATCATGATACCCCACAGTCATGGCCTGAGTCCCGTGGACCTTGTGGACTTATCGCATACTTGCTAAGTTGCCTGAGCCTAGGCCCATATAACCAGAATAGGAGAGGCGCAGGACTGAGTATAGTTGCGACACAGCCCAAGATGGTCATCGTCCAATGTACTCCGATGGCGGTATACATTGGACGAGTCGCCATTACCATGCCACCTGCGGCCAGGTAGCGGAGAGATGTGATGCTCGCAAGAGCAATAGCCGAATGGTCGCCGTAGCTATCTATGATGTATTCATAACTGCTCACGTAGAATGCAGTCAAGACGATTCCAAAAACACAGCAAGCGGCCAGCCCACTCCATATGGATATATTTGGGTAATTGGTCCATCCGAGCCAGAAAAGACAAACGGGCAACATGGGCGCCGTAACAATTGCAGGCCATAGTCGGAATTCCGGTTTAACGGACGCCCCATGCACATGGGCAGTTGCCCTGCGGGCCCAAAAGTACCAGCTCGGTGCGCTGAAAGTGAAGACTGTCGACCCTATTGCTATTGAGGCAAAACAGCTACCGGTGAAGCCGGTAGAGAGCTCATATGTTTCCTTGAAGATGTAGTCGAATCCGGAGAGAGAGGTAAAAAGCAAAGTGTAGAGGAGTAGCAAGTAGAATCCCAGCACTGTCACAATAACTTCCGTGGAGAAGAAGGTAACACCAAGCTTGATATTCTGCCTCAGGCGACCGGGAAGACTTGCGGACGCTGCGTGTTCGGAAAAATACCTCTGATCGCCAGTCAAACGGCGAAACTCCTTTGCTTTCCAATCTAAAAGTAGTGGCAGGTATGTCTCAGGAAGGAAAAGCAGTGCAAGCAGAAACGCCGCGCCGGAGATGATGAGTGTCATCCAGTCAGGCCAGCGCCAGCCTAAGTTCGGATTTGACACCAGCCAGCCGCTCGCTATGGGTGCAATCACAGGGCCTAGTGTGCATGAAGCATCAGCATTGTGCACCCAAGTAAGGTAGTCTTCCTCCCGTTGCCTACCTATAACGTTCACCCAGGCGATAATTGGAAAGACAAAAGCTCTCTTTACGTCTCTGAACTGATCTCTAACACTCGATCCGTTGATTGACAACGTAGCACTGGAGAACAAGCCCACGAAAAGCCGGCAGGTAATGCGTCCTCCAAAAGTCGCTGCTTTCGCAGAGCCCAGGACAAAAAAGAGATAGCAGAACGTGGCTGACAAGTATACAGGATTTCTGCCTACCGTTTCCGACAAGGGCCCGGCAAATTGAGAGCCGATGCCAACGCCAAAAAGATACATGGCGATATCCAGATTCTCGGCGACTTGGCTCACATGTAAATGCGAGCTTGCTACCGAGTTTGCCATGGATTCTGAAGCGCCCGCCCAGCCTTGAACGAAGATGAGAAATGCCAAGATGGCGATGTTCTTACACCTTGCAACTAACGGCCAGTTCTGTGGATTGAGTGTGTCGTCAGGTGCACACGTGACCATTATTCGCCCATTTGGCGAATGCTCTCGCTTTTCCGAGCCGGTATCATGAGCAGACGCCGTGTCCTGAGGCCATGGCCGTGGACGTCGACCCTTCTCGAGATCCGGAGGCCCATTCGATACCGCTTCTTGCGTTGATCGTCTTTCAGATTCAAGCTCTCGAATAATTTGATCCCTGATTTGACGACGCTGTCTCAGAGACCACATGACGATAAAATTGCAATAACTGGTGCAAGCCTAACTCGAATACACGCAGCTTGACCACTTGCCGCATATATAGTCCAAGCGAAAGGGGCTCTAGAATAATAAGTCTTTAGCAGCGTCAGTACAATAACGTCAATTTGACGTCAAATTCTAGTAGTAGTTACGATCTACACGAAATACAGTAAATACCCGCTATTGAAGCATTTATTACTAAGACATATTGGCAAGGTAGGGTTGCATCAGTGGAGATAGAACGAAGCTTGGTCTTAAGCGTGACTGGGTAGTGATTAATAGCCTGCTTTTTATGTAACTTTCCTGTCAATTTCTATGTACAACAATGTCTGCATCGCTATGACTTCGGTTATTCCTTGGTGTTTATAAGGTAGATTTAATAAGGTCAGTCATGTTTGCCTCTGTATGGTAAAACACTGGATATTCGTCTCAAGTAAGTTACCTAGGTATGTCTAGTGATTACTTACAGACATAGCAAACGTCACAAGATGCAATCAGCGCCGAACGAATGTATGTCTGCATAGGCAATTTCTACTCTGTATGGGACTCTCGTTGCATTAACTGTAAAAGCTATACATAATAGGGTCACTCTTGACTCTATCCCATATGTCCACGCTAGAGCATCTTGTAGATGCTTGATGCAGTAATTGTTATGATCCTGGCCGCGTACAGCCATGACGACTCTTAGTTGATCTCAGTCGCGAGGCTTCCCGATGTCGATGACAACTTATTTGGATAGATTTTTGGAGAATGCGCACCCATCTGTTCTGTTGCAGCGGCAAGAGGATAGGTGACATCAGTAAGGACATGAGGTACGTTTAAAAAATTTCAAGCCGGCTGAGCGGCTCGATGACGTGCTTTGCTGTTTCTCCAGCACCAGCTTCAACTTCCATTGGCTTGATGCATTTTGTAGCACCGCGTAGGCTTTCTTGGTAAACGCGAGCACCCAGAAGTGTAGTTAAAGCCGTAAGGTCCGGTGTGTTTGGGTATACGTCTTGCATAAAGGGCTTCCTGGCTTTGTAGAATAGGAATGGCAAAGGGATCCGCAGCCCCAGCGAGGCAGTCCACGAGCCTGAGATAATAATGTGAAGAGGTTAGTGTATGTAGATGGGCGCAACGCGTAAAGTGATCAATAAGCCCTCGATGCATACCTGCAACTGTTATTTATTTGTTGGCATAGATCTAGCAGATTCCGCCTCTGGCACGTCTAATCAGACCATCGCCTCTCGAGAAAGTCGTATAACTGAAATAATAGCATATGATGCCATGAAAGTACTTCGGCGGTTAGCACCTCCGTTTTGGGAGTCATTGTCAAGCGGTGTGCCGAGGACTTCGAAGGCGGTCGTCATATACGACAGGAAGGGCAAGTCTACCGAACGCGAGCCTCGGGTCGGGCCGGTCCCACTTTAAGGCCACAGACATGCACTTAATGGTTTCCTCGGAAAGGGCCTCGCAATCGAGAACCCGCCAGTGCTTGTGTGTAGATTGCCTTTAACCGGCGTTAGCAAGCACGATCTGCAAGTTTCATGCATTATCATCTAACGTCAGCTTATTTTAATATAAAAGGAATGAGCTTATGTCTAGCCTAGATTACATTTCATAAATCCCTTTATCATTAAGGACATATTGCTTAAAACTTGGGAAACATAGATGATAAGCCGTATGTATAAGTGACAGGTTAAAAGAAATAAGCAGACACTGAGGTTAAGTTTTTCCTGGCTCTGTATTTATTATACGTAACCGCTAGTACCTTTACACTCTATTATACAGACTGTAATACAATTAAACTAGCCTAAATACCCTTTGATGCTGTTAATTGTTATTTTACTAATCTTTCTGGAAGATGGCTCACAGGGGGAGGACCGTTTCTAGGTACTGCTGACATCCGTCACATGCGTAGTCTTAGTAGGAACAACTATTAAGCATAGCAGGTATCTCAGAAGAACCCGCTTCACATGATATCCAAGTTCCCATAGGTCAATTCCCAGTTACAAACCTGAAAACTCTTATCTAAAATGATATGTTACTGATTATGACGCCTTTTCACTTCACGGTTGTCCAGAGGTCAGAAGAACAGTTATAGCAGATGGTTATCTTTGGGGACTTAGTGCTGAGTAAATAGGAAATCTCATGTACGAGGCACTTTCACGGAGTAGTCTACCTAGAGTTTATTGCTTGTGATGTGAGATGTTCTGTCTATCACATGTGAAGGCTCGCATAGAATGACTATATGAACGTAATACAGACCGACATGCGGTGATCGACCATAAAAAGGGCTCTGTAAAGCAATATATAAGCATAGACGAAGGACTCACTCAGTGCGTATCATACCGAGGTTCTTCACATCCCTCTTAGAACAGCTGCTATGCTCTTCCTTATTTCGTTGCTTGGCGGGATTCTTCTGTGGCAGTTACTGCTGTCGATGTATTACTTGTGGTTCTCGTCACTGTCACACATTCCGGGGCCCAAATTGGCTGCGGGCAGTTTGCTGTACGAGTTCTACTATGAGGTTGTGTGTTCTGGTCAATACACACGAAAAATCGAGAAAATGCACGAGGTCTATGGTAAGCAGGACTCCGTGTAGTGCTGGAAATATGTGACTCGGTCCTTGCTGATGAATTGAAGGACCTATTGTGCGCATCAATCCCCATGAGGTACATATCAAAGATCCAGACTTTTGCATTGAAGAGTTTTCGCCAGTCAAGAAGCTGGACAAGTATGGTTGGTGGTATAGAGTATTCGGCGGACCTGGCTCTACTATCAGTACGGAAGATTACCGCCTTCATAAAGCTCGCCGGGCAACGTTTCAAAATTTTCTATCTCCTCGAGTTATTAGAGGGTTTGTGCCCACTATCATTGACAAATTAAAGCAAGCAAGTCTTGTCATGGACCGCCACGCGCAAACGGGATGTTTGCTGAACCTCTCAAGCATTTACCGATGCATGGCGGCAGATGTGGTGTCGGCATACGTCTTACCGCAGTCGTTGAACCTACTACAGTCGAGCGATCTGGGTCAGGGATTTCAATCTAGTCTTAGATTCTTTTTCGAAGCAGCTACCGCCATGCGATATCTTGGATTTCTTGAACCACTCATGGCTATAATCCCTCCTTCAATTTTCGATGCCATGTTGTCAGACCCAGCGAAAGGACTGATCAAGCTTGTGAAGGTAGGTTTCTCATGTTGCAATAATGATGTATTATGGAAGGCGATGAGCTGACTATGTGATTATAGACATTGGAGGGTTATGTGGACGATATAATCCAAGGAAAGAAAAATCCGCAGACGTCACGGACATGCCTTCTTGAGAGAATAAACATCAACCACCGGGATGAAAATGAGAATTTCCGGGATCGATTACTCCAAGAAGCGGAGCAGTTCATTGTGGCTGGCAGCGAAACAACTGGCCATACTTTGTCGGTGATAACATTCTACATTATCCAAGAAGCGGAAATCCAAGGAAAGTTGCGGGAAGAGCTTGCCAACGCAGGCGTCGTCTTTGACGAAGATCTCGAGATAGCCAAACTTCAAACGCTGCCGTATCTTGTGAGCACTTAATCCTCTACTTAATTTTGAAGAGAAATAACCTGTTTAACGGGTCGAAACGCTTTAGTCTGCCGTTATTACTGAAGGGCTCCGGTATGTGATCTCGAGCATTTCTATGCCTCACTCATAACTTCCTGTTGCCATCTACTCACCCGCCTGCTCAGCTTCTCCCATGGTGTGGGTTCCAGATTGCCGCGAATCAACAAGTCTAGAGAGGTGCAATTCAAGCAGTGGCGGATTCCGGCCGGTGTAAGTACAACCCATTGTGCTGGCTCAGGTGAAAAATCCGGCAATATCTGATATATATCGCCACCAACAGGTTCCGATCAGCATGACATCAAGGCTGCACCATGAAGATGCACGTTTGTTTCCAGAACCTCACTCGTTCCGCCCAGACCGATGGCTTCAGCCTGAAAGCAGAAGCCTGAAGAAGTATCTCAGCCCGTTTGGCCATGGATCGCGCATATGTCCAGGCATGCAGTAAGTTCAAGATTCCGCGCATCTCGACGATAAGAAACAAATATTTAATGTGCGATGACATAGTCTGGCATTATACGAGATTTATATCACTATTGCACACATACTACTCAAATTCGAGATCAAGAATTGCGGAACGATAAGTGCTGATCTTGTCTCGGTTCACGATTTGGGAGCGCCTTTCCCCAAACATGATTCAAAGGGACTGCAGGTCAAACTGGAGGCTAGGAATTCGTGAAGCCAGGTATCTGTATATATGTGCCCTAAGCTGTAAGCCGACTTACAGCTTAGGGTTGATCTTTATCCACAAGCCAGATGCTTCGCACTTCACTTCCTCGTCCAAGTCTTGTAGTTTTTCTTTCAAAGAAGCGACTTGTGTCCCCTGTGCCCTCATCCAAAACTTTCGTCCTTTTCCGGCCACACACCATGACTTGACGATCAGAACTCCTGGAGTTCGCACCGGCCGCCTGAATACGACTTCCAGCTGCGATGTCAGCAGCGTTCGCCTTACATCCTCAACCTTTCCCGGTATTGTTGAGAAGCGTGAGACCAAACTATGAGCCATGGCTTCATCGAGAATTGTTGATATTAGACCACCATGAGCAGTTGCAGGGTGCGAGCAGACACCCGGGCTAGACAATGCTAGAAGCATGATGGTGTCAGGAGCTTCAACCGCAGAAAAGTCAGTGGTCGGCGACAGTTCATCCTCTTCTTGTAATTTAACGTCAAGCTGAGGATATTCTGCAAATGGTGCAAGAGAATTCCTCTCCAGTAATAAACAATGCGGTATCGTTGACTCCGTCCCGATAGTCTGAGAAAAGAAGAAATCCTCGCCACCCGGCTTGCGTATGCGCCCCCAGACGGGGACCGGCTTGTAATGTTTGGATTCGAATAGCGTAACTAGACGGCTGTATTGAGAAAAAAGATCCATTGTGCGAAATGCAGTCAAGCTGCAGGACTGAGGGAGCAAGTCTGCCTTGGATATGGTGCGCATAACTCCAGAGGGCTACAGAGAGATTGCTGTTCGAACATCGAGCATTCTTATTACTGAAGCCCGCTCAATAGCAACACCGCCACCTTCAACCCTATCCTCGGCATTTCCTGGTAAATTCGACAAAGCATGGACGAAAATGGCGACATCGACCATTTACCACCAATTAGTCCAAGACAATTGGGACGAAATACTCTATGCCTCGGGCAGTGGTGGATACGATACTGGATATCTCTGCTTCAGTGGTGTCACACATAATTCGATCACACACGCCCGTACAGTTGCATATCAAGGGTGCGTCAGCAGCTAGTGCTGATAAATCTCCAGGTGTTCTTTGTTCTTCCCCCCTCCCCCCTTCCGCCCCCCCCCAAACGGCGTCGCATCCACAATAAAGCTACATTGTTCAGCGCCAACCGCCAATTACTATGTATGTATATCCAAATCACATGCCGAGAGTCAACGAGTACGAGACCTTGGTTTTTATTAAGATAAGCACATTGCTTCTAGTACGCATCTTCCAACCAAATTATTAGTTGAGCTGTTTACTTGAGTACAGTTAGGAGGAGCAAATGATGTAGATCTCTGTTCTTGTTTTCCTCTGGTACCCGGGGAATACCAACGGAGTATGGCGTTAGCGTACGGCCACGCACCTCTGCACTGTAAAAGTATTGCGAGATACTGGAGAACAGGAGTTGATTGGTACACTTGATTGCATCAGACGGCTTCTTCCCTCAGCCTTTCATATGGCAGACGTCCTGACAAGAACGGGCCACTGTGTGAGTTGAGTTCTTCATTTCCCTCAGCTTCTATACGTGTAAGGTATATAAGATAGACCTGCCACTTGAGCAACTCAAACTACTCCAAATTGCTTATCCTCGATCCGAATTTACACATAACGAGTCCATTTGAAGTCCGTAAGCATGGCAGACCGTGATATTACCGTTCAATATCGAGGGCGCATTGCCATAATCACCCTCAATCAACCGGACAAACGCAACTCGCTCAACCAAGAGCAGTTTTACTTGCTAGGGGAACGCTTGCGAGGGGCTGCGAGGCACAATGAGGTGGCCATCACTTTGCTCATTGGAACCGGCCGCTTTTTCTCATCGTATGTGCTACAACCCATCTCCTCCCCATGCCCTGGTTAGTCATGACCGTTAATACCAGTTAATAGGGGTGCGGACGTCGCTGACCTGGGGACATTTATGGCTGCTGCCAATCGCAGAGATGTGTTGGCAGGGTCTCTGTTCAACAATATTGACCTGACTCGAGCCTTCTATACCCACCCCAAAATCCTCGTGGTAGCGCTCAATGGCCCTGTCGTTGGGTTTCCAGCAGCACTCATCTCCTTTGCTGATTTTATATACGCCCTACCTGAATCATTCTTACTCGTTCCATTCTCGACACTTGGGCTTGCTGCTGAGGGAGGGGCTTCTCGCGCTCTCAAACAGCGCCTTGGTGTCGCTAAAGCCAAAGAGGCGTTGCTCATGAGCAAACGGATCCCTTCTGGCGAGCTACTCGCATGTGGTTTTATTAACAAGGTTATTGAGCTAACGACACCGGTGTCGGAAAATGCTGGCTCTCGATCCGAAGAGTTCCTGGGAAAAGTTCTGCAAGAACTAGACCATGACCTTGGAAGTCAGCTTAACGACTCCAGTCTCCTGGATATCAAGCAGCAATTTTGCAGGGATGATATAAATGATTTTAGCCACGTGACCGTGCAAGAGGCATACATGGCAGTGGATAAGATCATGGCAGGAGTGCCGCAGGAGCACATGAAGAAATTGGCTCGGCGCACAAAATCCAAGTTGTAATCAAGTCGTCAAGGCCCAACGACTCTCGATAATCGGCAGATAAACTCTCCTCTATCCACAATAAAGGTTCGGCAAGACATTACAGAACTTATTCTCCTCCGACGTTTGGAGCCCCGTACTTGGTTCTCCTTGTTTTCAATATGTGCTATATTAGTAAAACTTACTTCTACAGAGCCTGAAGACGCGGTGGTATCCCTAACAGCCCTGGACACGCTTCCATTCCCAACGGCATGATGAATCAAAACGGCGGCGGGCTAGGAGAGAGTTATCACATTGTACACTATTGCCGACGTGATACTGACATGTAATTTGAACAGCCTTTTGTACAATGTTTCTGGTCATCTTGAGGAGAGTACTTCATCGCCTTAATATGACTCGAAATTCTTGTAGCTTGTATATATCTACGTAACTTGGAGGCATCGGAGCATGGAAGGTAATACGATCCGAGGAAAGGACTGTTGTGCACCCCGACAACGACTGACGGATAACTCACTATAAGTCAAAGCATGATGGGAGGTGTTTGCCTCCTTGACGCATTGTCGACATGAATTGGGAGGGCTGTCTCATCAAATAGGCAAGTGGTGTGTAGCTAGAGATGGAGATTGGCCAGGGGTCGCAGACGTAAGATAAGGCTAATGTAGTATGTAGTCCGAAATGGGGAAACTGAGCCCTCGCGTGTCAGATGCTCCCCTACTAGGGGGGTCTCAAAAACGACCGCATTCCCCGACCGAGCTCCACTAGGTCGGGGGGCACGTTGACTTGCAAAAGGGTCGTTGATTCGCAAGGAAAAGATACATAGATTATGGTGGGTTGGCCACACAAATAGAGGTACCACAAAAACCACAAAATGCAGTCCAGAGGTTAAAATACTGCATGTGTACTCTCTATGAAGTATGCAATTGTAATTGAAGCCAAATTGACTTATTAAATTGAAGAAAATACGGCGATGGAAAAAAGGTACTTCCATTTATATGGCGTGCGCGCTGTGGGTTAAAGTATTTTGCGAATCAACGACCCTTTTGCAAATCAACGTGCCCCCCGTCCTAGCTGTGCTGGGACGGGTTTCGCGGTCGTTTTTGAGACCCCTCTAGTACTGGGGAGCAGGTGAAAAATTCCCTATCGACATGACCGACCTTCTGAACACAGAACTGCCCTCTATTTGTTATTACATATGCAGGACGCATTGCAGCATTATGACAAGTCAAGGTTTCATGTCAGTCACAACTCGTCCCAAGGAATCATTGCCATCACTTCTATATTGTATAGAGTATTGACAGTCAGCGCTAAGCATATGTGGAGGAAGATGTTCTTCGCTTGTGGGTAACTCCGACCAAAGTACTCCTTACGAGGCAACGAGGGCCTTTTGGTGCATGTTCCCAAAAGTTGACTTATAAACAGCGATTTCATCATATGACTTAATCAGTGTTCAAATATGATTATGTTGCGTTTCATCTACTATAAGGTCTGCCATATTTCACTTTGAGTTAACTAAGACCAAGATGCTGCAAGCCTTGACAGGGGACTCAGACATTATCTTCTATCACCATCCATCATCTTTCGATGTAGCTCAAAGGAACAAGACATTTACAAATGGGTTAATGTCTGCGAAATTGCCGTTCCGGAAAGCTATAGACGTCCGATCCTTCTCAATGGGCATCTCCAAACAATGCGAATATTATTCGACAACCCATCACTGCCAATATATTACAAGCGGTGGATTTTCCCGCAACGCAACGGCTTTTAAAGGGAGAATTTTCTGTGGACTATGTAATTAAGCCAGATCAGGTCACCGAAGACCAATCCGTTCCGTAAACTTCATGCTTCACGAAGGAGTTTGACAATGTTGCTGAAGAAGTATCTCAAGAGGTAAGTGTCTGATGATAGGTCATGTGTACAAGCGTCTGGCAAGCTACTATCAGACATGAGCAAGGCATCCTATCAAACACAGAGTTGGACCAAAGGAAGCTTGAGCAAACACAATACTTGCATGAGTTTGATCGGTAAGAAGAGAACGACCGACAATGACAAGCATCAATATGCTACAAGGATTGACCATCTGAAGTGCTATTCAAAAGCCACTGTGGAACTATCCAACCGAAACTGTCTATTATCGGGAAGCTTCCTCTGTAAATCCGCTATTATCAGTGCGCATACCACTTCTGGCATATAATTCCGAGGATGATCCCGTGAGTTGTTCCCCAATCTCATTTGCATAAGAATACCGAGACTAATCCCATTTAGTTGAGCCCCCAAATTGGCCTTCCCATCGAAGAAGAGGCCAAAGAGAATCCTTACGTGGTTCTTGTCGTTACTTCATTTGGGGGCCATCTGGGGTGGTTCCAACCTGGCGGTGGCAGATGGTGCGTCCAGGCGGTATGTAGAAGTTGCTGTTATGACGGCGGAAGGGAAACCATGTTACTACCTGTGACAGGTGTATAACACGTTACAGCAATTTTGGGATTGTACCGGCCATGGTGGGCCTTGCAAGAGATTCAAGGTGCTCAACAGGAGCCAGATATCACATGCACAAGGAAGATTCTGTTATGAATGTAGGAAATATTGTACCCAGATCTACTGACGACAGCGTTCTATAACAGCTCTTCGATAGGCAAAGCACAGCTAAGATCGGTAGAGAAAGTAATGGCTTTGTTTCCATTAAATATGAAGGTCATGCTCCAATGAGCCCCTTAGGCTGAGGATCCATACCCAAGCCAGTTTTGATGCATACTTTGAGATTCGCAAGCGCTGCAAGGGCCGTTTCAACTGCTATCCGCTAGAACGGCATATATTGCCCATTCTATGATGCCTTGAGAGTGGGCGGAGCGGCAGCCTAGTCCAGGAAATTGAACTTCAACATGGCTCAGGTGTACTCAACATTAGTTGCCTTGCCCTTTTAGCTTCTAGCAGGCTTTAGGGTTGATATCCTTTCGGTGAATGCTCATATATAGACAACTGCATCTCAAATAGTAGCTGCGATTGACCAACGGCTTGACCAGGGATTATTCATTACTCACGCTGCAGGGAATATATTGGTCATACGGTACGGTCACATTGAACTTGTCATTAGTTTAGTATCATATACACTCTTAGTCTACCAAGAACTCCTATATATTCTAATCTTCGTCTATGCGAATCAGGACTTGCACATGCCAGACTGAACATTCGCTGTTGCGGTGGTGAGGAGACCGTACTGCAAGCGAAGCCTTTCAACGTGGATCAGATCAGCAATAAACGTTCCACCTCCTCCGGGTAGAACGATTGTCAGTACGAATCTAGATGGCCTCCGTAGCTATTTGTTGAGCTACAATCCCAACTCTATGGACTCTCTACTTTGGGAAGCCAATATCGCTTCGAGAAAGTTGCGGTCCAGAATCGTTCCCATATGAAGCCAACTTCAGGATTTGTTGCGTTCGCTTCGACAAATTTTTCCAGGGCTCTTTCGTATACTTCTCGCGGCTGGTTATAGATAGTCTCTCGCCGCACCGCAAAGGTACCACCGTGTGCAGCTCGGATAGCCGGGGGATGATGCTCGCGTAGCACAAAATGCCAGAGTTCTGCAGGCGTATAGGGCGCAAAGACCAGAGAGGCCAGTTGGCTGGGCGTCATCCAGATGCTTTCTTTTGGGTCCGTCCAGTTGATTTTTGCCCAATCATCGACATCATGAAATAGGGCTGGGTTGAACGGATTGACTTCGTTGGGTTTGACCTGTAGCGCCACGTCAACCATTTGAATGGTGGAGTTGACCACGTCACCAATCAAGTCAAATGGAGCCGCTTGAGAGAATATCATGTAGTCTTCCAGTTCATCCCAGTGGTTCACGATGTGATGTAGGTGCGTATGCCCTTCTCGACCAACATTGGGAAGCTGAACATAGGAGCGGAAAGCGTCGTGGTTGACAGTGTCGTTCGATTGCGGAACATGGCCCTTGTCGTATACGTAAGCATACTTGGACACGGGAAGCCAAGGTATCAAATCTTCTTTGAACCGAGCCACAACAATGCCGAGACTTGCTGTTGATACCGGCAAGGGAAGCGTAGTAGAGGTGGGAATGACGGAACTCATTCTAGCAGGACTGGTTCAAGTCTTTTTATTATCTTTGAGATTTTTCTTTTCTTGGAATCAGACTGATGAATTGAAAGGAATTGTTAATTGTAGAAGGCTGAGATTACAGCGCACGGGTTCTTATACAAATCTTCGCAAAGCTTATACTTAGGAGAACCTTGCCGGAGCAGTCGAAATCGTATCGAGCAATTGACAGTCAGCGCTAAGCCCCCTTTACCTCCCCACCCAAACGGGGCATGAAAGAAGCCCCTTATTAAAGTCAGGTTACCCATAGCCGTAAGCGGTATCAATGTTGCCTATTGTCCCTCCTTACATGGGATGGCGATGGTTTGCGGCGAAAAGCGCTCCCTGGTTGTAATAGATGTTTCCTACTGTTAATGGTAGTCTTGATCGTTTCATGCCATGTCGACACAGCTGCCTTAAGCCTATGAACACCAATTCCCAATGCTACTTCTTGTGAACCGTGAGCCGCATGGCGGAATTGTGGAGGGAGATACCTCTATGGGGTGAAGTGCACCCGCAATGCCCTAAGTGTCACCAAAGACGACATCAGCCGCCATGCCGTCATCAATCAGTTGCGCATCTTCGTCACGCATCTGAAGCCAGCTTACGCCGTGCAAACAAGAACAGTTACTACTTACAAAGCTTATGACTATTAGACGTTTTCACATTTCTCAGGGAAGGGAGCGTGGACACTGACGTAACCATTCTTTTCCATCTACACTTATCATACATAAATACTAGCTTCCTCGAGCATGACGCTCATGTGTCTAGACATCCATGTCCTTGGGTCTGCTGATGTCAGAGATCTCCGTAAAGTCTTTCAGCTAATAAGAATTACTATGCTCCGTGGCAGGCGTACAAAGCACCCATAACGACTACCTGAGCTAAGGCAGGATAATTTCTCTGAACACGATACCAAGGCAATGATAGTAAAACACGTCTTTCAGAGATACTTCTTTCATAGATACTCCGCGAACGTAATCTTAGCACACAGGTAGGATAGTTTCAGCCTTTCTCCAGCGTTTCTCAGCGTTTTCCAACGATGAACCTTCGAGTAAGATGGATCAGAGCTTACGCATTTAGATCTATACACAGATGAAGAACGCGTTTACTATTACATCATGTTATAAAGCCAGCATAATGAAGCATGAACTGCATTCTGAAGGGACCCGGCACTTCTCTAGACGTCTAGTCGCTGCTGATGTTCACGTAGGCATCAGAGACATAGCATTTATGTCTGCACGACTTGGGGCTTCGAGACTTAACGGCAGCATAGCATTCGATCTGAATAGCTTCGAATGAGTCTAACCACGCTTCATGAAAATGGACATTCAACGAAGCAATGCCGTCACGGAGCAAATGCTGTGTACCTAGCGACTCCCGAGTCCCTGGGAGCGAAGACCCAAGTCGGTCTTGAGCATGGCATAAAGGACGATCCTATATCGCAAAACTTCGTACGGCGCAGTATATAGGTTATTATGATCTGATATCTATTTCATTCGAAGTAGGTTTTTGCACGGGGCACTCATCGCATGATTTTTATACGCGCTCTGGCGGTAAGCGCCGGGCTAGTCATCAACAACTAGGCCGAGGGCCTGGGATACTCAGTTGGGTACATGGAAACCAGTTGCTTCTACTCCAATACCGGGTCCAACATCCCCTTCTCGCAATAAAGGACCGACCTTGTAGGCCGGCTTCTCTGTGAATTCAAGCTTGGCGGGATGGTTTCTTGGGCACCAATACAGAGTACCATATCTCAACCAATGTGCGTACGTTCCTGGAACGTTATCGCTACCGTCGTTGTTCCTCCACAGAGAGCTCAGTGTTTCGCCCATGACTCTCACGATCATGCCTGTTGCAAGTTTCATTCCAAAGCTTTTAGAGAGGACTTCTTCAACGATTCTGCGTGCGAGCCTTTGATCGTCGCTCTCCGTTTCGCCCTGTTTAGGAATGGGCAGTGACATGAGCTCAAACTGCTTAGGGCCGTTCCATTCTGTTATTTCGTTGATGAGCTGCGATCCAACCATATAATCGTATGCATAGATGTGTTCGGCCACATATTTCGGGCCGTTCCAGCCATCCTCTTCATCGATTAGTCCCATGACCATGGTGATAACCTGACCTTGAATGATGTAGTCTGTCAACATTCTGGCCGTCTCTTCACGTCCATATGTCCTCCCATTCTCCTCCATCGAGAGTCCCGTATCCATCAATGGCAGGCCTTTAAGTAAAGGGCTGGCATGCATTCCCTCTGTGTTAGTTTTTCCTCCATCGGCGGCCCACAATGCAAGCAACAGCTTATGACATCGCAGGAAGAAGGGGTTGTTTCGCCCAGCGGCCAGAAAATAGTTTGCCATGCCCCGCTCTTCGACGCCACCCATGTTGTAGGTCAAGATCTCGTACGGTGAATTCGGGTTGCCGACCGTAGCGTTCCAAACGTGGTCCAAGTCCCCGATTTGAACCATGCCCACGTCTGCATAGACACCACCGTATCTGAGTAAGAGGGGAAATCTCACAAGATCTGAGACGTGCTGGTAGGCGTGATGGCCTCCAATGGTGCCTTGAGCAAAGGCTTTCGGAAACCAGTCTGAATCGTGAATATCGAGGTAATGCTCCACGTTCAATGGGGAGCCAGCTGCAAAATCCAAGACGCGGACCACCCACCCCTTCGTCGAAAATCTTCTGTGCCAGTTTCGAACAGTGCGCCGAGTGTATCCGTGCATTTTGTCGAATCCGCTATGCCAGAAGAACCAAATGTTCTTCTCATTTGAGATTGGTTTGGGGTTTAGAAGATCATGATCAACTTCAGAATCTGGCCGGAGGTCGAGCTCGTCTTTGGGAATGGCGTAGACGCCGTCGGGCATGGGGTATGACAAGGAGGAGTCCATGATGTCGGGCAAAAAAAGAAGAAACGATGACGTTGGTACTGTGACCCTCACTATTAATACAGATTTGCCTTGGAAACTTCGACCAGAAAATTATAGATGAAAGTACAGTTTTCTTCAACACCTGTCCAGTTCCTCGGGCTAATAAGTGCTTTTCGTAAAGTTGCCTAGTTCGCGGATTGTTATGTTTGACATTCCAAAAATCGAAGCCTATGTGCCGTTGAACAGCCGCCATGCGGGGTACGGATTGATGAGTCACTCACAAAAGCAACTTTGATAAGCAGACATGGATGGGTGAAGAGTCATTGGATTGGAAGCAAGGTTATGGACGCCTTTTGACTGGGGAGGGGCAAATAAATTGATCGAGGGATCAGTCAATCGGCATGCAAAAGGCGACCAGAGCCTCCGTGAAAGAGTCATACAACCCCAAGGCAAAGGCTGGCTTAACCGGTATTACAGTGCCACCAAATTTAATTCAGATGACTGATCCAGCAATCATCGTTGCAGTGATATTATCTAGCTAGAATTTCTTTGTCAATGTCTCACAAGGTAAGGTTTCGCCAGTGAGTCCCCGAAGTGGCTGGTGAGATGCTGCTTCATTGCATTGGTACAGGTGAGTCACGACATGAGCTATCTGTTTCCCTACCGATGGGAAGATGCCAGTACTAGGTAGTGAAAATGCCCGGCTAGTTGCGTATTAAGGCCGCATATCTTAAGACTTAATATTGGAAGCTCCCACATTATCACTCTATCGTAATGTGATTTCATATTAGCCAGCGCCAGATACCACATAGCCATCTCGTGGCTTTCTAGCTTGTGTTGGTGTAAACTACAGAAACGAGAGCAGAGCCATGGCAACGCCGGCCAAGCTCGGTAGAACCAGCGCGCGGCTTGCGCTGCTGCCAACGGGCACAGTGGGGGCGGCAGCAACACCAGTCGCCGGAGTTGACGGCGCTCCTCCGGTAGCGACGGTAGTATTCCATCTCGCGGGAAAACCAGGCGCCGTCTCTGTCGCGGGGTAAGCTGTCGCCGTAGCCACCCTGGTAGATGAGGAAGAGCCGCCTGATGAGTCGCAAGTACCGTTAAAAGACTTTCGCTTCAACAGAGTGAGTTTGTCACCAGTCGTGCCGTCGGAGCCATGGATATAGCTCCATGAAAGAGCTGTAGCGTTGTGAACAGTCAATCCACCAAATCCGAAGTTTTGCTGGTCGAGGTAAGTGGTGAAGCTCTGCAGAGGGCTTGTGCCAAGAGTGCTGTGGCTCTCAACGTTGCCTGCGGCTCCGTTGATGATATGGGCCATTGAAACACCCGGGTTTGTCCAGTAGGTATTGTTGTTGATGATGGAGGCCTGGTCAATAGTACCATTACTTCCAAGAGGCAGAAGGCGCTCATACCAGTGGACGTGTCTACAGGCAAGGTTAGCGCGCGTGACCTTGAAGACTGGGCCAAAGCATCCTCAACATACCCAGAGATATAAAGATCGACGCCATTCTGCAGCATCAGGTCCTCAAAAGCCGCACGAATGCTCTTCTGGTAAGAGGAGACCTCGGAGCTGTAGAACGGACGGTGGCTCATGGCAATAACCCAGGGCGTTTTGCAGCGGTCAACACTCTCCAAGTCCTTCTTCAGCCATTTGTACTGCTCATAAGCCTTGTTGTCGTTGTAGTCGCCATCAACAGTGCCAAAGGGGCCACTGTCGGTGACAAATGTCTGGTTAGCAAATGGGTGCGCTTGGCTTCCCTTGATATCCCTAGCAAATGGCCACTCGGGGCTGTCTGCGTAGTCCGTCTCGCCATCAATGGACACGAAATGCGCCAGGCCATAGTCGAACGAGTACCAGAAGTTACCAACACCTCCAGTCTCAGCTCCGGGCATGCGAAAGCGGTTCTGGAACGCAGTGAAGTTCCTTGAGACCTGTTAGGTGTGTCTTGCAGAATGAAAGCAACTGGTTAACACCCCAGGGCTTGCCGTATCGGCGACGTACCTTTGAGAAGGAGGGCAGCTGTAATAGGTGAGTGAAGACTTGGCTGCAGTTCCATTAGGCTGGCCCTTGTTTAGGTAAGCTGTGAGAACGTTTCCGGGGCCATCGAATTCGGCGCAGCTGGCGTCGTGGTTACCGGGCAGCACCATGTAAGGAGCCTTGAGAGTCACAGAGTTCATCCATTGCTGCCACAAGTCCCAGTTGGACTCGTACAACACACTCATATCTCCGCCCTGTGGGCCACCCTGGTTGGCAACTTCTCCCTTGGGAAGAGGCGTATCGTACTCCTTCGGAACATCGCCACCTCCAGGAAGCTGAGTCGAGGTGCCATTGTAGCAGACCGGCCAGTCGCTCTCGCAAGGAAGGATGCCTGAGTACCAGTCATCGGCATAACTGATGTCGCCTCCGTGCCAAATGAAGGCGGCGCCGTCGCTGACAGCTTCGTTGAGGTACTTGTAAGTCCCGCCAGCATTGGTGTAACCCATATCATTAACAACTGCAATGGTGAACTCGGAGGAGTCTCCCGCCTCCTGCGCCGTCTTGAAAGACAGAACGTCAGATGCAGTGGTGCCATTAGCTGCCGGGATCTGGTAGTAGTAGGTAGTACCAGCCTTCAGGTTGGCGATCTGGACATCGTGGAAGAACTCGCTGCACTGGGTAGTCACAGCGAAAGAGCAAGGAGGGGTACGGCCGTATCTATAGGGGTCCATTAGCTACTCGTTTGATTGAGTAAGGGCGAGTAAGGGTTGTGAATACGTCACAGATTTCCCAGTAGCCGTATTGCTGAGTTCAGATGCACTGAGTCCCCAGACGACGGAAGGGGCCTCTCCCAATCCAAACGGCGTCTGATAATGAATGTTGATGCCATTGGGGATGTATGAGACCGAAATCACATTGACGTTGTTGGTCGGATTGGCAGACGCTGACTTCACAGCCGGTGGCTCGACCAGTCGTACAAATCCTTTCCCATTTCCCTTTACCGTGGGGTCAATCCAGTCACCAACTGGCACTTTAGGTCCCGTATAAGGATAGAGCTCGTCCACGGTTGGCACCGCATCAACGGCGACGGCAAGAATGGCTCCCAAGAGAGCCGCGGACTTCATTTTTAAGTGATGGGACTGTCCGTTCTCCCGCTCTCGACTTCGGCTTAACGAATGGCAATCGACGAGGGCAATTTGAATGCACAACCGCTCCAGGACCGAGACAAGCAACCGCGGCACTGCGACCGTGCCCTGGGGGCCAATTATACAAATTTGTTGCCCGCAGAGCACTTCGTTTTGCTCCTGTCCAGCCCTCGACGCGGTTAGCTATCGTGTCCACTAGTACTTACCTGCCATTTGAAGTTGTCATAGCCGCATTCGAACTCGGTGTACTTCGGCCGCGATACCGATCCGGCTTGACACCCATCATAATCCCCCGTTACGGTTGAATACTATCCAATCCAAGCGTGCGGCATATCAACGTGCAGAAATGGCTCTGGCGTGAAAGGTTTTTGCACTCTCAGAACAGCCAGCGGATGTGGATCCGATGCTAGGATCTCCCATAGACCCTAGCTGTTGTCCCGGGTCTTTTTGCAAATGAGTCGGTTAATCGGCATGCTAATGCTTTTCTTCTGGTAGCGCTGCTGCGTCCACATGGTGAGTTCGAGCGCGTGCTTTTTGAACCTCGACAAAGCAATACCAAAGTCTTTGCACAAGCTGACTTGAGGTTGCTCAACATTGATGTATGCGAAGTAAATCGAAGCCGAAAATCTTGACTTGAGCGCGGTTCAATATTCAAAGCCTTTCGATGGGCTTGCTTTCACCCAAAGCCCGCTGATAGCCATCTCCAGAGAGAGTTCAGAAATAGGACCTAACGAGGTAACAATGGGGCATCATCAACTCAATCGCAGGGTGAGACTTCAGGCACATCTACTGTACACATCTCCGCGATCCGGCACCCGTCCACGCCAGAGATAGGCTCAGCTTGCTGCCGCCGGTCCCCCCACCCAATCGCCCCCTCCCCATCCAAAAAAAGGAAAGGGAGGAAGGAAGGTCGAATACTAGTTGTCAATATCCGCCTTCATCGCGCTGTATTCTTATGGCCGCCATATATTAGGCCACATGGCTGAGACATGTGGGCGAATTGAATGAAACCCTACTCGATTTTCAGCTGGCATGACATAGTAGTTGAACATTCAGCATACCCTCCAATGCCTTCCAGTGGACTGAAGGGCGGACAAAGGCGAGCTTTCAGTTGTCCATGAAGACAGCCCGATATGATCGCGAAGCACTCAACAGTCGACTCACGACTATAACACTTGAGCAAGGCGCTCAACGAGCTAAGTCTGTCACGCATACGCAGAAGATGTATGTATACGAGACGTATTCAAGCAATATACTCAAAATACTATACCGGTGTTTGGGTCCATCGCCTATCAATCTCAGAAGGAGCCAGATTTGATCGTCTTCTGTGTATGAGTACGGTGGCAAGGCAAATCCACAGGCCCACACGGCTGAGACATCTTTCTTCTCTCAGGACAAACGGTGGGTAAACATCGATGATATCTGTATTACAACTACATCGTACTCCTTAGAAATCTGTGAGGTGCTCTATTCATTGCTCCGACAGGACCCTATAGACGGCAATCATATCCTCATTCTCCAATCCAGAGTTCACGGCCTGTCGATACAAAGAGTTGCACACCTGGATGAGAGGTGTTTCTGCTTCTGCGGCCGCGGCCGCAGTTCGAATAAGCTCCGTGCTATTGTAGCAGTCCTTTACAGCCGCCTGGGGAGACCAATCGGCTTTGGCCATCTTATCCAGTTTTATCCTTGAATAAGCAGAAGCCAAAGGACCGGCATCCAGCACCCTACTGAATGCTTCAAGATCGAGGCGTTGTGCGCGGGCCAGATTCATCGATTCAGCAAGCCCAGCCGTAACAGTGATGAGAAAGACGTTGACTGCGTACTTGGTCTTCAGGCCAGCTCCGATGGGTCCGCAATAGATGGCAGCACTGGTAATCGGCTCGACGAAGGGTCGGATTCGCTCGCACTCGTTCTGGTCACCAGCCATCATTCCCACCAGGTTTCCTGATTCAGCCGGCACTTTGCTCCCACTGACGGGCATCTCGATGAACTTGCCGCCTGCTTCATTGACCTCCTTTTCTATGCTCTGACTGAACTCCACAGATACTGAGCTGGTGTTGATAAGCGTCTTGCCCCGGAGCGCCTTTCGGAAGTCATCATCAATCACAGATCGTATGGCAGGACCGTCAAACATCATAGTGAAGATGACGTCGGATTGTTCAAGCACTTTAGCTGGCGTTTGACCGAGTTCAGCGCCAGCCTGTAATAATGCCGTGCATTTGGAGGCCGTTCTGTTCCAGACAGTGGTAGGGAATCTGCGGCACAGGTTGAGCGCCATGGGAGTTCCCATCACGCCCAATCCCAGGAAACCAACATTCATAATGTTATTTTATCGAAGGCTGTCTCTTCTTGGTGACGGATAGTTGCAAAGCGCTGGATTCTCATTTCAATGGAAAGTCCATCGAGTATATAAAGTATCTTGCGGCCATCAACACGCCCAACTACAAGTTCCTATCCCAACCAGTAATCAGTCTTTCGCAGGGCGCGGCTAGAGATGGCGGCTAGACGCGGCCTTGGATGGTTCCGTCGCGCCGCCTTTAGACAGTCCCTTGATACAGCTGCACGACGTGGTTTGCTCTGAGGTCAGTCATGGGATTGCCAAGAACCCCAAATCTTACATGTGCTAAGCAAATAGCCTGCATCATCACAATGTATTAAAATAGCTAGGTACAGAGAAAGCAGTTCTCGGTATCATACAGAGTCAGACACACGCATAGGTTACTTGAAGACCGACGCGGAAACACAATGAGTGGCGAGAGTGTCGGTCGATACTTTCTTCAGCCTACACATGCGCCTTCGCATATTTTATGCTTGTTAGGCCGGGACGATTTGTCAGTCAAGTACAGAAAGGCAGAGCCCTGCATTTGAACAGTGCGACGTTGGGGGGAGGATTGACAGACTTGGAGAATGTCGGAAGTCGCTTCATGGTGGGAAATCCCCAAGGCTGGTTTTTTTAAGAAGGAGGTAAAGGATGAACGATCAAGAAGGAAAGGTAGCGCTCGCGGTTCTATCTGATGACTTTGAAGGGTCATTCATGCAGTCACTGCTGAATATAGAGTGAGTGGACCTATCTATGCTCGTCAAAGTGCCCAAACTCACTCGAAGTTGCCTCGTGTACAAAGCGGACTTTACAAATGTCCGGCAATTGTCCACAGATTGAAATTACATTGTTTAAAAAGTAGTGCAGAAGGAACTGACTCGATTGACCATTCAATTAAGCTCGAAGACATGACGGTGTCAGGTGTTCGATTAATATTCGGCTAGCGAGGTTATACAAATGCCTAATGTTTGACCACAATCTTTCCTCCAGCATTGTGAGAGTCCAGCATCTCATGCGCCTTCTGAATGTCCTTATACTCGAAAACAAACGCTGGTCTGGCATCCCACGCGCCCTTCTCAATCTTGGTGACTATCTCCTGGAGGGGAATGTTGGACATGGGAAACTCAGGCGAGCCCAGTACTTTGCTGTGGAATAAGCTAAAGTGAACACCGGGTTTCATCTCAACCATGGGGTTGAAGTTGGGAACGGGTTCCAATCCGCCCAACCATCCCGCTTGCAACATGCGTCCGCCAGCTCGAGTCAAACTGATGGATTCCAGGAGAACGGTGTTGCCAATGAGGTTCAGGATTTTGTCGAACTTGAAGCCGCTGGGGAATGCGGATTGAAGGCCCTTGTGTTCTACTTTGGCGTCTACGGCGCCCATATCCTTCACAAAGCTGAATCGCGCCTCTCGCCTTGTTGTCGCCGTGACCCGAGCACCCGCGTCAACTGCCAAATGAAGAGCTGCCTGGCCAATGGTAGAGGTGGATCCGCGGATGAGTAACGACTCGCCGGGCTTCAAGTCGAGAACGGTGAAAAGGCAAGAGTATGCCGTGGAATAAACTTCGGGGATAGCTGCGAGGTACTCCCAAGGAAGCTCTGTTTTGATTGGGACCACGTTCGCAACTGGGACATTGACATATGAGCCATATCCCCCGGGACGATTTCTCCCCATACCTCCCATGACGCCAACGACCTTAGTGCCGGACTCTAACTCGCCCCCCGGGCAAGCTTCGACGACTCCAGCGCATTCCAAGCCGGAGATAGGGTTCCATTCATCCCATTCACCTTTGCGCATGTGCATCTCCGCATGGTTTACACCGAAGGCAAAGACCCGTATCAGAACCTCTCCCTTAACAGGTTCTGGTTTGGTCACTTTCTGAATCTCGAGGACTTCAGGCCCTCCAAACTTGGAGATAATGATAGCATCCATAGTGGTATCAGCCATTTCGTCAAGAAGTTGAATGTAACGGCGGACGATGTGTGTGCGTGTGTGATGGTTGTCAAGTTGAAGAATGATAGTCCTCTCTGCTGTTTTAAAGTGAACTTGAGTGTGCTGAATTGATATCAGACACCGATTTAGCGACTGGTTTGCAACCTATTGATGGATTGGAGTAGGGATTCATTGAGACTGGGACGATGTCGTCCTCCATTTATATAAGTCGGAAACTTGAAATGGCAGTGACGCCACCGACATATCTTTGATGTGACAAACGTCCTAGTTCTTTTCTACTAAGAGCAGCTTTTGCTTCTCGAGTTACTCATTAATCGGGCGACGTCAGATAGCGACTTGAGCTTGATTTGTCAATTGGCTCTGAAAACTTTGACATCTGCGTCTCCGGGGTTGTAATTGCTGCCATGGAGTCGAAGTTGTATGATCCCATACGGTGAAATGCGCTTTTCATATGCCTTACTAATCCGTAAGTCTCCGTATGAGTACAAGTTCCAGGCTAGCTAGATAGTTCGGTATGCAAGGCCAGGAAGCAGCATTGTCTGTTTTTGACCTAGCGTTCTTCGAAGCTGTAAGACCTTGTGATGCCTCCGTAACGAAACCGCGTATTCCGAGACTTCCGCCAATTAGCGAAGGGCTTGAGCTATCAGTTGGCATGTCGAACAAAGCATGCACAACTCTAGTCCGAATCAGGCGATAAACAAGACATTCAGTTACCTCCAAGAGTCGAGAATGTATAACATTCAGAATATCTCAGGTATCGCACAATCATTGGCTTGTGGACGGACTTATTCATTGCAAGCATTGATGCCTTCAACCGCCGTCAAATCATGTCGTGTATTACCATTGGCTTCCTCCATCTTCTCTGTTGCCTGGTTCGAAGTCTATCTCAAATATTAACTGCAGCGATGGCACCGATTAATGACTTGCTGAGTACGATCACCAGCGTCGCTCAAAAGCTAAACCCGCGATTTGCGTAGTTGGTTGCATTCAGTATCTTCCATTCCCAGAAATCCATTTTCTAACTTTTTCTTTCCCCTTTTCCGTCTCTCTCTTCGAGTGTAGGATTACGTGACTGCAGGCACATTGAATTAGTAACACGCCAATGCATTTTGCATTGGCGAGAAGCCAGCGTTTCCCATATGTGGTCTAGTGGTGACAAGCATGTGTGGCGTTGAAATGCCCAGCTACGGCGATCGGGTATGGAAATAGTTCCACAGCTCTGACGTGATGTCTCTGCCACTTACAGTTCAGCAATTGCCAGATAAGTCTTGATGAAAGATGATTGAGCTTCAATCAGAGGACACAGGGCCGTATAAAACACCCCGTTGAACCACCATGAAAAACACCAGCTACCCCAACTGCTGCAGCTTCCCAGCAACGACAGCAGAGCAACTTGACCTTTATCGCACTGAAGGGGTCTTACAGCCACCGGCAACTCATTCACAACTCGAGAGGTACGGCACCAAAAGAAACAAAAATGGCCGCGACTCAAAACATACGAATCACACTGCCCAAGAGTGGCGTTGATATCTTCTATCGGGAGCAGAGTCCCGCAGACCCTTCCAAGACCATTCTTCTTCTTCATGGCTTCCCGTCGTCGTCGCACCAGTACCGGAATATTATCCCATTGCTTGCTTCCGAGTACCGAGTCATTGCGCCAGACTTTCCTGGGTTCGGCTTCACCGAGGCGCCTGAAGGCTTCAGATATACGTTTGATTCTCTTACAGACGTCCTCGTCGAGTTCCTGGACTCGCTCTCTGTTTCTAAATTCGCTGTTTACGTCTTTGACTACGGCGCGCCGGTCGGTCTGCGTCTAGCGCTACGTCGTCCGGAGGCTGTCGAGGCGATCATCACGCAGAATGGCAATGCCTACGTTGAGGGTTTTGGCGACGTCTGGGGGCCGATCAAAGACTTTTGGGCCAGCAACAACACCGCAGAAGATCGATCCAAGATGGCAGATGCCATGCTGACCTTTGACATTACCAAATTCCAGTATGAGAATGGCACTCCCAACCTTCAGAACATTGCACCCGAGTCTTATACTCTGGATTATACTTTGCTGCAGCGCCCTGGGAGGAAGGACGCCCAGCTCGACCTCTTCATGGATTATCAGAGCAATGTCCCATTATATGAGAACTTCCACGAATATTTTCGATCCTCTCAGGTGCCCTTGCTGGCAATCTGGGGGAAGAACGACGTGTTCTTTATTCCGGCCGGAGCCAACGCCTTCAAGCGAGACCTGCCAAAGGCAACTGTTAAGCTTATTGATGCTGGTCATTTTGCGGCCGAGAGTGATGGGCCACTAATCGCGAAAGAGGTCGCACAATTTCTGGGCTAGGTTAGCAAATTGAATGCAATGCCATGTTGGTCTATTTCGCTCGCCTCTTTACTTTCTCTGGGACACGTCATATGAGACATGAACATCTGGCTCGCAGCAGCTGGAGAATCCCGGTCATGCCGATAAAGGCACACAGTATCTCCAGCAAGGCCTCATGACTTAGATGGCAGCAGAATAGAGAAATGCCCGGAATACGTGTGGCCGGGGAAACGGTGTAAGTGGAGCGCTTTTTGGGACCATTTTAGCCTGCATCTAGTCTCGCACCATCCGACAGGACTTGGTTGCTTGGGTACTGGTAATAAGGTAAGGTAGGCAAGGAGGGAAGCAAGGGAAGCTCTTATCCTACAGGTTCTTGTAGACAAAGTACATATTATTCGCAATCCTTCGTCATCTTACTCGCGAAACTGCACACAACCATCTTCGATATCAATTGATCGCACGATTTCTTCTAATGGACGGAAGAAGGGGTAAGTCGAACGTGCTATTCATGCCGGGATTACCAAGCAGCTGATTCCTCGAGCCAGGCAGAGAGCAGTACAATGGTGGTACTAATCGTCCACAATTCGAGTTCATAACTGTGTCCGGAACAAACATACGTGGCGATAGCGAAACTCGGAGGAGAGTCAGAAGCCGAGCGCAAGCTGACTATCGTCGGCGCAATCCTCCCCCTCCGCGCAATGCTCTCACAGTTGATCTTGACGTCGGATCCTGGCTTCAGAGTTTATCGCGCGATGCAGCTCTTAGGCCGGGGCAGTACGCTCCGCTGCCGATGGCCTTACAGTCAACATCGCAGACCATCGAAACGATCCAGATGAGCCCAACAGATCATGATACCACGTATGGAAGAGATGGCGCTGGCATCTTCTTATTGATACCTCCAGATCATCGGCCGCGCGCTCGCCAATTATGGAATCATTGTTCGTATTAATGCCCCCTCCTGCTTATTCAACAACTCCTGCTTAGCATTTTGTGTAGTATATGGAGGGGGCTGCGTTATCTTCAAGTCCATGATCGAAATTGGATTTCTCGACATTTTGCACGGAAGCGCATCGCTTACGCAAATGCTATCATCTTCAGCGTGGCACAGGAAACAGCTGAGTACTGGGGACCATGAGAGCAGCATAGATTATGCGAGATACTCTCTCATGGCCACGAGGGCCTTACGGCTACGCCTAGATGATCCTACCCAACGAGCCAGTCTCGAGACTATCATAGCAATTCTCACATTTGCCGCATTTGCAGTATGTATAGATCGATTCTCTGAAACTGGTGGGAATGATGCTATGCTAAGAAGAAACGGGCAGAATCTCACAAGCAATTCGCAGCTCATCAACGTGCATCTTGACGGACTCACTCACGCGATTAGTGGAGTTGGTGGTCTAATCATGCTCCAGCAATTACCCGTCATTTGGCTGATGATGTATTGGTACGATCCTGCTGTTTCATGCTGATACACAGACAGAGAACTCACCCAGAGAACAGGATCGATGTTCGCGGCGGTTATCTTCAAGATACAAAACCGCGATTTCCTCAACCTTATGGCATCCTGTTAGCGGAAAGCAAACTTCGGATCAACTCGATGCCCTCGCCAAATTTCCCCAACAGCAACAGTACCTTGGTTGAAGACCCAGCTGTGGCACACATCTTCGACGCCATTCAACAAGTCACTAATATCATCAATTCGGAAGCAGAGGCCCTGGGTCATGCATTTTGGCGAACCGTTCTGTTTCCTGGCTTCCATTTTGCTCCGATCTTGCATGACCTATTGTCGTTACCGCGGAACACAAACGGCATAGCCAGTCGATTCTCAAAACGCCGGGAGTGCTTCCGGCTGGCTGGCATTCTCTACATCAGTGAGCTTCGAGGGAAATTTGGGATGGACAATACTGGGGCTACATCTTTCGCATACAAGCTATTACTGCTGTTGAAGAGCCGTGAGATGTTCGTCTCATGGGAAAGTGACAATTTTTTCCTACTTTGGGCATTAATCATTGGATCTGCCTCATTATGCATACCCGAACCTCTACGCCTCGAGTTCATGGAACTATTGTCAGAGTATTCATCTGTTATTGGAGCTTATTCTCTTCGAGATAGTCTCCCGACTGTGTCTGGGGTGCTGATTTGAATTTGAGACACGTACACACGTTTACTAGAAGTTAGGCGATCTCGAAACGCTGTTTGGTCATCTGAGGAAAATGGTCTTGTACTTGCAGATGTTGATAGACGAGGGATATATTGTGTTTCCAAGGGTGATACAATGGCAAGTCAACTACTGTGAATGGTATCATCTAATGTGCGAGGAAGAATCCCGCGCAATGTTTGACCCTTGGATTTAACCTTGCCAGGAACGTTACGTGCCGTTCCGAGTGGTGCACTAGCGGTCACGATGACCTGACGCCGATCTGTTCGGTAAGTGAGAAGAGAAGACACAACTTTAACGAACACATCGAGGATGTGAAGAGGCACTGGTCTCAGGATTCATGGTTTGCACCGCCGTTGAGCAAAAAAGGGCAAGTTCGCGCATGATGAAATGAAACCATGGGGGCAGTAAAGATGGTCATTTGATTCTTGACTGCATGGAGAATCTTCTTCTTGGTCGGCGCGTCGTTGATGGCTGATCAGTGATGATATAAAAAGTGACAATGGATGGGACAAAGGTGATCATATCTTCAATCTCAGATATCACACGCGAAGCTGTGAAACCACCAAATTGTGGTTGGTACCTTCAGAATAGCTCATACAAAGAATCGACCAAAGGCTATCGCCAAAGATGCCAGAGGCACTGATAACTTCTTACCGCAGCGTTAACATCTCCTAGCATTGATCCTCATCGCATATTCTTCTACTATATTAGACTTTTACAGGCAAGGCGATTCTTTCGTAGACTGCCAACGAAAATAAGGATGGTTCAAGGCTTCCGTGGCCGTCAGTCGTTGCTGTAATGACAATGTAAGCAAAGAATGCTCATCAACGCTTCGAGCTCGTACTCAGCTTACCTTGTGATCCCACTGAAGCAGCTTATCGACGAGATCCACCGCTTCATTGCTCGAAGATTTCTCATTCCGTTCGTCGATGAAACTCCGCCAATCTCTTTTCTGGAAATACGGAATAGCATCAACGTCGTTCGGGGTTGTTTCAATATCATACTTCTCCACATAGTTGAGCAGCCCTTTAGTGCCCAATACTCTGGCAATTGTCTGTAAGAGATGGAAGTTGCTCGCGCCGTGGAAAAATGGCTCTTTCCTGAAGATGATAGAAGCAAAAACCACGCCCGCATTCCACATATCTAGACTACAGTCGTACTCTTCGTGCTGTAGAAGTAGTTCGGGCGCCTTAATGACGCCTTGGCCGACACGGACGCTATACCTCGAGTTGGCCACGTACACCTCGGCATATTCCCAGCCAAAAAGGCGCAGCTAGTGTGGTATGCCCATCAGCCTCCTTTCTACGAGAGCAACAGATGAAGGGCAAGGATTACAAAGGAAAGGTACCTTTCGTCGACTATGGTCAAACATTATGTTGTGGGGTCGAACGTTTCGATGCATGATACTGCTGCCATGGCAAAATTGAAGTGCCTCTAGAAGCTCCTTCATGTAGTAGCGGGCATCTTCCTCTCCAAACGTGGGATATAAGCATCGGAAGTCAATATTCTCCACGTACTCAAAGACCAAGGATGGTGTTCCGGCCTGCTTACGTATCAGCAGGTAGTTCTGCTGGGTCTTCTAGCTGTTTTGACCATTACGTTATGTTTCAGAAGGTGAGGATTACCTGATTCTCTCGAACAATGTCTTCGAGGTCCAAGATGTTCGGCCCTCCTTTCAAGAAGCGAAGAATCTTAATTTCCTGCTCTATCCCGGGCCTTCCAACCTCCTTTGCAGGTCGGATGATGCATTTCTCTCGATCCCTCACTCGAACGGCTTTGAAAATGTCCGCATATTTTCCAGACCCTTGTTGTTTCGTTTGCCGATTAAGAAAACTGCTCGACTGGGAGAACAAGGACTGGCGCATTTACCAATCTTACACACGATCTCATACTCATCGCTCTTCGAACATTCCCCTATCTCGCATCAGTAATGCTCTTAAAGCAAATTGAACTTATTCCGAGCTCAGATTCATTACTTCCTTACCTTTGATAAGACCCGACATCGTCCTGGCCCTTGCAGATACGTGTGGTATCCTAGAAGAACGGGACGTTAACGATGAGCGGGGTTGAAGCTGATGTGTGGTGGCGATGCTAAAATGCACAGGATCCGACCAGTATCTCTTATCTCACGCGCTTGTCCACGCACAATAGAGGCAAGCATCAGCCATTTGCCCAATGCAGTATTACAGTGCAGCAAGCAGAACTGAAAATTTGCGGCAATCTGGTAAATAAGCGCCTGAACTTTGTGAAGGGGGGTAACTTCGACCGCGGCAACGACAGTGTTTTCATGTGTGAAACCACACGCTCTAAGATGGAGGCCACCAATAGAAGACAGATGAAGTAAGGAGCTATGAGAATTGAGACGGATAGTGAAAGAGACGTTCTGGCGCAGTATTTCATGCTGCTCATCTGACCAGTCATTTGGGCTAAGGGGAATCCTTTGAGAGTATATGGATGATGCGAATCATCATTGCCGTTGTATTGCGCAGGCGTGCTATACCGCTACCTCTCCCGCGTCGGGACCTTGAACATATTGAAAGGCTGGATTGTAGACCGACCTGGCCAAGAGATGGCCCAATATCCCGTCTGTGCCAAACTCTTTGATCCCACCTCTCATACGGACCATTTTTATAACTGCTTCCCCATGCAGCCGGTACTCCACGTTCCCACAGAGGAACTGCCCAGCATCTGCCTGTTAGCTGCATCCACTAAACCATGCAATCGAGCTGGGACTACTTGCCTCTTCCGTCGCCAACACCAAGGCCAAAGCAATGGTATGGTCACTGATACACTTTTCCGGAGTCGACAGTGAGGCGCGGAGTATTTCGAAGCATTCGCTCTTATATTTGAGCAATGAAACTCGGTATGCGTCGTTTTCGGGATGCAAAGTCAACAGACTTCGGCATGCTGCCATAAAGAGACCCGCTAATAGGCCTCGTTCTGTAAGTGACCATGGTACGAACTGTGACCGGACCCTCTGGAGAAGGGCTTGCTCAGTCTCGGAATGCATGCAATCAGTATATCCGTGGTCTATGACGAAGGTGATGTCTGCGAACAATTAGTACTCTGACTGTGTCTGCCCACGACAAAGATCTTCATGGACAACGGTGGAGACCTGGAGACTTACAATGATCTACCAGAGCATTCTCCGAGTCTGAAATGATAGTAACAGAGGTCTGGAAGGGGTTCTTCCTGGTAGATGTCACGGAGGTCAGTGGATTGGGAATCCATATCCTCCGTTCGATTATTTGAGCGTCTTCGCGATTTTGCTGCTGCCGTGCAACACTTGCATGACTGGGTTCTTCGGTCTGTGTTTGTAGTGTTCCTTGCGGCAGTCGATCGCTAACCTGGCTCGATTGAATTGGAAAGTATTGACGGATCTCCAAACGGGCACGGCGACTTTGTTGCTTGCGGCCATGCGTGTTTTTTGCTACGTGGGATCGGATCACAGCGAGTGCTTCCGAACTGGTAGCGTCGTGGGGATTTGTCAAATTAAGAAACTGTACGCTTGAGTGCTGCTCCTTGCGTCTAGAGCTCGCCGTCCGTATGATGTTGTTTTGCTTCATCGAATATACGGTTGTCGCTGCAGTGGGGGGGGAGGGGGGGGGGGGGGGGGGGGGGGGGGGGAGGGCTGGGATGGTTCTGCTCAAAGGAGATATGTGCAACTGCTGGTTTTGAACTGGAAGCTTTCCGCATCGGCTCTGATTCGGTCAGATCCCCCAGCCGCCACAAGATGGAATCATTGTGGTTTTCCTGCTTACTTTTTCCGTCTGTTCCGAGCCTGTGAGATGGAAACAGAGAAATTGACGCTTATTCGTACGGCGTACCATCCATCGATTCATGTAGCAGGCACAAGAAATTTCAGTAACAGGATTCTCTTTACATATTTGTCACAGTCTTACTTGGCTCATCCTGCCCAAAAGAAAAGGCTAGCGAGAGCCGTTCCGGCAGTGGATCTATGGTGAAAACTCTCCGCAATTTCCCCTGATCTACTGCATAGTGTTTATTTTAGAATCATGGTCACGGTAGGGCGCGCTCAAGGTGAGCCGAAGCAGGGGTTTTCGTCCATTTCGGCCTTTGAAGCCTCTGAGAAAAATGGATAAGGACTTCTCAGCATCATGAACTTGGCATCTCGTACGGATGAAGATAAGCCATCAAAAACAACGGAGAACAGGCCTACCGTGAATATTAGCTACCAATTCTGCTTTGAGAAAGTCGGCGGTCGGCAATACTCTTTATTCCGTTCCCGCGAGTTGTTGCTTGACTGATGGTCGTCAGCCGCGAGATGATGGCTGCCGAATAGCCAACGTCCGCTCTTAAACAGGGCAATTGGTGAGAATAGCAGCTCACTAGTCCCACGCCATGCCTTTTGACACTTGCACCTGTACGTTATCGGCACGCCGAGACACACGGGCCGAGAACATGCTATTATTCATTGGTGTCATACCTGTGGGTACCATCGACCAGATGGAATCGCCGCCTGTGATAGCCCAGAAGCTAACTCGCCGCTGGGCTATTTTCCCCTTTTCTGTCAGTCATTCAATGTGGCATCACGACCACTCGCAGTTTGTATTAAATCAGTGTTAGGCGACTCAAGGTGTTTTGGGCCACAAGTTTCTGGTGAACCTCTATTAGCATGTCCTCAAGGGTCTCTCTACTGGTTAGGTATCGCTAGTAAACAACGATAATAGAGGATCCGTTCCTTTCATAAGCCGAATGAGCATGTGGCGGACGCGCTTTTCCTATGTCCAGCGCCTAGTCCTCTGGCCAAGAGCCAAGTGCGCTCGCGGCTGCGAAGAAAGAAAACGTACAAAACCGCGGTGGAATATCAGCTACTGGAGGATCTGGCACGTCACTCCAAAGCTTTATATCAACGCTGCGGGCAGAGGCTCTGAGTTTCTCCAGTCTCAACATCCGGGCGCCACTGATCGGGTCGCGCTTTGAAGCCATCCTAACTCAGGTGCATGTTAAGCAAACATTCTGCGGGTAGACGACCTTGAGCCGTCGCTCTATCGCACCAGCGAGAATCCTTACGCTATTAGCTCACGGCGAATCGTGTAAAGGGCACTCCGCACGCATAATACCGTGCTTGGGGCTGAGTGCTTGTAATGTTAGTAAGCTTGCAGCCCAAGCCCTATTGATCATGTAAGTGGATACTTCCCAGCAATGCTTCGACTAGGATTCCATAAAGAAGGGAACCCAGTAACATATGACTTTGCAGATTCGGAGATAACGTACGCATACTCCCTGCTACTATTTGTTATCCCAATCCTCCTTAACTGTGGAAACAGTTTGACTGAAAGATAAGACCCATTTCCAATTTGCGCTGGCGATGAAAAAATCCTTCTAACTCATAGGTGCATTTCCCCTCGTTTGCGTCTTGGAGCCCACCCGAACTGCTTCATCTGATTTCTTTCCGACAATAAGCCTGGATCTCAACGGCTGTCTCGGAGAGATGATACCCCCGGTTGGAGAAACAGGCTGCTCAACTGGAAATCTTGAACACGTTTTCTTACCCCGCTATCAATCGACCATGGCTGTCACTTGATCGCGTTTACAGAGAGACCTACATACACTGTCCCATCCCCCATCCCGACATCATATCCGTCTGGCTCATGGATCAAAACTTGGACGCGTAATCATAGCCAATAGTCTGAACTTCGATGTCCGATACCTCTAGTACTGTTCGTCATGTATATCTCGTATTCTGCTGTGGCTTTCTTCGTGCTTCGCACTCGCCAGCTTACATCGTCCCAAACTCCAAATCAGCACCGTTCATTGACAAAATGCGGGGGTCTTGGGGGATCATCATTGGCATTTACCCCATGCAACCATGTATTCAAGGAATTGTCGCCGGAAATAATGGCCGTTTCTTAACCTTTGAGCTAGTATTTTAGCTGCCGTGACTCCGAATCCAAGTCTGGTCCATATTGAACCCATAGTCCCGCGTTTTGAACCACAGTTCTCGCGTTACATTTGACGACCCTTATTAAAGAACGATAATTCCCGCTTGAATAACGACCACTGGCTCTTGCCTGCATCTCCTTTATTCCTTGTGCGCTGGCCATCGCTTGAGAAGCTGCGCAACTACACTACAGGCTTGGCATCGCAATCAGGGCATACTTCGTACGAGGGTGAAAGAATACCCGAAAGATCGATGCCGACTGTTACATTCGGGGTAGCTCATGGATGCACTTCATGCGGGGGACGAGTTCCGACAATTCCTGAGCCCACTGACCTTCCATCCTTCATCTACTTCAGCGTATCATATCGTCGTAAACTCGGACACAGTGTGGTCTGTTCAACTCCAAATGACACAAGTCGTGTACAGCGTCCGAACCCCTCACGATAAGTTGCAATTATTTCCAAGAAGGAATCAAGCATACGTCACGCAGAAGTGATAATGTGCTTACGGCTTCACGCTGGATGGCTCGTCTCCCCGCATTTGGTGCAGGCAGAATGCTACTCGACAGATCTGAGGGCATGAGAGGGGCTGTGTTTCGTCTCCACAAGCGCCGCGTTGCAGGAATCCGGGGTGCATGAACTGTGGCTCTGATTAGCTCGGATGCCCAGGTAAGCGGGGACAACGTGTCAAGCAACTATAACTCCCGGGTCTGTAGTTGTTGTGAAGTTTCTCAACCGGCGAATATCAAGCCCCCGAGCGTAATCCTTGGATCGGCATATGATATGTCTACCAGGCATGAGGTCAAGCGAATTCAGCCGGGACATAACATCGGTGTTTCTTCAAACAGCAAGCAGATCTACGCCTTCATAAACAACATCGATATTGTAAGTCTCCCTTTAAATATGCCAGGATCCATTCATATCATACAACTCATAATCTCTAGGTATTGTCGCTCTATGCCGCTATGCCCAGGAGTTCCTATAGTATTATATCGAGTAGTTACCGTATCAGCCTCCTCCTCTTCTAGACAAATCCGTAAGCTTCACAACGCTTGTCGTTGCGTATCACCCCGCAGTCTTGGCCATGCAAGCCAAAAAGTTAACAGTACAGCCTACTTCATGCGGACCTATTGGATATTGTGGCAAGAGTCCACGGGTAAATGGAACGTTGGCTACCTATGACTATATCTCGCTTATAGATCCATGCGCACGGTTGCAACTGGCCTCTCAACTTTGGATGTGAGGGGATGAATATGACGTGTAGTTCAATCATGCAGTAGAGTAGACTCTAAGGGAGATTTTTCGGAATCACGAATCATTGGCTATCTACGGCAATGATGTATGGATTCCAAAGGTCTATATAAGACCAAGACATATTTCATTGCTCCCTCACCATTCTCTCAACAGTGTCACATCCTCTCGACGAACAATTAACATAGTCTGAGAGAAGGTCGACCATAATGACAACGCAGTACTCGGGGAATGGCAGCTCCTTGCCCGATGAGTTCGACATCATCGTGGCAGGAGGTGGAAGCTGCGGCTGTGTAGTGGCGGGACGGTAAGTTCCAGCGCTCGCTCGAGGTTGGTATATAATCAGGGCAATGAAACTAACCAGTACAGTCTGGCAAATCTGGACCATAATCTCAAGGTTTTGTTGATTGAGGCTGGTGAGAGCAACCTCAACAACCCTTGGGTCTTTCGGCCGGGTATCTATCCACGAAACATGAAACTCGACTCCAAGACAGCATCGTTTTATGAGTCCCGTCCGTCTAAGTGGCTGGCTGGTCGAAAAGCTGTTGTGCCCTGCGCCCACATCCTGGGTGGTGGCTCATCCATCAACTTCATGATGTACACACGTGCTTCGGCCTCAGACTACGACGATTTTCAGGCCAAGGGGTGGACAACTAAAGAGCTGCTGCCTCTCATGAAGAAGCACGAGACATATCAAAGGGCCTGCCAGAATCGTGACATTCACGGATTTGAAGGCCCTATCAAGGTTTCTTTCGGCAATTACACGTACCCAATCAAAGACGACTTCCTTCGGGCTGCAGAGTCACAGGGCATCCCTGTTGTTGACGACCTGCAGGACCTCGTCACCGCGCATGGTGCTGAGCACTGGTTGAAGTGGATTAACCGAGACACCGGACGGCGAAGTGACAGTGCTCATGCTTACATTCATGCCACTCGAGCTGTCCACTCCAACCTCTACTTGGCCTGCAACACAAAGGTTGACAAGGTGATCATCGAAAATGGGCGAGCAGTTGGAGTGCAGACTGTTCCAACCAAGCCTCTGGGAACCGGTCAGCCTCGAACCCGCATATTCCGTGCACGCAAGCAAATCGTGGTATCTGGCGGAACACTCTCGTCTCCTTTGATCCTCCAACGCTCAGGCATTGGTGATCCTGAGAAGTTGAAGAAGGCGGGAGTCAACTGCTTGGTCAATCTTCCTGGTGTTGGGCTCAACTTCCAGGACCATTATTTGACCTTCTCGGTGTTCAGAGCGAAGCCCGATGTCGAGACTTTTGATGACTTCATCCGGGGCGATCCCGAGGTGCAAAGGCGTAAGTAGATGAGAATTGTCGCAGTATCTGATCATTATGTGATTTACATATACTAATGTTGGCCTCACACAGGTGTTTTTGATGAGTGGCATTTGAAGGGAACCGGGCCCCTCGCTACTAACGGCATTGAGGCAGGCGTCAAGATCCGCCCAACGGAGCAAGAGTTGAAGGAATTCGAGAGCTGGCCAACTCCTCACTTCAAGGATGGCTGGAAGAGTTACTTTAAGGATAAGCCAGACAAACCGGTGATGCACTACAGTGTCATATCAGGCTGGTTTGGTGATCATATGTTGATGTGAGAAACCTTCCAGCGCCTCAAACAGTAACTTCGTTTCTGACCATTTCGCAAGGCCTCCTGGAAAATTCTTTACAATGTTCCATTTCTTGGAATATCCATTCTCGAGAGGCAGCACCCATATCAGGAGCGCTGATCCGTACGAGAGCCCAGATTTTGACTGCGGCTTCATGAACGATGAGCGTGACATGGTACCTATGGTGTGGGGATATATCAAGTCGAGGGAGACTGCAAGGAGGATGGATGCATACGCAGGAGAGGTGGAGACCATGGTTTGTTACCCTTCATGACACCCTTGGTCATCGTCGTGGCTGACCTCACACCTCGTAGCACCCCTTCTTCGACTACGACTCTCCTGCGAGAGCTCATGACATGGACCTAGCCACGACCAAAGCCTACGCCCTTCCCGGCAACTTGTCTGCTGGAATCACCCATGGCAGCTGGTCTTCTTACTTGCCTGCGCCTGACAAAAAGGCGGCCGTCAGCATCTTGTCTTCCAACAAGGCCGATACACGTGAGGAACTCAAATACAGCGCGAGGGACATCAAGGCCGTTGAAGATTGGGTGAAGCGCCATGTGGAGAGCACCTGGCACAGCTTGGGAACCTGCTCCATGGCTCCCAAGGAAGGTAACAGTATCGTAAAGCACGGAGTGCTGGATGAGCGGTTGAATGTGCACGGCGTCAAGGGACTCAAGGTTGCAGATCTCAGTATCTGTCCCGACAACGTTGGCTGTAACACGTGAGTGTTCCTCATTGGGCCTCTAGATTCTTGAGAATGAATGACTCGCTAACTCCGATCCAGATACTCCACGGCTCTCCTGATTGGCGAAAAGGCCGCGATGTTGGTAGCTGAGGATCTTGGATATTCTGGCGAGGCGCTGGAGATGAAGGTTCCCACGTATAATGCACCCGGTGAGCTGGCATTGCAGTATCGTCTCTGAGCAATGAGTGTTGTTGCATCTCAGATTAAGTCCGAATGTTAACCACAGACTGTTATCGTTCCTTGATACACGAGGTATCTACCCTGCATCATTCACTCGTTAATCTGTCTGACGATTTGTCTTTTGTATAGTCAAGTTTGATAAGCAGTTCATCAAGGTGTTCTTCCGTCTTTCCCACTGTGACTGCTGTTATCAGTAGAACGGCAAAACGATGCTTTCGAAAGGAACGTGTGTTTTAATGTAGAGGTCGTTGAGAAATGCCTCGATACCAATCCCCGATCCAACCATACCCCAAGATTCGCTTATTACAGAATTGCATGGCCCTGCATCTTATCGGTGGGGTATCAGTTAATCACGAAACATGATAGTCGATAGACCTGGCTCCCATATCCGGTTGTTGCAACGTCGTCTCTCCGCCTCAACCTTGTACCGATGAACAGATGGAGTGCATACGCGGCGTATTGATACCGAATTGCCAATACAGCCTATAATTCTGTTGAAAAGCTCTTCGAGCATGTTAGAACCTGCTTTCATACGACATATTCCAAGTTATTTGTCTAATATCAGCATCTGCTTGCATGCCCCCTCTTTCTTTCCATCTTCGAGCACCTAATTCATAGTAATGGGCAGATTGTTACCAGTCAACAACACGGCTGATGATTCCCGTCATCGCCCAATTGCCGCCCACACAAGCGGTTTGATTCATTGTAGTATCTCCGTGCCGTCCCCATCTAGGCGGAGAGCAGCCAATAGCACGGCAATGCCGTCTTATCCGAAATTACGGAGGAATGGCACCCGCCACGTGCAGGACCACAGAAGATGCCTTTGCTCCGACAAAAGATGAAGCCTATCACGAATGCGGAAGCTCTGAGCTGGGGAGCTGACAAAATAGGCTAGACTCTAAACACTCTGAACGAAACCATTGAATATTACTGCCGAGCAGTAGCACATGGCCTCGTGCTGGCGATTGAGGTTCTTTTGAGGAAGAGGGCCTTCAAGGGTCTCGATCATGGCGATGCTTGATCTTCTAAGAGGTATGATAAGTGGTGTTCAGTTTTCGCATTCTTGTCAAGCCAGAATTTGGCATGGACATCAGCGCAGAGATGGTCAGAAATCCTGCAAGATACATTCGGCAGCGTCATGTCAAAAAACGGCAGATGCTTCACATGGAGCTGGTACCTGCATATAGATTTCGGCTAGCTGTGACAGTCAGGTTTCCTAACTAACCACTCTCAACCTTCCGCATTGAGACTTGAAATCATCAGACGCCGAAATGTACTAGAGAATAACGTTGCATCAGATTCATACTAATCGTGGATGGATTGCAGTTTCAGCCCACATCATCAGTAAGATACTGCCTGTGGATCTGACGAGTTAATCCCTATCATTCTCGCCGTTACGACTGACGAAGATAGCATTGCATCCTACTCTCCTCCTCCCACAAGTAATAGTATGGAATGTTTCAGTCATCACCTAACATACCTATTCATGTAACCATGTCAGCTTGTGAACTGGAGCCGCCTGGGTGGGTTGTTGTCAGGTATGGGCATAACACCTACCCAGATGTTCTATTAGCAAAATGTGACCGGTGTAAGCTTGGCCCAGCTGCCTCATTGGTCATACCATAAGGCGACGTCCTTGACTTGAAACAATATCCAATATCATCTGTGAAATTGATATAAAGGCTTGATCTGCTCGCGTTGTAACTCCCAAGTCATCAGCACGATAGGCGAGTCCACAGCTGTCTTCGTTCCTTTTCAGTCATTCCTTTTGGTTTTTACGCTCCTTCAAATATCAGGTAGCCGATATGCCTTCCTTTTCTTCCTTTACTTCCGCACTTGGACTTTTGTCCCTTCTTCCCGCGGCGCGGGCCGGCTGGAATCAGAATGGCAACGACAACATTGTCGTCTATTGGGGTAATTATTTCTTCTCTTTGGTAAAAGAGGCTGACTCTACGATGGATTAAGAAGCATCAGCCGTGAGGAGTCTAGAGCTAACAATATCCCTTGAACTGTAGGCCAAAACTCCGGCAGCGTTGGCCAGAACCGCCTCTCATACTACTGCCAGAATGCCCCTGATGTCGACGTCATCAACATCTCCTTCATGGTTGGCATCACCAACCTTAACCTTAACCTCGCCAACGTTGGAAACAACTGCACGGCTTTCCCAGAGGCTCCCAACCTGCTCAACTGCCCCCAGGTTGCCGCCGATATTGTCGAGTGCCAGCAGACCTATGGAAAGACAATCATGATGAGTCTGTTTGGCTCCACTTACAGTGAGAGTGGTTTCAGCTCATCATCGGCCGCTGTGGCGGCTGCCCAGGAGATGTGGGCTATGTACGGCCCCGTTCAGAGCGGCAACAGCACTCCCCGACCTTTTGGAGACGCTGTTGTTGATGGCTTCGACTTCGATCTTGAGGACCCTATTGAGAACAACATGGAGCCCTTCGCTGCTGAGCTGCGAAGCCTGCTCGATGCCGACACCTCCAAGAAGTTCTATCTCTCGGCTGCTCCTCAGTGCCCTTACCCCGATGCATCTGACCAGTCATTCCTCGACGGCCAGGTGCCTTTCGACTGGATCAATGTCCAGTTCTACAACAACCCCTGCGGTACCTCCCACTATCCTGCTGATTTCAACTGGGCAACCTGGGACAACTGGGCCAAGACTGTCAGCGCCAACAAGAACGCAAAGGTTCTCATCGGAACCCCCGCCAACGTCGGCGGCGCCAACCCTGGATATTACCCTACCGACTCTCAGCTGTCTGGAGCCATCTCTCTCGCCAAGGCTTCTTCTAGCTTTGGCGGTGTCATGCTATGGGATATGGCTCAGCTGTTCACCAACCAGGGATATCTGGACAAGATCGTGGCCGACCTCGGCAGCTCTGCATCTCCTCCTCCTCCCGCTTCTACCACCCTTCAGACTATCACCCGGTCCTCCACTGCCAGCACCGGCCCTACTAGCCCTCCCTCTGGAGGCTCTGTCCCTCAATGGGGCCAGGTGAGTCTTTTCACAGCATAAGCGCATGTCGAAAATGAAAGCTAACAACTTGTATCATAGTGCGGCGGTGAGGGTTACACGGGCCCTACTCAGTGCCAGGCTCCTTTCACGTGCGTCGCCACGTCAGAATGGTGGTCTTCTTGCCAGTGAGAGGTATTACGGGTTTCGTGGAGACTCCAGATCCTTTTTGCACGAACATCAAGTCCGCACCCTTCTTCCAATGTCTTCAAGGTTGGATCACTTGGCATCGGCTTGTTACCAAGCCTCTTTCTCTTCTGTCATGTAAATATTCCCTTATTCCAGTATATAGTTGGGCTGAAAGATGTATCTAAGACTCATTCATGATGTTGATCTCTAATGTACGTTGATGGCCGTTCGAAGGACCTGAGAAATACATATGTTTTGCAACTGCCGCAGGTTTGTGACGTTGATGGAACAGGGGTCCTTCGTACATGCTAAGATGCCCAGGATATGCCATCCATGCTGTTGCTGACCATGGCACGTGTGGGCTCTTGAGTGGGATAGGTAGCGGTCGTTGCGAACCCTAGAATACTCAGGTAATGATTGAACTCGTCATCGAGAAACCCCAGGCTCCAAGTTTTTGGGCTAGCACCGGACTCAACATAGAGTCGTGCGACTTTGTAGAGCAACTGAAAGAGTCGTTGACGGCGTCTGGCCGGCTTTGTAGAAGACTCTAGCGCCTCTAAGGTCATGACGAAATCAGAAAGGCGAGAAAGATCCACAGGTTCAGACATCTCGATGCATCGCCGGAAAAGCACGATAAAAGGCACAAATGGGGTATGTAGGACAACACTTAAAATATCAGCACCACTTGTCCAGCGATTCCGGGACAAGGGGTATCTTACCGATTAATGTACCTAGCTGTAATCATAGGCTCATCAGTGCAAGCTTTTAATGATGCTATAGTACTCTGGTGGGCATCCATAGCCCTCCGCGCAGCCGTGAAGCAGTCCGAAGAGATGCCATTATCCAGCGTAGCGACAGCTCGATGGATAAGCGTAAGAACGGAGAGAAGCTCAACCCGCTCAGCAGCAATGTGAACCTTTCGCAGTACATCTGTACTCTCCGGGGTAGTGGTATGCTCAAAGCTCTGGAGCGCAGGCTATCAGTTTCAAAGCCTCCTTCCAAAGGTCACGGCGAGACAAAGGTGCTCTTACATCAATCAGAATCTGAAGCTCGCTGGAAAGAGCTGCGACGCTACTCTCTCGGTCTGCAAGAGGTCGAGAAAGACCAAAAGAACTGTACAACTCGTCGTAAACCCTGGCCTGAATACTGGCAGACTGATTCCACCTCATCTCCATAGGCTCGCACGGCAACGACACATTGTATTCTTGGATGTTTGAAGATCTTCCAAGACGCAGTGACAGGCCCTTGTCTATCCGATATACAGTGAAGAAGAGTCGCTGCTTGGCCATTTTTATGCTTTTACTGTCGTTCTCAAAGAATGACTGTTGATGATATCCTAGCGTCTGGCAGAGGTGTGAAGCCGACGAAGAGAATGTCCACGCAAGAAGGTCTTTACAGAGCTCTATAGCATGCAGTGCCTGTTTGGTGCATTAGATAGACTCCCCTGATCAACTCTTGTTAAGCTTAATACCTGTGAGAAGGCTGTGCTGAGGCGATTGACTTACACCTATAACCATGGCTGCAATAACTTCCATAGAGGCTGGTAGAAGGAACGGAAGGCGAGAGAATGCCAACTGAATGTTATCTCGGCATTGGATACCGTACTGCTGGAACTCAGGACGCTTGAATAGCGCCGCATACTCCCAATATAGCCAGTAAAGGCAGCCATTGGCAATGATAAACTCTACCTCGCTATAATCGTGCACAGAAAAGTATACTTTCTGGCAGATGCCAATAATTCTCTCAAGGGGCAAAATCTGCGATATCCATGTTACGATATAGGACGAAGAGCTTTCTATAGGAGGAGAGGTCACCAAAGGGAAGCTATGAATGGAGGAAGAGCAGAGAGCCGTACCTTTTGCCCATCTCAGAATAAACACGGCAGCTTCCAATGGAGTTACTTCTTCCGTCGTCCTAGCGATGGATGTCGAGATTGGCTCATCCAAGAAGGACATTTGGTGCACGACAATTTGATCGTTTTTATAGCGCAATAGCTCCCGTAGACAGGCTAGAAGATCATCTCTCTCAAGGTCCGAGCCATCCAAAGAGGTCTGCGCCGCTATGCTCTCCACGAATCGTTTGGCGTCCAGTGAGTGAGCTGTGAAGGATGACTCTCCTGTAAATGGACAAGGCGATTGTCGACCGTTCTCCGGAGTGTCTTTGACAGGAGGGCTATCCAAGTCTATTCTGTGACTGGGGTGATGGGCTTTCGGACTTTGGCTGCGCTCTCGCAGGAGCCTCTTGATCTCGTTGATCCCCTCCGAAATGTTGTCGATCTTTTTTTCACTGTGAGGAACGGGAGAAATTGGTGTCACTGAACAAAGTTCCGCGGATAAAGAGCCAGGCACTTACTACTGGGCTGATATGAGGATCCTCTGGCCCTGCTCTCTTGGTCTTGACACAACAGTAGTATGAGTGCAGCGAATCTTGGCGATATCGCAGCTGGAGCATGGCGATCCTCTGTTACATGCAATCTGAAGTCACGAGCCTTGTCAGCCATTTGACTTTCCACTTCCGCTGAAGGAAAGATACTTTTCGAGCTCGGCATTGGTCGCACTTGTGTTGTAAGTCATTCGTCAGTTTTGCTGCGCACGCTCTCTCAATCAATGCTGCAACTCACAGATCGCCGAGGGATTGCGGGCTGTTTCTGAGGCGGCGCATCTGCAATTCCGCGGATATCCATGGCCAATGGTGAAACTGACTCGTTGAAGTCCCGAGAGAAACTGGTTCTAGCAGTTGTATTGTTGGAGAATGATGAAGAGAAGGTCATAGAGACAGTTCACGAGCCGGAGATGCGCGGCTTTCCGGGCCCCGTTGCGTCAGCTTCAACAGCCAATCATGCTCCCCTGGTACTTGGTACTCCGATGACTTGTCCCCATGCCGGAGTTTATGACTGAACAAATCGTAGCGAATGTGCTCTGTGGAAGGCCGTGCTTGCAATGATAAATAGATGGAGAGATCACATACAAAGACGCTGCAACTGGACTGATAGTCAATCGCATCACAATACTGGATCCTGGTCTTGTTTCATTCCTGTAAAGCACCATGGCGTGTAATATTCTGATCACAGGCGCTGCCGGATACATGCAAGTTAGATCCATAATCTTCTTTGTCATTGACTAACGATTTACATTCAGTGGGGGGTCGCTTGTCGTCGGACTCCTGGCTAGTGAGGATGTCAAATTTGGACCCAAAAATATCAACGTTACTGTCCGCTCTGAAGAGCAGGCCAGATACTTTGACAAGCTGGGCGTGAACGCCTTCCAGTGTTCGTTGCTTGACGAGGACGAGATAACTAGCATTGTGCTCGACAGAAATGGTATGCCCTTTGAAAACGCCCCCTTGGAAACTTGGCTCATATATGATACCCTCATAGTCGACATCGTTGTCCATTGTGCAAGTTCACTGGATCCAAGTCTCGCCTTCCCTTTGATCTTGGCTCTACAGAAGAGGCGCAAGGTCACTGGAAAAGAGACATCCTTCATTCATGTGAGATAACCTCTTTTCTTTTCTAGTCTATCATACGGATTAAGAAGATGAATTCTCATTGGACTCAGACAGCTGGAATGGGAGCCTTCAGTAAAGAAGCAGGCTGGCCTCATGGTCCCGTGAAGGATACTGGTCCAGTCTTTGAGCTCGAGAAACAGATCCCAGGAAAAGATGCATTTCCGGTGACAAGAGTATGGCACCAAGTTCAAATCCGCGGGTTATGGCACTAATCTGACGAATTTCTCAGGTGAGCGTTGCTATAACTGAGTTCGCAAAGAAGGCGAATGTGGCATCCTTCATTATCTTTCCGCCTCTCGTTTGTGCGTCCCCGGTCAGATTGATGCTTTGGATTGAATAGCTTACAAGTATATGGCCTGATTTGCTCTTAATAGACGGCCGAGGCACTGGTCCATACAAAAAGTTGTCCGTTCAAGTCCCTGGACTCGTTCGTGCCAGTATCTCACAGAAGGCGGTATACAAATTCGACTACCAAGGTGTAAGTGATAGACTTGAAGGCGACTTGCATTATGCCGTATGCTAAGTTTCTCATAGCGCTGGCCGGCGGCGCATATATCTGATGTAGTAGACTACTACATCCTCCTCACCAAGCTCATTATCGAGGGGAAGAATCCTGAAAGCGGCGAAAGGGGCTACTACTTTGCAGCAGCTCATTATTTGAGCTGGTGGGAGATCATGGAGGCCTTGGCCAAGTCTCTCCACGCCCGTGATCTCGTCAAGGAACCGACAGTGGCTGTCTGGCCAAGCGTGGAGCTTGCTGAACAGGCCCTCGGTTTTCCGTCGCCATACTTGCAGATCGCATTTAGTTCAAGGTCAGTATTTTTATCGTTATAATTAGATCATTTCTTCAACCTGACATGGCAATAGCCCTCAAGGTGTTGCGGATAAAAGGTACAGTATTGGGTGGGAGCCAAAGTGGACTGCTGACGATTTCTTCAAAATCGTTGATGACGAGGTCCAAAGCGTCCTTGACCTTGATGTAGCCCGTGCTACCATAGCGGATTTCTTTACGAAGGGCCCAGCCAAAGGAGGGAGACAGTGAAGGGGATAAGCATTAGCAGTCGATTTACTGTAACGAAAGGCTCAGTTGGTGCTTCACATCCTGTCCTATAGCAATCAGAAGAGTGCCGCCGATAGCAGTGAGGGCTTGAACAACAAAGACCATGGCGTCTTTCATATATTATTGATCAATTGAGGTTTAATCGTCAATGGACAAGATGCACAACACTCTGGGAGATGACTTGAAAAGCAGTTATGATTTGCGGCTTGCCAGATGCTCTCCACACGGAAACCCGCGATTGTCGATGGAGTAATACCAGCTTGGCGGCGATCATACCGGTGTTCCTTTCATCTGTCAAAGAGATCTTTCGGCTACTGTGTGATTGCCACATAGCAGAGCTTGCAGTGGTCATGGAACACGAAAGTGATCGAAGTCCCTCAAGAGTCTTATTTGGTGGGTTCTTCCTGGCTGTTTATGTCTGCCAAGTGCTCCGGCCAAGGCTTTTAGAATAATTGAAGTGAGTATGATGCAGTAAGTATCTGGGAAGCTTTCCGTTATCCCATGCTGAGCTTGCCATTGCGCAGCTTGATGGTATCAGCCGTCATTAGGTAGTCATAGAATGCGAGCCTGGTCGATGTCCAAACGGCACACCTGCAGAGGCAACAAGGCGATCCAGGAACGCAGTTGCACTCGATTCGGTCGTCTTTGTGTCCAGCAGGCGTGGCGACTTGCCATGGAAGGCGTCCAGCTTCTAAGGCTCGTTCACATACCCAAACATGCATTAACCTGCGAGGCGTGGCAATCCAATTATACCGCGGCATTTTCTTCATTCTTCAGAACGTTATCATTACGTTTGCACAAGGCGGATTGTTGCGCGAGAGCTGATGGCGAGCACATCATAGGGCCAAAGCTCTGGTCTAGACTTAATGAACCAATCAATGTGACATGAGGGCCCTTGCTGATGGCATGCGGGACGGTCCAAGCTGAAGAGTGTTGGACATGAACTTGTATGTACGGTGTAAGGCGCTAGTCTTCAGCATTTACTATCTTACCAGTACCGAGTAAGCGTATACTTGAAGAAATCGTCTGACCTTCTCAGCGGACGATCTATAACACAGGCGACAGTGATGAGGAGAAGTCATGGGCAGAACAAGAGTCACCTCACATAATGCCGTTGAGGAGGCGACGAGAGTCACCTCACTTAATGCCGTTGAGGAGGCGAAATAACCGCAGCTGATACTCCATGTACCAACCACGACTATTGGCTGGGTATCAATCAAGTCCGATCCTCTTCACAAACCGGATGTAGCCAGATAAGCCATCCCCAATCCGCGACGGTGAGACAGTCTTCAGGGCCGTTTGGCCCGGCTGGTGGTGGTATTTCGATAAGTTGGAACAAGCTCAGTCGCCCACTTCGCCCTCAAGCCATTCAACCATCCAACCTCTTGTTCCTAGCGGACGATCCTTCTAGCCTTGTTCCGTAGTCAAGCTGTAGAGCCAACGGAGGCAAAGGCCAGAACACAAACACTACCAGGATAGTAATTCTCCTTCTTGGCATTGGCACATGGCGCCGTCGCGCGAATGACCAACAGCCCTACGGTAAGACTCTCACGGAATACAAGACCCGATTCTGCGTGGAAACTGGTGTTATGTATTCTATCGGCAAACGGCTCCATAATAATTCATATCGGGACTAATTTTACAAGATGTTCCTTTGTGGTAGCAGTGGGACAATGTGCCGAAAAGGCAACTCTGATCTCCAGGCAGCTCTTGACGGCGATCACGCAATTCTACCGCTGTTGGTGTGCAACCACACCAACTCGGCAGGCCCGTGAGACACCATGCGGGCTATCATGCAGGGCAGGTTTCTCTCTTATCAAATCAATCATAAAAGTCCACGTCCCTTGCTTGAGGCCGCTATTGTCATTGCTTCTCACAGTCCGGACGCGTCGACACCGGGAACAACAAACATGGCGGCCAGCGATTCACCCCCTCAGTCGAAGAACGAGGCCACATTCGCTTCCAGCGACAATGGAGTCCAAGTCGCTGAGACAGAGTTCAGGGAGGAAGTGGGAGGCTTGCATTTTGACCAATATCTTGCTGGAGGGATGGGTCGCCATCTGGGCATCTTCAGCACAACCTCTCTGATGTTCGACTTGACCATTTCTCCCCCTTCTTTACCGCCCGAAGCGCCGAGTCATTAACAGTTGCTGTTTCAGTATCGGGCGAATCATCGGCACAGGAATCTTTTCCACTCCTTCCTCGATCGTCAATGGCGTCGGATCTTTGGGGGCCTCGATGCTCTTGTGGGTGCTGGGGCTTCTGCTGTCCGTCTCGGGGCTCTGCGTCTGGCTTGAGTTTGCCTGCATGATACCCCGAAGCGGTGGCGAGAAAGTATATCTCGAAGCAGCATATCGTCGACCGAAAATGTTGATAACGACAATTTTCGCGGTCCAAGCCATTGCTCTTGGATTTACGGGTAAGTCCAGCTTCCGAACCGGCGCAGGCGAAGAAACAACGAACTTGAAGCCTAATTCGAACTACAGCTTCTGGTTGTATTGTTTTTGCATCAAATATTCTTGTAGCGGCAAACAAGACAGTTACGGAATGGGCAGAACGAGGCATTGCCATTGGCGTCATCATCTCGGTCACTGTCATCCACACGTTTGTCCCGAAGCTCGGCGTTCACGGGATGAACTTCTTTACCATCCTGAAGCTTATTCTGCTCATCTTTATTGTTGTCACGGGATGGGTGGTACTCGGAGGTGGTGTTTCACGAGTACCGGATCCTCACGCAAGCTTTCACAATGCGTTTGCCGGGTCCGCACAGTCCGGTAACCCATATGCAACTGCATTGTTCAAAGTGCTCAACTCATACGCAGGGTAAGAGCCTATTCGTCAGATGAGAAGCTCCAGCATTGACTTGGTCTTTTAGTTGGTCTAACGCAATGTACGTGCTCAACGAGGTGAAAAATCCCGTTCGAACCATCAAGATTGCCGGTCCCCTGGGCCTTTCGACGTGCGGAATCCTGTACATCCTCGCCAACGTCGCGTATTTCTCTGCGGCGACACCTGCAGAAATCGCAGCAAGCGGAACGACTGTGGCCTCCTTTTTCATGAAGAAGGTGTTTGGCTCTGCCGCCCAAAGGGCCCTCAGGTGAGATTCCAGTTACTTGGAAATATCCCCGGTTGTCACTCACCAGCTTTGCTTACCATTTTCCAGTGTTCTCGTTGCCCTTTCAGCATATGGCAACGTCTTGACAGTAACCTTTGCCCAGTCGCGAGTCAATCAGGAGCTTGCCAAAGAAGGCGTCATTCCCTTTCCACGATTTTGGGCTTCGTCATGGCCCTTCGGCTCGCCATCCGCCGGCTTGATCCTGCATTTCATCCCCTCCTTCATCGTCATCGTCGCCATACCCTTCGGAGACGCCTACAACTTTATTCTCGATGTCGAGGGATATCCTGGAGCTGTCATGAACTTCCTGGTAGTCGCAGGTCTATTCTATCTACGTTGGACAGAGCCAAAGGCACCGCGACCATTTAAAGTATGGCTGCCGGTCGCAGCGTTCTTCATGCTTGGACAGGCATTTCAGTTGGTGGCTCCATTCTTGAGGCCTCCGGGAGGAAAAGGCGATACCAGTCTGCCATACTGGCTCTATGCCGTCGTGGGCATTTCCATTCTGGCAGCGTCTGTTGTTTACTGGGCTGTGTGGTGGGTGGCAGCACCCAAGCTGGGAGGATATACGTTGCAGTCGCGAAACGAGCCTCTTACAGATGGGACAAATGTGATCGTGTATCACCGTGTACCCACCCAGGACTGAGAAGCGTAGATTTGCCAGGATTACTTAGAGATGAAGCATTTTGAGAAGCGCTTTCTTTCCGTCATTTAATAAGAAATTTGAGTGTTCTCAACATGAGTGTCAAGTTGCCAAGATTCCCCGACCAGAAGTTGAAGCTGTTAGCCTGCCTCTTCTTTCATACATGACCGGAGGTATATTATTGTCTCTGCCTCCTAACCGGAGACTTCTTGCTTAACCCAACCCTGAAAAATTGAAGAGGGAAACAATTGTTCAATCCTTAGACCCGTGTTCATGAGGTAACATGAGGCCAAGTTAGCAGCAGCAACCTCGGTCTCAAAACGGCGCGGTATATGGCTTCTACAACTTCAATAATGACAAGCGAAGGTGGGCTAGCGCTTTGCAGCGGGAAACGACCCTAGGATCTTACATCCAGTACCAGGACAACAACAACCCCAAGTGGGTAAAGTAAGCTGACACTTGTTGATCCAAGTTGTTTCACCGCCTATGCTGAACGAAGTCTACTGAGAAGCAAGTATTTATTTTCGCCGAACCCCTCAAATTCGGTCGTTTCTCGATCGCGTCAGTCATTTCTCAACTTGTAAACATGGGTTGTTGGGACTCCTACTGTTGCTTCTGGTAAGAATCTACACTTCGCATCTCGGACTCTATTGAGGCACACTCACTGACTGATCAGCTCTGGTCCATTCGAAAATGCAAGAAGAGGTTGGCTCGACTTTCTAACTGCCGGCGTCCCTGATGGCAAATGGCCACCGGGAGACGGAGAGTGGCACAACCCTCCTGGCTATCCAGTTCCGTCACAGCCCGTGGACGATATCGTGACCATATCAGATCGGGATGGCCAGTTTTGGAACATGGCCGTGACCGTTACCCCAAAATTTTCCGAGACCTTTGTTTCTACCCCCTGGTGAGTTGTTCACGGAAGTTGGTTTCAGCCCACCCACTTACATATCATCGCTACAGCACAGTACTCCGTAGGGGCTTATGGAGATGTGGGCATATTGGGTACCGAGGACGAGCTGCAAATTGGCGCTGATCCATTTCTCCTGATACATCCCACGTGTCTCTCTTTCCTCTGTCGCCACGCCGCCATCAGTCCGCGTGAGTTGTGGGAATCATTCTACGGCGAAAAATCGTGCTATAGGATGTTCCACGGCACATCGAATGGACTATTGTATTGCGTCGATTATTATGACATGCAACAGAGGAGCGGGCAGTCGTTCGATTACGCTGTGACACTTGACGATCCTCCGTCAGACCGCCCTGATCTCGGACCGAGGAAATGGTCAGATCCGGACACAATGGAAGATGCGAAATGGCTTTTGTCCAGGCCTACTCGTCTGCCAACTCCAAAGCGACTACAGCCAAGCACAATCACCCCCTCATCCAAGAAGCTCCGGAAGGTCTTTGACACACCTGAGCTTTTTGACATTATTCTGAGCCATATTGTCGACATACCTCAAGACATTATCAAGAATGGGCTGCAGAAAAGTAACGAATTGCAAGGGGGCAATGGCCGTTGTTCGTGTCAGGGAGTTTTGGAAGCACCCTCTGCCACTGTCGCCTCCAAGACTCTTCTCTCCCTGGCCCAAGTAGACCGCTGGTTCTACAGCGAAATGATACACAAACGACAAGATTGCTTTCTTCGTGCTTTGCGAAACTTTGGCTGGATGCTACCATTCACGCCCGCAGACTGGAGCGACAACAGCCGGGCCTCGGAGGTTCACGCCGATACTTCGCCATCACAGCTGGCGGATATTGACTGGCGACAGTATATGCTTACCTGCGTGAAGAAAGATCTTCCGCACGTCCAGAACCGGTGGAGATTTCACAGAATGGCTGTTCAATTTGAGCGAGGGACGACCAGGTACAGAACAAAAGAACGTCCCGATTGGTCTTGGAACGCGGGCAATCTAGGTTTAATTCCAAGCTTGGATAGGCCAGATCCTCATGAATGGGAGCTTGATATGGCTTGCTAGAATCTCAAGTGGACATTGTTTGAGGACAAAGAGCGACAAGACGTATCGGTGTGTCGCCCCCTATGATATCGGTATAAGACCCCAAGTCCGTGCGTCCTTTGTCGGAGGCTGAACACGGAAACCTTTGAGAACATTCTGCCGTCTAAAAGTCTTCCAGCCTGTACACCTCATATGCCGGCTCTTCATAAGGATGAGCCCTGCGAGCATAACCATGTTAAGGTCCCTTCGCCCAAGTTCAAATGCCATGGTTCAATACGTACTTCTTCAACGCCTCAACAGCCTTCTTCGTCACTTCCTGTCCCACACAGGGCGCCTCAACTCGTACTTCAGGCACCGTCTCCAGCTTATCGACCTCTCCGATGTGCGGGTTCGCTCCGCTCACCGGGCGAAACTGGCCGGTGCCCAAGGCTGTCCAGCAGCATTCTGTATATGAGCTGTTGGGGTAGCGACCCGCTCCCGCTGCAAAGATGGCAGCTTTGCAGACCTCGATATGGGACTGTGGGACGTAGAATATGAGCTTGAATATAGTTGCCATGATGTGACTGTTGAGTGGCTCGAAAAATAGTTTGAAGAATAATATTCAGGCCGTTCGGATTGATATGGTGTAAATGTTGAATGGAGCAGAATCGGCAGCGACTATGAGGTAGGCGTCAAGAAGCTCCTCAGCAAACCCCGCCAATCTGCTTAAGCTACTCCGTACTCCGTACGAAGTTCTCGGAACATTCCATCCCAGGCAAGAACAACATGGTAGCTCAGGTTACTCACTACAACCTACCTACCTAGTGTCGCACTGTACAATGTACTGTCCAGGCCATGCCACGAGAGACGCGGACTCGGGAGGTGTAGTATTCCCTGGGCTACCTAGCTTGTTATGTACAAAAGGTACCTAGTCTAGACGAGTACCTAGGTAGCTTCCATTTCATCTCACATTCTCATACCTAAGAGATCTCATGCCTACATGCCGAGCTGAGCTTCCTTCTTCCGTGTCGACTGGCACGGGAGTGATTAATTGCAACTTGCACGTACGGTCCCTGCCTCAACTTAGTGCAGCTTCGGATCGTGCAGTTGATCATGTCTATCGATGCTCATCATGGATTAATAACAGAGCAAAATGCAACTAACGATTTCCACATCACGAGTAATGAAGAGAGGAACATCCATATATGTCAAAAGTTCACAAAGACCTCCGCAGCCCCATGATTTATTAGCTAACGCCGGTTTCAATGCCATCCCCGTGTATATATCAGTACATCGAAAGAATTTGAGGGAAAATAAAGTGTGATATCAGAGGGAAGAGATGAAGGTCGCAGATGAGAAGAAAGAGGAAAAATAAAAAAAAAGTAAAGCCTGATGCCTCTTTAGTGGGCATAGGGACCATAACGCCATCGCTTTCCATTCTCTTCGACCCACCAGCGGGCCATAAATGCAGCTTCTTCGACCCATTTCGCGGCGTCGACGCCGTGTGTGTTCTCAACGCTGTACATGAAATTCACAAAGTCGAACCCGAGCAGGGTTCGTGCCCCCGTAGGATCCTTCATTAGATTCGTAAACTGCCACTCGACATTGTCGATGATGGGCACGACGAGGTGCCAGTCAGGCTGACGAGCGTCGCGGATGCTCAGCATGGCGCGACCCGGATTGACGACGGTAAATTGCCAGTTGCCCTGGCCGGTTTCGTTGTTGGAAGTATGGACTGGCCGAATGAGCGATTGGCCTTCATAGTTTTGGACCAGGTCCGAAGCGGCACGCGTCTGCGACTTGGAGAGCGAACCGGTTTCGCGAAGCAGATCGAGGATGGTGGGGAGAATCTGCGACGAGATGATTGCGTCGTCGACTTCGATTGCCGGCAACTTTGGGTGCGAAAAGACCAGAGGCACGCGAAGAGTGCCAATGTTGGGATTGTAATAGGGCGCCAGGATGTTATTCTCAGGCATCGACACTCCGTGATCGCCAACAAACACTACAAGAGTCTCGTCGGCAACGCCCTCCTCGTCCAGGATCTTCATGATCTTGCCCAACCATCGGTCATCGTAGCCAATGGCATTGATATAGTGGGAAATATCGTCCAAGCCACTACCTAGGGGTGTGTATGGCTCATCGGCCGGGATCGCAAACGGATGATGGCTGGTGCTAGTTAGGTGAGTGACAAAGGCCCGCTCGTTCTTCTTCTTGGCCTGGACGAAGGCGTCGCGAATGTAGTCCTCGACGGCGATATCGGCCATGCCGAAGTAGTTAATGTCTGGCAGGTCGACGGGACCAAACTTTGCAAAACGACTCTTGAGGTATTCTTTGGAGACGAGGTTGTCGGGGGATATGCCCATGGAGGACAGAAGAGGCACATATCTATCGTAGTTTTTGGTGACAGACTGCATAAAGGTAGAGTGCCATTTGAATGACGTAAAATCCTTGGCGCCCTCTTTGTCGGCATCGGCATCGTCATTGTCCAGCTTGTTGAGGGCGTCGAAAACCTGGGGCAAGCATGGCTGATAAAAGTGGTGGAGGTACTCCAGGTTGAAATCTGCCATGAGCGGCGTAAGACCGCACATTGTGCCGACGATGCTCTTGATGGTATAGGTAGCAGTGGTGAGGGCGTTACTGAAGCTGATGCCACCCCGCTTCTTCTTGCTTTTGTGTTCGAATCCGTCGTTATAGTCGCCCGTGATATAATTGGCGTTGGAGGTGAGGCCAGCGAGCATGGCTTGAGCTTCTTCGGGTAAGGTCCCGTTGCTGTATGAATTGGACAGGCGATTCCAGATAAGGCCATCCTTCTTCAACGGAAAGACATCCTTTCGCGTGCTTTCGAGGAGAATGAGCATGACATGGCGGATCGGCACGTCGGCGAGCTTATCCTCCAGCGCTGGAAGAAGCGAGTCCTGCAGGTTGGAGATCTTGAGAGGATCCGCAGCAGCATTGTAATGCTTGTGGTTCTTGTACCAGTCTCCAAATCCAGGAATGTGCCTCCGTGGAAGCCAGGGGAAAGACACGGGATCGGTCAAGGCAGTGCGATTGTCCCAGGAGCGCCCGATGCCGGTATTGTAAACGGGCTCGAGATGGTCTAGACTGGGAGACGAAAAGGAGAAATCGACAAAGGGAAGAAGCGCTGGAGTCCAGGATAAGAAGTTCAAGGCACTCTCGTTTGGCCGAATGAGAATCAGCACAACATGGGTAAGAAGTGCGCAGCCGATGAAGACGTAGAGCAGCCGCCTCAGAATGGTGACTGACGTCTTGCTTTTCATGTTGCAGAAATCCTCGTCGTCCTCCAGATCATCAAATGTGTTGGCAAGTTCGACGTCGAGCTGAGGAACCTGGGAGTAAGTGGCTGCCGAGGATGAAGAACGGCGCAGAGCAAAAGAAATAGGCCACTTGAGGATGTCGGTGGCTATGCCCGCGGCGACGTAGCAAATGTCTTGCATGATGCAGGCGACGAACAGCACGGTGAAAAGCACCAGGACCAGCGACGCAAGACCGGAGAGGAACATTGCGAAGGAGGAGGCGTCGCCCGCCAGGCCAATGTTGCGCCAATGGATCTCAGAGCCGCACACAGCGAAGAAGGTGACTGTCACAACCCCTACGGTGATGAGATATGTGAGGATTATGGATGCCATAGTCATCGTCGCAGTGCGCAACCAGCCAGTGCCCTCCGTCAACCAAGGGTCAAGCAGCAGCCGGACGAGGACCAACAGCGTAACGTCCTGCGCAAAGAAAGAATACCCCCATCGCACCAGGTGGACGAGGGGTAATGAAGATAGATGTGTATAGATGTGGACGCCCTTGGCGCTGTATATGGAGACTGTCGCGACGGCAAAGGCGAAGCGGCGGTTGGCAAAGCGGGAGACGACATTGGCGACATATCGTCGACGGGTCAGGCGTGAGGCAACGGCGTGTGCAAAGCTGCGCGTCACGCCGAGGTGGTGTGAGGGAGAGGGCGAAGCATCGAGCCGACTGCCAGCGGGCGGCTCCATGGCGGGATCGAGACGGGTATTCGAGGTTGAATTCGTCGCCGTCGACCGCAGATGACGAAGGGTAAAGGACGAGATGGTCCAGGAAGGCGAGTGCGACGCGATTCGAGTCGAATTCAAATGGTGATACCGAGAATAAAACCAAGCAGTCCAAGCACAATTGTTGGTTAGACGTAGTAGGTCGCACCGCAGCTGGCCTTGGCGGACAGTTGCTGGCGTTTGAAGAAGCGACGCAGACGAGGCTGTTCGCAAGCTCTCATTAGGATTAGGGCAGGGAGCCGAGGAGAGGGAGGCGGGGGAGAATGGCAAAACGAAGCGTCGGCGAGTAGACTGCAGACGAGACGAGAGGACAAGCAAAGGATCAGAGAGAGACGCTTGAGAGACGGTCGAGAGAAGAGAGAGAGAAGGGGACACGCCGGAAGGAAGGGTTCTGACGATGCTCCGTTCCTGGTCGATAGGCGAGATTGGAAGCGGCTAGTCGGCGAAGGAACGAGGTCGAGCAAGGTCGAGATCGAAAAGGAAGCCAAAGCCAAAGCCCAAAGGAGTGCAGGGTAGGCGGCTACTAATGCGGACGAAGGAGAGTTGAAAAGCAGCCCAGGCAAAGGGGAAAAGGAGAGTCGAGAACGATGGAGGAACACAGTTGGTTGGATCGTCGCCAGGCTCAGTTGGTTGAACTGCTCGTGCTCCAGAGTTGAGCAGCCAGCCCCAGGAGATCAACAAAGGTACATGTACCTGGGTCCAGGCACTAGGGGGGGCGGCTGCCGCCTCTGTCGCACGATTGGGGGCGAATCAGAACTCCGTGTGGCGCTGACACTGTGGGGAGGGTTGCCGCTAGGGGTGATCCTTGCGCTATAAAAGGGCGCCCAAGGCACCCAGGCTGCTGCACCCTGTGGTTTGCTGCAAGTACCAGTACCCGGCGAGGATGCTGCAGCTGTGCTGTGGGCGCTGTAACTGCACTGCGACATTTGGCGTCAAAGTCCCTTGGTCCCCCCACCGCCCCCAGCCCAGCGCTGGACCAAGACTCAGCCCTCCACTTCCATGTTTCGCTAGCTTCGAGAAGACGAACTGGGTCGATGGGGGCCGAGGCTTGCGAGGGCATCAGGAGGCGGCGCAACGGTGGATTAGAGTGGCTTAATTGGGCCAGGCAAGACAGCCGGTCGCGTGCTTGCCCTGCGTTCTGGCGCCGTGGCTGTCGGCGGGCGAGGATGAATATCTGTGGGATCTATTGTGGTCAATGGGGACTGGACACTGGGGTTTCAAGTTTCATCTCCCCGTACCCAGAAAGCATCGTCCAGACAGGCCTGCATGCCCAGGTAGTATTCATGGTGCTTTCATGTTGCGATCAGCACTGCAGCATGTACAGTATGAGATATCTGTTCTTTAACGGGGTCGTGTCGAGAGGTCCAGTGTCTCTGGTCTCCGTCCGTTCGCCGCAGCACCAAGCTTATGACTACATGTACCTGCAATATAATGACGAACAGTTGCAGGATTATCACTGATTTACCTTCAAGGTATATATTTAGACTTCTTCTACAGCGCAGCAAGGAAGCATGCACTAGTAATCGTTATAGTAATTCTTGGGGTTCGAATCCCCTCTTCATTGTCCATTCGAGCATCTATCCCCATTACGAAGAAGATCCTATATGGTCTTGGACATATGCCTCTACGAGTAGCCCTCAGTTTCCAGCACAGCGATACCGCAAGCCACAACCTTTGCATACAGCCTGAACGAGAGAGGACAGCCAACTTGTCGTTCTATGTCCCCTGCAATGTAGTAGTGGTAACTCCGTTATTGGATCTTCGTCTCATATTACCATTACCATTCAGGCAACTAATCACATATTAGTTGTGCGTGAAGCCATCTCCATCTGGTCCGTCTACCCCGGCTCGCATAGCGTCCACGGGTACAAGTGCCGCCGTTCAATGGCACCCGACCCGGCTCTGTAGCTCGTATCCCGCCATAACAATAGCGGTGTCGGGCCTTTAAGCCGGAGAAACAGCTTCTAAAAGGGGCTGACTGTACAGAATACATGGAACTCAGCTCTTATTACTCGTACAAATGGGCTCCATCCAACGTCTGCGACTCAGTCTCGAACAGGCATCTGCACTTCGAGCTCTGCATTTATTATCTGTATGAATCGCCGCTCGTCCAACGCCGAAAAAATAGGGGTCTTGAAAAGCTGCTTCGCCGATGGAAAGACAGTCGGCCATCTGGTGGTATTCTCGTACCAGACGTGTCCCCGTGCCTTTCTGCCTCCCGCCTCTCGAGACCACTCATTGACCAGGTGTCATTTTAGCGCCCGTCTTGGCTCTGAGGTCCCTTGGCAGGAGCTGACTTGAGACTTCTCATTAAGCTTGAGATTGAGTTGGTGGCCAAGCCCGATATTTTTGGAACGATGCGCCTCGCCGTTGTATCCTATCTTTTCTCACCCCAAGGATTGTCGCATGGTGGCTTCGAAAGAAAGCCTTGCGTTGACACAGTCACAGTTAAGAGTCGCGTTCCTGTGAATGCTTCTACCTAAGGTACTGTTCCTCCTCCTCGATCGTCACGCCCGTTCCTTGCTAAGTCCAGTTTTGTGCTGACTCGAGCTCAATCTCCGGCCCATCAAATTACTCCCTCCAAGTTCTCATACGAACCAGACACCAGTCCCATCTTTTCAGGCGTTTTCCCGTCAGCATGTCCCCACGTATTCCGTCATCGCAATGGTTCGCATCCTGCTCGAAGCGATGATCCCCCCAGCGACCCCAGCGTTCTCAGCGCGCCGAGTTCAAGCCGCACCAAAAGTTCAACTCCAACGCGTCACGTAACAAGTGCGGGAATTATTTGGTACTTTGCACAGTGGTGGCAGATCCTAAGAATGCCAGTTGACACATTGGAGGCAAAGCTGAGCGCGAAGCAATTGCTTTTTGTGATTTTTGCTAGTTTCACGCGGCTCAGCCTCACCTCCAGACACAGACACACACCACACATACACTAGTAAAAGTACTGGCGACGGCTACTGTAGGCGATATAACTGCGCCTCGGCTAAGTTCGAACATAACGAAGCCGTCATGTGGCAGCGAAGGCAAACACTGCCTCCACAAGAATAGCTATGGGACAATACGTCAAGTAGCTGAGCTTGCCCTGCCGCAAGCTGCCCTATGATACGTGTGAATATACTTCGACAATTTCTATTCTCTTAGGTATAGGAATTGATCAAGAAATCGACTGAAGGCTGAACATGTAGTGAGGCACAGCCGGTTCTTGCCACCTTCGGCTGGGACGCAATTCACTTGTTTCGTGTACGCATGGCCTCATGCCCTATGACCGGCCAACCTTATGCGGGGATTTGGCAATTATTGATTTCGTCCTTCGGTTAGTCATTTGAACGGTATGAACATGCATCCGTCTGGCGGATTCACTAGTTGAGATGTACGGTTTCCGAATCAGAGTAGACGGATCGGGCAAGTGAACCTAATATGTAAGGTCAGGAGGAAAGATGAAGAGATGAACTCTTCGTTATAAAGAGGATTGACAAATGGATTCTTTCTGCCAACTTGCCCCGATCACACCTTCTTGCGGATGCAATAAGTTGTACAAATCGCTGTCACACCACCTGCAGGTGGAAATATTGGCTTGCATGTGGCGGCATCCTACGAAGTTAATGAGGCTTTCCTGCTTGAGACTCTTGCAGATCTCGTGGTCAGAGGACAAGGAGACAGTTACGAGAAATTTCTCATTGTGCTTGTAGGGTAGCCATACGACCATACTAACTTGGGGTCAAATGGGGTTTCTCGACAGCATTTGGCGCGTTGAAAACAGCGTCGGTACCAAAAAGTTTGTCAGAAGCCTGTCGCTATAAAAGCTACCTAATAATTGCGCATGCGATCAGGCCAATCAACTGGATCATATCTTATCGCAAGATGCTGCCTCTGTACCACGATCTCATCTGTGGGCGAGGCTGAGCAGCTCAACTAACACATGTACTTGCAATGCTACATGTACTCCGCATCCCGCTATCGACTTCTAGGCATCCATGCTCAGCTACAGCTCTAGATGAGGGATGAGTGCTCTCATCTCTTTTCCTGGCCATTTCTTTACGATATCCGTGATCTCTTGAGGTCTAGATACCGCTGTGCTCAGAGTGCAACCAATATGAGTTACAAGTACAGACCACTATCTGCCACTTCTTGTGGTACGTTCCCTATCCGGTTGCTGCATCTCATACCTACCCATGATTTGCAAGACAGCGCATTCTTGATCTGCCGTCTAGTGGAAACGGAGATTCCCGATGCCAAGGTTGAAGAAGGCGGGCCTCGGGAGTCGAATTCCAGGAGCCCCAAGTACCAGGCTCTCTCGTATACTTGGGGATTACCGGTGTTCTCACGCTCATTACACGTTGTAGACGATGACAAAATGGACGATAGCTATGCATATCCTGATTTTAGACCCTCTAGTAGCGTTATTGGCATCACTGAAAATCTTTATGCTGCACTATGCAGTCTCAGAAAGCCGGACGAGACACTTGTTTTGTGGGTTGACGCTGTTTGTATCGACCAGCAGAACATCACGGAACGTAACAACCAGGTTGCTCACTTTCCAAAGACCTATGCCGGAGCCGAAAACGTACTTGTCTGGCTGGGGCCCGACAACACCTTGAGCCACGGAAGGCTGTGCCTCAATTTCTTCACTGACCTGGCTGCTCTGATCCACGATGATCCGAAAAGTGAGAGCGACAATGATCATCAATCCTGGAGGAAAATGTTCAAGATAAACCAGGCAGTATCTTCCTTTCTAGGAAGTGATGGCTCGCGACCTCGGCCTATTGCTTCTTTGCTTGAGAGGTCTTGGTTCAAGCGAAGATGGATCATCCAAGAGGTGGTATTGGCCAAGAACGTATGGGTGCATTATGGGAAGACGAGCATACACTGGGATGTCTTCGAGTTGGCCTTGGCTGAACTATTCGAGAACGATAAAGGTGGCTTCAGCGACAAACAGCGCACTATTCTGGGGACAATGTCGCGGATTCGGAACGTGGAGGCGAGAGTAAAGAGACAGGCACCGCTCGACACTCTTGTCGAATTCGACAGCTTCGAATGCTCTAATCCTCGAGACCGATTGTATGCCTTGTATGGTGTGATGCAGCATTGGTTCCCAGACTCAGCAGGCATGCAGCTCCTGGTCGACAACATTAATTATGGCCTTCCTCTTCGCGATGTCTTCACAGACTTTGCTATTCTCATGATGGGGATGAAGGATGACTTCTCCCGTGATACTAACTACAACTCCACAACCCACGTACTGCAGCTTGCTTCAGCTATGCGACCTGAGCGACGCAAGGTCGCTGTTAGCCGAGACATTCCATCGTGGGCACCAGATTGGACGGGTACAATGCGCAACAAGCCTCTATACCACTCCCCAAAGAATAAGGACGCTTCATCGGGTATACCCAAGTGTTCCTTCAAGACAATGACACTCGAAGACAACAAGCGTGCCCTCGTCACCGTTGGTCTTCTTCACGATGCTATCACTGCGGTCATTCCGCTTGACATCCAAGCGCTGTTAGGAGCTGTTCACCAGGCTAAATATGCGCTGAACAGCTTTCTGTGCTCAATAGCAACGAGCTTCGATGAGACGGATTTCTTCTCTTCCAACCCAGCCGACATCTATGCGCCTACCGGACAGCACATCATCAGCGCCATCGCTGTGACATTGGTTGCGAACTGGGAACATACTCCTCCAAACACTTATTTCGCTCAAGACGCGCGGTTTCCTCATCAGTTCTTGGAGCAGCTGCGTTCTTCGAGGCATCATCTTCCCGAAATACTGCACAAATGGCCGGCATATGTTGAGTTGATTACCATCACTATGCGCGGGCGCAGCCTCATGCTTACAGAGTCGGGATACATTGGTATATGCGATGCTAATGTTCGAACGGGTGACTTCGTGGGCATTATGAGTGATACACGCGTTCCATTTATTTTGAGGCGAACGAACCATGCTTCAGCGTCTGTGACGAAGAAAACCTGTCCTCTACCAATTGGAAATGTACCCCAAGACGGCCATTTTGAAATACTTGGAGATGCGTACGTTCACGCATTAATGAATGGGGAGGCAGCAGAGCTTCTGGGAGAGGAGCTGGAGAACTCGCTTCGGACGCTGTGTATAGTATGAATCTCCATGAAAATAAAATTCACTACAAACAACTCTCATTAACTTGTGAGGCCATCTCTCAATGCTAATAGTGCCACTCCTCACCACGTATATCCTCTCTGAGCTTGTAATGGCTCTCCGCAACCTCCAGAGCATCCAAATCTACATCACTAATAACACACCCTTCTTTCTCAGCTCCCAACCTTCCGAGAGAGCCAAGCACCGGCATCGCAATCTGGCTAAGGCCCCAGGCATTGCAGAACGCGATTGCACAAGTGTTCTCGTACGCCCTAGCAACAGTAACGCTATCCAATAACACCGCCTCCGAGTCCGGATTCAATGATGTAAGTCGCGGATTAACCTCTTTGATGTGCCAGTACGCGGGAATAATGACAAGTTTGGCGCCGTCTGCCATCAACTGCCGGGAAGCCTCGGGGAATGCCAGATCCCAGCAGATGAGCAGGCCAACTCGTACGACATGGTTGCTCCCGGGAAGAGGAACGTTGAAAGCCTTGTGAGGCGATTTCTTATCCGCAGTAAGGACACCGCGCTCGACGTGCCAAAGATTCTTTTTTTGATATGTCCCTAGTATCTCCCCAGTAGCCGCAGCGATGAAGTAGGCTTTATTGTGTAGTTCGATGGCCGGGTCGCCCGCCTTGATGTCCCGTTCTGGGAGAGATGTAGTAATGGGATCCGAAGGTTGGATAGTGACAGGTTCAACAATCGTTCCTGGGACGATGTGAATGTTCAATTCTCTCGCTAGCTCCTTATATCGAGGCAAATACTTCGCGGAGGCTGCACAAGCCTCGGCAAACGTAGGGTCCTCTGGAACCCAGGATGTCAGGTGGTATTCCGGCAACACAACGAGATGGCATCCTTGGGCAGCAGCAGATCGGATCTCTGAGGCTGCGCGGTCAAAGTTTTCCGGCACACAGAGAGGCTGTTGTGCTCAGATTGTCAGCCAAGAGATGATGAGAGAATGAGAAAATGTTGAGATGAGTAGCGGACCTTGGCCTGGAACTGAGCCAGCGCGACTTTCAGTGTCGGAGTCATGTTGACCAATTCTCACGAACAAATCTAGTGACTTGTACAGACCGATTGGAACATCAGGAAGGGATGTAATACTTTATTCTTCATTAAATATCTACAATATGGAATACAATATCGATGACCAGGTGGTGTCTCCGCCACAATTATGCCTGAGCTGCGCCTCGCTGGATTGCGGGTCTGTATGCGGCATCAAATACTGGCATGCTCGCTTTCGACGAGTCGAGATTGAGAAAGATGTGACAGCAACCTGTCAAGGCGAATCATTTGGGCTCACGACAAGGCTTGTTGCGTATCTGTATTCTCGTTCAAGGCCCCTACATATGCGTGTATGGTGGTAAAGCCGATATTCGCCAATGAGCACTGCTCTGCGCACAATAAATGAAAGAGAAAATGTAATGTGTCGAGTGACTTGGCGTATAACTCTTTCGATACTTGAGACTAGCTAGATTTATGGACTATATTGCATGTAGCTAGCTACCTATTTGACGATATGTATGGAAAGCCTTCATGAAAGCCTTGCATATCCTCGTCTAGGCAGCCATGCCAATTCAAAGCATGACGCTGATGAACCATTCGCTGTTGATACACTTTTATTCCCATGCTATGAGATTTTTTATTTGTGTTGACGAAGCATGGCATACCAGGCGCCAGAATCCGGACCAAAGTAAGGCTGCAATTTGTTGATTTCTTCCGCAAATGCTTCCGTTCGAGTTCCATCCTCATGCAGCTGATGGTTTATTAGCACCTGTATACGGATACGGCCAACATCTTGCCCTAAACCTACCTCAATGCTTTCCCACCCAAGGTAGTAGACCGCAAGCCTTCTCTGAGACTTGGGCACTGTTTCGTCTGTTGGAGTACTGTAAGGGACACCCGCTGTCTCATTTGTGTTGGTTGCGTACGCCCAGTAACCACCCGTGAAACCTTGGATCTGGTATGTATCAGAGTAGGTCTTATGCATAGATGCTTGGAGGGCCTGATCTTCCAATGGGGCATCGTCTCTCAATCGGATGCACGCCTACCGTGAATATGGTCAGCGGACATGCGAAGATAATGGGACGGGAACAGGAAGAGAATGCGTATCTGTTGCATACAAACTCGCAGACTGGAGCCTCGAGAGCATTAATTAGATGTTCAATTTGAGCATCAGTAAACTCCAAGACCAAAGTTGTCGCATCGGTAACACCAGCCTCAGCCAGTCCCTTGGACACAACCCTTCGGTTTATCAGCTCGTCAGGCCACTCTTATTTTCCCAATCATCAGCAACGTAACTTCACAAATATACGACTTGTCGTGAATCAATACTCACGGATTACCCAGCATATCTCGTGGCGCTTTCGGGGCAGGTTCGCTACTTTCGTTGGCGTGGTATAGCCATAGTATTGTGTTGTTGCGCCTGCAGAAGCAATCTGTTGGCGCAGCTTCAGGAATGATGCTGACGAGATGGTGATTCGGGGCGGGAAAGTAAAGCGTAGTATTTGAGACAACATGATGAATGCTTTCACGAAGATGCGCACGCCTGCGGCTCACAGCTCTATAGTAGTGACACAACAAGACCAATCGCTATTTCTCAGCGTGAATGGGCTACCGCAACCTAGCCATTCGGCACCTCATTAATAAATACCAACTCTCTGGCAAGGTATGTATCTAGTAAGCAAGCTGTTAACGAGGCTCCGCTATGCGGAGTTCCGCGTCTACCCTGTTTATGCGAAAAGCGTGAAGATTTGTGAGGGACGCGCTGCAATATTTAACGTCCCATCACGTCCCTGAGAAAGGCTAACTATGTACTGGGCTGAACGGTCTCCAGGATCATGAAGTAAGCCTAACTCGAGAAGAGCGCATTTGCCGAGCAGAGAACTTTCCGACCAATATCTAGCCTTGTTCTCGCCCAAGAGAGGAAAGTCGCGGCAAGATTGAAAGTCCCTTCCACTATATTCTTCGAAGAGAGCTGTGCGAAACGTCGTTACATGAGCCTTCGTATTAAACCCTCTACGACGAGGCTCATATGAACGTGTTTGTTAATATATCACAAGCTAGGCTACTCGCTTCGACATTTGTCTACAACAATAGTTGAGCGCACTATACATACCACAAGGCACGAAGAACCATCCATCGACTCAAGGCTTCTCGTGGGAACCAGCTCCATAAGATATCTGGCGATACGAAGCTCGGAATGGATGCCGGACACATGTACAATGGTGGGGTCGTTTCGGAGCTCCGACCGGAATGATCTCCGTGGCAGGGCCGATAACTGCCGAGACAAGATTGGTATACGGGATCTCCACAAGATTGGACCTTCCGAAAGATTTAAATGAGGCGTTGGCCATTAATGAATCACTATAAACCTCAGAGTTGCCAGCGCGCTAACATTGGACGAAGAAAGAAAGAGCCGGAGCAACTGGAGCTCCTGGTAGCTGTGTTTTATCGGCGCAGGAGATGACGGGAGTTTACTCGGCGGAAGCAGGTGCGCTCGTTTTGTCTTCAACCAAGCGGACAAATTTCCTGGGTCGATCAACTACTGAACATGTCGACCGCTGAGGTGAGGATAGTCGTTGGGCATCTTAGGAGGCAAAAAAATTCCCAATAATGAGCCGCAATGGGCATTAGAATCACGAATTTGACGAGCCTGTTGATGAAGCGCTCCAAATCGAGGAGTCCGAACTCCACAGATCAGATTACGCTATGCTGGATGCCAAATGCACCATAGGCGTGTTATCTCGTCATCAAGCGGCGATAGAATCCCCGGAATCGGATTTAAGGCCACAGTTCATTCTTCGTATAACTTCAGGAGAAGCCGTCAAAAAATGTAGCATCTCCGCGGAAACAAACAGCTCGAATAGGCAAAAGATTTGAGAAACAGGTTGGAAGCGTTGTTAATTGCATAAATCCAATCGGCAACTAGTTTCTGAGTCATATTGTGAGTCAAATGCTGTTGCCGATTTCCCTTATTGCCCAACCTATGAATACTCTCGCCAGACCCGATTACACGTCCTCATTCGACACATAACACCCATCTCACTCTCAGCTTGGATACACAATCCATTCAGCACTGTCAGACGCTCATCACTTCGAAACAATGTCCACAACGACAGAGACAATGGCTGAGACGGCCTCGTCTCAAGGCCAGTTCTCCCGAGATGACATCGCTTTGACTCAACGGCATGCACCATCGAGAGCAGAAGAAGAATCAGCAAACCAGCCCGAACCTCCCCACACCCAGAGTTCGAATCGGTATGCTTCTTGAGTTCATGTGCTCCGTAGTCAGCTTTGTCTGCAGATCGGTTACGACAACCCCTCTCTCTGCTGTGAAAAGCTGCCCCTAACTCCTTCATTAGACAAACCATCATCATTACCATCGCCTCCTTTACGATCGTCTTCACTTGTTGCGGTATCAATTTCGCCTTTGGTATCTTTCAAGCGGTCTTTGAGACTCTTTCGCAACAGCCAAATACCCCCTTCACCGGAGCGTCGCCTGCATTGATCGATCTCATTGGCACCATGTCCATCTCCCTGATGACCATCGGAGCGCCATTCGTTGTCGCCTGGGCGAAGCGCTTCTCGCCCAAGTTGATCTCGCTCATTGGCTCAACAATATTTTCCGCGGCGATGATTCTGGCAAGCTTTGGTCAGTCTCTGTGGCATTTCGAAGTCACTCAGGGAGTCCTTCTCGGACTGGGAACCTGTATGAGCTACATGGTGGCCGTGACAATTGCTCCGACTTGGTACACCACTCGCCGAGGCCTCGGACTGGGTATCATCACCTCGGGTACCGGCATCGGAGGTCTTGTTTGGGCACCTGCACTCAAGGCAGCCGTAGACTCGATGGGTTACCGTAACGCTCTGCGTCTTGCTGGAGGCCTCGCCTTTGGCCTCAACATCGCAGCTAGTCTAGCTATGAAGTGGGAACCCGAAACAAAGACTCGAATCGACATGGAAAACGGCGCACGAACCAGTCGCCTAGATGGCCTCCTGAAGGTACCCATCATCAACTGGCGAATTGCTCGTACGCGCAAGTTTGCAGCCCAAGCCCTGGGCGCCATCTTCCAATCCGCCGTGTATTATCTTCCGCTCTTCTTCTTTGCCACGTACGCCCGGACCTTGGGGTACAGCGACACCGCGGGCGCCAACTTCATTGCCCTGAGCAACGCTTGCAATGCAATCGGGAAGATAGTCATTGGTTACGCTGCCGACCACATGGGACGGCTCAACGCCTTGGTTGTGACGACTCTCATCAGCGCTATCGCGACCGTCAGCTTCTGGGTACCCTCGACCTTGTCCGGCGATGTTGCTGTTTCACAGGGCCTGTTCATCACCTTCACCATTCTGTACGGCATCTTTGCAAGCGCATACGTCGCTCTGTTCCCTGCAAGCTTAGTTGAGCTCTTTGGAGTCCAGAATTTTGCCTCCGTCAACGGCGTTCTGTACATGGTGAGAGGCATGGCTTCTCTGGTCGGCACTCCAGTTGGCGGTGTCTTGATCCGGAGTCACTCGTCAGGGAACCCTTCGCGGTCTTACGAAGGCATGTCGTTGATGACGAGCGTGCTCCTTTTCGCCGCGTCGTTTGCGGTCATGTGGGTAAGGATGGAGGCTATGGTTGGAGTGGATGGGAAGCTGGTCAAGAAGTGGAAAATGTAGGCGTTGAAAAGATGCTCCTGATGCTGTTCCGGCTGTTCCGGAAGCTCAAGTCGGGTTGCATGTAATCGTTGGACGATTAATTGGAGTGGTCAGACGGTGAAGAATTGACGGACGACGCCGAGGAGTTCCAGAGCAACTATAGAATGATACGATCACATGGAGATTGCCGATGGGGACATAGTATAGAAAATGGAAAACTGGGGTTCGAGATTGTTACGGGTCATTCAGCAGCATCGGCGGGACTTGCACTGGTGACTTAGTCAAACCATGTGATGAGAAGAAGGCCCAATTACTCAGGCTGGCGGGATCTCATTAGCCACACAGAACTTGGCGGACATGTGTAATCACAGCAACACTTCGGCACGCAGTCATGCTTAATGAAATTACTCGTCCCTCGGCGCATACCGAGTACATGTGACCTAGAGATGAGATTGACGCAAGGGTCCATTGTTTTCTTGGGTTATGACTTAACATGGCATGTCTTGTGGCAAACAGGAACAGCAAGCAGTCTACAGCACCAGAGATGACTCAACTGCTAGAAATACTTCGTTTGATATGCAGGTCTGCCCACGAAAAGACGCCCGATAGCGCTGCAGTCCCCAGATTTGAGATTGGACTTGACGGATAGTTCATTAAAGGGTCGAACATCAAGATCGGTAATGCCATAATACGCCCATCTTATGTATAACAATCTCTGCCACTGTGCTTTTCAGCTCGACCGGCAGCTCATGTGGCGTCTGAGCCAGAACCGGCTTGACAGCTTTGGCTTATGAAGTGGCAATTGCACATGCGAGATAGACCAAACACGTCACAAAGACTGGCTAACTGCATGTAAGATATCCAGAACAGCGCCCAGGCTTGTTGTTAGTGGCGGATCCACCGGATGGACGACACGCTCATGCACGGAAGCTGCCGGCAGATGGGAGAACAAGCTCCTGGCACCGGGTTATGAACAAGTGCTTAGGCCAACATCTACACCTCCCTCTCCCTTCTCCTTAACTTGAAAGCTCCCATACAATGATTTGCTTATTGACACCTCCAGACGACCATTTGCTGTGGCTGGTGCACAAGTAAATCCAACATGCTTCTCAGTCGAACCCGATCAAACGCGGCCGGCCACATCGCTATTGACGATGGACTCAAGAAACAAGTGACATCTCCAAATGTCGGGGACGACGGCAGATTCGAGCTGTGCTTTCATGAAGACGCCGCAAGCCTTGCGACTTGGTGTAAGAACCTCCAAGAGACGTCAAAACGAGTGCAGACAGGTCCTTGCGCTGGTCGTGGTATCTGTAGACGAAAGTCGACGGGTGGTTTCTGTCCGCCGCTGAACATCGCCATGCTCATTGTCGGTTCTCGCGGGGATGTTCAGCCGTTCATACCAATCGCCCAACTGCTCTCCAAGCCGCCCTATGGACATCGAGTGCGTATCTGTACGCATCCCGCCTTCAAGGATTTTGTCGAATCGCAGGGCGTCGAGTTCTTCAACATTGGCGGCGATCCCGAGGCCCTGATGTCGTACATGGTGAGGAATCCAGGCCTGGTTCCCAACCGCAAAAGTGTCAGAGCGGGTGATATCGGCAAGAGAAGGGCAGAGATGTGGGAAATCATCAACCGTGCCTGGAGAGGCTGCATAGAGGCGGGAAACGGAATGGGGGATCCGGTTCGGGCGACGGATGTTGAGAATGTCGAGGATCTCTTTCTTGCAGATGCGATCATTGCCAACCCGCCATCCATCGCCCATATACACTGCGCCGAGAAGCTGGGGATCCCGCTGCACATGGTCTTTACTATGCCATTCTCTCCTACCACTGCGTTTCCTCACCCACTGGCTTCCATGAACTACAGCGGCGCCGATGCCAAAACCGCCAATTACCTGTCCTTTATCATGATGGAGCTGTTGATGTGGCAGGGGTTCGTCTCTTACTGCTTGTGTACCAGATCATCTGCTGATATTCTCGAGGTAGTCTTGGAGATTTAATCAACAAATTCCGCCGCCAGAAACTCGGCCTTGATCCGATCAGCGTCATGTGGGGATTTCAACTTCTCTCCAGACTGCGGGTGCCTTTCACATACCTCTGGCCCGAATCTTTAATACCGAAGCCTCCCGACTGGGGCTCACATATCGAGGTCGTTGGGTATTCGTTTTTGCCGCTTGCGAAGTCCTACAAACCTCCTCCCGACTTGACGGAGTTCCTCGAAAAAGGGCCGAAGCCAATATATATCGGATTTGGGTCTATCGTGGTAGAAGATCCTGACGCATTCTCAGACCTCATCTTCAAAGCTGTCAAGATAGCGGGAGTCCGTGCCATCATCAGCAGAGGGTGGAGTGGTGTCGGAGACAAATGCAGGATCACGGAAGATGTCTATCTAATCGACAATTGTCCACACGATTGGCTCTTTCAACAGGTCTCGGCAGTTGTCCATCATGGTGGCGCTGGAACAACGGCCGCCGGCATTGCGGCCGGTCGACCCACGGTCATTGTCCCGTTCTTCGGCGACCAGCCATTCTGGGGGCAGATGATTGCTCGCTCTGGAGCCGGACCAGATCCTATTCCGTTCAAATCACTGACAGCTGAAAATCTGGCCGAGAGCATATCTGTTGCGTTGATGCCAAGCGTCCAAGAAGCCGCAAAACGAATGGCAGAGGATATAGCCGATGAAAACGGCGCAGAAGCAACGGCCAAGAGCTTTCAGGATCAGATTGGATTAGACCAATTCGAGTGCGAGATTTGTCCGGGTCGATTAGCCACACACCGACATAAGAAATCGGGAACACGGTTGAGCGGACTGGCTGTCGCCTGTCTTGTCGATCGTGGACTCATACAGCCTCCAGAGCTTGAGCTCATCCGGCGCAAGAACTGGTACGTCGACGAAGGTGCTGAACATCCCCTCGTCGGCCTGGCAGCTGCCTTCACTGGCCCTATGATGGACATCGCGACGGCCACTTTCGACTACTCCCATGCGTTGCGGTATCGACCAAAGCACACAAAACTAGAAGATAGAAGGCCGTCATGGATAGACCCGTGGGTCGCAGATAAAGTGACGATTGGTTCGGTAGGCAGCGATGGAACTTCACCAAACCGTCGGATCAATCCGACAACCTTCTCTACAAGGGAGATGGAGCTGTACGCTCACAAGATCGCGAGAAAGTCGATCAAGACGAACAACGCCGATATTGATACATTGGTTCGCCAGCCATCGTTATACGACAAGCAAAAGGCCGCCTGGCATGCTCGCGAGAGAGGTCGAAACGGTCACCTGTTTTATCTTACACGAGCAACGGGTCGGTACGCCGTCGAGCTCACCAAGGTCGGCCTAAAAACCCCCGTAGCGTTCTTCTACAACATCGCCAACGGATTCCACAACTACCCCTCATGTGGCTACGCTGGCGTTGAGGTTCGTCGTCGAGACCAGATCGTCGACTTAGAAACAGGCCTCGTGGCGGCTGGCAAGGAGTTCACGCTGGGCATCTGGGATGCGTTCAGCGGGGTGGTCATCTTCCCTTATAAGAGTGTCCATGAAGAAGGTGCGAAGGGCCTTGGAAAGGGCGTTTGGCGCGGCTCAAAGGGATTTTTCTCCAACTTGGGTGCATGTGAGTATCGTCCCCTATCGTCTCGTGTAGCGATAATGAAGTGCGCCGTGGCTTCTTTCTCAATGACAGAGAACGTTTGCGACGAGAGATTCTGACTGACAACTTGTAGCTGCTTTTGGACTGCCCGGTTACACACTCAAAGGGTTGGAGAAAGAATTGCAAAAGCATCATCTCACCAACTGTAAAGCCGAGATCATCCTCATCAGGCTACGTCAAGGCATTGAAGCCTTTCGCAGAGCCACTCCTCAGGAAAGAGACGAAGTAATCAGGCGGTGGAATGCACGCAATTGCCCACAAAAGCAGCCGTAATCGACCTCGATTCGGCAGAATGATGCGAGCTGATGCCAGCTGGGGAGTCTCCCGCGTCAGGGCGGGATGTCCCGCCTCTATAACCGCCGAACTCTCGGCTACTTCCGGCTTCTGTATTCGACTTTCTGTATCATACACGCTCTCCCGAAATACCCACCAAAAGTTCTTCGGCGCGGCATTCATTAACGGTCCGGTCCGATTCAAGCGCAGCCAAACTAGTACACGTACACGCGATGGTGGTTTGGAAATTACATTTCTTCCTGGACTCAACTGGCAATTTGCAACTACGTGATAAATATTTTATAGGATAGAATGATACCATATTCGATGTTCTTTTACATGCGAATGCATATGCCCCAACCATTCTAGTCGTAAACATGACATAGTGCTCTTTAAGCACCGTGTGACAGACAATTGAGAGTTACAGCGTGGTGTTAAGATATGCTTATATGACAGTGGGCTACACTTTCCTAACCCTGTACGGTAATTTCATGCTCCGAGTTTGTCATGTACGATGGTTTGGGTCAGACAGTATGCCTTGAGACCCTCAAGCCCCAACTCGCTGCCAATGCCACTGCGCTTGTGTCCTGCGAACACGGCATCTACTTGCAGTTCAGCATGCGTGTTGATCCATACCATTCCAGCCTGCAGCTGCACCGCCATTCTTTCAGCTCGAGCCGGATCACGAGACCAGACTGAGGCTCCCAGTCCGTCAGCAGAGTCATTGGCACGCTTGATGACATCTTCCTCTGCTTCCCATTTGAGAACAGGAAGAATAGGCCCTAGACTGTGGGTTAATCCTTCAAATGCGACCTTATTGAATATGGCGGGAACTTACCAAAAGGCTCTTCAACCACAACCCGAGAGTCATCTGGAGGGTTGTCCACAATAAGAGGGTTCATAAAATAGCCCATGCCCTGGGAAAATGCATGCTTCACGTCTCCGGCCACAATGTTAAGCTCATCATCTTCAAGTGACGCCACGAAGGCCTTGAGTCTATCATATTGCATCACATTCTGGATGGGTCCCAGATTCGTCGATTCATCCAGGCCGTTTCCCACGACAAGTGCATTCGTAGCCTTAGTCAACTGCGCCAAGAACTCATCATAGATCGATGAGTGTACGTAGAGCCTTTTGATGGAGATGCAGACCTGTCATTGTCAATATTTACCAACCAAATTGACTTGCGTGGGGTAAATGTCCCTATTACCTGACCGCTGTTGGTAAAGGCCTTCATAGCAGCCTTCGCTGCAACTTTGGGAATATCCACATCTGGACAGATGATTGCCGGATCGTTGCCGCCCCTGTCATTTATAAGCTAACCGGAGGATTGGATGCAAGCTTAGTTGCGACATACAGTTCGAGTGTGACTTTCTTCAAAGAGGGTGCGGAGCTCTGCAGGACTTTGATGCCGGTAGCAGTCGAGCCAGTAAAGGAGACCTTGGCTACATCGGGATGCTCGGTGAGCCAAGGGCCAAGCCTATCATCTCCGCTCAACACTTGAACAACGCCTGGAGGGAAGTAATGTTGAGCGAGTTCAATCATCTTGAGGCCACAGTAAGGCGTGAAGGGACTGCTTTTAGGTCAGCTCGGATTAGATATGGTGTACGTGACTATGAATACGTACGATGGCTTCAAAATGATTGTGCAGCCTGCGACCAACGCTGGTCCCATCTTAAACGTGACTAGTTATGGCGTCAACGAGGTAAGGTCTTAATATCATGCGGGATTAGGATAACATACGAATTGTCATAGGGACTACTCAAAGTTAGCTTAACATGACGACGAACAGAATGTAAGGAAGAAACATACAATTCCATGGAACAATGCCCACGCAGACGCCGACAGGCACATACCGCGTCACCACCCGACGATGTTCAGTATCCTCGACAACCTGTTCCGGTAGAGACATGCGCGCGAATCCCTTCAAGAAATCGGCTGCACCTTTCGCTTCTCCTCTAGCAGCACTCAACTATATATGGTCAGTGAAAAACAGTCTTTCATGGCTATAGTAACGCACATACGGGCTTCCCTTGTTCTGTTGTCAACATGCGACCGAAGTCGTCGGAAAGGGCGACGATGGCATCAGCATATTGAATGACTTTTTGCTTGCGCTCTTCGATAGGGATCTCGGCCCAGGCTGCAGCAGCACGTCTGGAAGCATTCACGGCTCTGTCAACATCTTCGGGTGTGCTGACGGGTACCGGAGGTAATTTTTCCAATGTTGCCGGGTTGATTCCGTGACGAGTCTCGGTTGTATTCTCCAGCTCGCCATCAATGACATTGTAGAATGATTCAAAGCTGATATTTATCATTCTGATGGTGCGAAGCTGTCCGGAACGATTTACCAGATGTTTCAATATTTGTTCTGGGTACATTAACTGTAATGATATATATAGGTATCTATACGTATAAGTCCATGCTCTCACAACCCGAGGGTCTCTTTCAAGGGCCTGTCAATGAATAATCGGAAACTTGAGGTCTGCAGAAGTACCTTTCGAATCCAAGTAATCAAATAGTTCAGTCCGGGTCCGTCTCCCAATATTGCCTGTGGGGCTCGGCTCTTCCCGCACAGGCAGACGAGGGACGGAATTTGTTATTAAGCGGGGGTTTGGAGTCGAATGCCCGATATCATTTGTTTGTCTTCTCAAAGCTGCTCCATGACTGTCTAATCTTTATTTGGAACTATGGAATCGATTAAATGTTTATTCGGGTTATTGTAGCTGCTGCTCACATGCTTGTAGAGCCGGTCAATTGAGTTGGGTTATCCCACACGGAAGACGGCAACAAATCGAATACGGAACAAAACACCTTATGTGGAATCTCAGTGGTAAATGACATCATCTTCGAAAACAGAAGAGTATAGCGTATTCAGAAGCTAAAGGGTTAGGGAAATACTAAGACAATATAACAGTCTTATCAGCAGCATATGGTCTTACGGCTAGAATCTCGTTTTTGAATGCCCCAGCGCCCACCTAGCCTTTTCTCTTACTGTAGGTTTGTTCATAACAAATCTTACACTCATTGTGCATCAAGCAGTTAGTACAGGTTCCACTTGATCTCGCCCAGCACCGGTCAGTAGAAATCGACTACTAGACACACTTTAAGATGAAGGCAAACTCTCCCTGTCCTCACAGTCATGCTCTACTGAACTCCAACCCATTCTTCGCAGGTCAGACCCAGTCAGGATTCTCGTCGAACCTGTCTTCTTCAGGGTGTTCCGGGAGATATGTAATATCGGCCCCCAGAGACATAAATACCCTGTATTCCCGCAAATATGACGTGCTGAGAGCCACTCCGTGTCTGTGATACACGAAGCAAAGGCGGCCTGCGGCTAAACGTGCTGGGCTTACCGCTCCATGGAGCCGCAGCAGGAACGACAGTGGCGGTGTCACGATGATCGGTGTCTTGGCTGCTTGTGATCATGACGCGGAGAGTTTCATTGGAAGCCTAATGACTCTACATACGAACTTCGGTTGCTCACGAGGCGACTTTATCACGAACGACTATCAAGACATTTGAGTACCATTTCCAAGACGAGGAGATCTGAAGCTCAAGTGTACACTCTCTTGAGTACTCATTTCGTCTACTCAACGAGCTAGGTTGCGTAACTTGGTCTATGTAAGCGGTACGCCACTTGAGTTCAGTCGAGGTACATACAGTATCCGGGCTCCCGTGGATGGTAAAGTTGGAGTTGGCTGCACCGATGGCTAGTGACATGAGTATTGCAGCCCAAAGGTGGATAATAAGTGGCCAGGTAGAGAAGTATCCAAGGAGCTGTTCGCGAAGGAGCTTCCGAGTCCATGCCACCGACACATGGGAGCAGATGAAAGAGCCTTACAAGCGAGCCGGCATTAGACTTCGGCCGATCGTCTCTGCTTCTCGAAGGGGAGGCCACATAACGACCCAAATGTCCTTCTACATTGTGCTTCAGGTTCCCTGATGAGAACAGGCAAATTACACGAAGCGTACACAGCAGTTACGTCCATACAAACAAAATGGTCGATCAACGTAAAGTTATGAATGCTGTATGAATCTACTTCGGACTTTCAGATAGAGGTTTGCTTCAGTTGTCCATTGTTTTGGTCTGTAACTTTTTCTCCTTACCGCTATAATTTGTGCATATGCTGACACTATAGCGATTTCTGGAATCAAACTCTACTCCTACTGTGACTGTGGCGTTATTCGGTATAAGATTCCAGTACAAATCGTTCCGGTTATGTGACACTTCAGTCTGTTATAGAGGTTACTTTACCTACAGAACATGAGAGCCCAGTTCCACGATAACATTTCCCTCGAGGAGACAGGTGCGCTTTGAAGAAGCCATGGCTTGTAGTCGTCGAACGATAGCAGCTTCCGAACACGGCCGACTCTGACCATCGGCAGTCGATGTCGTGCTTGGCCGGGGCGCCGCTGGCGGGCCGCTTGAGTGGCTTGCTGTCGCGTCGGAGGCTCGGAGGCTCGGAGGCTCGCAGCATTCGGAGCGTGTTCGCAGCTCGCCCATACGCCACAGTCCTGAGCAGCACCGACATCACTTTCTTCGGAACAGACCTCATCTTCGAAGCAGTGCAACTTACTGTGGCCCTCAAACAGTTTGCGATCAAATACTAGTTATCTTATTGGCTCGTAGAGTAGGCGAAAGCAGATGCTCACAATCCGTTTCATTCAGTAGAAGACGGGGTGGACCCTTGCCGAGGCAAAGTGTCCGATTCATCTACCTGCTGTCAAACAGTTACCCATTTGGGCTGCTATACGAAGTAGACGTACTCGGAAATGGCAAATTCTTCTGCATTTTCGGCTCTTACAATGGGATAGCTGCTTTGTCGGATTTCCAACCTGAATCTGACTTCGTACTTCTGTTTGCTCCAGCTGCCCGCAAGATTGTGCCTTCGGTAGGCTCCTGTGCTCACCATCAGAAGCCACCACGCCTGCGCTGAACTGATTGAGGCAGAATTGTCCCAATTCGTCTCCATGGTGTCAGCAGAGTGACTATAAGCTTCCAGTTAAACTCGCGGCGTGTTTTAGCTCGTCTCACTTTCTTGGCGCTACTGCCATCATCCCAGGCGTTGAAGCACTAAAAACTCGGAGGAAGCGGGAGGATGCGGAGTATGGAGAAGTTTCCCTAAGTCCCGAGATCCGCGTACGCGAATTTGAAGGGAGTGATGCATCAATTTTCCTGGGGAAAAGGAAAAGAACTAAGAAAAAGGGCATCGACCCACGCGGGGGGGGCCTCCTTTCCTGTTTGCCATTGTTTCTTTCAGGTCAACAGCTGGTTTCTTCCCTTTCCCTTTCTCCCAAACCCCCATTGCCTATGCTGCTGATTATTCTTGTTTAAACAAACAATGCCACGACGACGCGCAAGCAAGGCCTGCCTCCACTGCCGCCAGAGAAAAGTCCGCTGCGATGTGACGCTTCGGGGCGTTCCCTGCTTGAATTGCCAGCTCGACCACCAGTCCTGTGCAGTTCAGGAGCGAAAGTCGAAACGGTATGGCAGCTTCCACCAAATCATAGGCAGTGATGGCCAAGTGGAAATCAGGGAGTACGTGTCGACTAATCACAAAGGCGACTCAAGAACGCTGTCAAACTCAAAAAGCTCTTTTCACAAACAGGGCGGTTCGATAATTGAGGGCTTATCGACGGGAAGGATGAATGACAACCCATCTGGCATAGACAGCATTGATCAGTGGGCCAAGAGACTGAGTGCTCTCACGCCAGTGAGCTTGAGAGGTTCGCCAGTCGCCACTTTCAATGCTTCACACCAGGATGCGAACTCGTCTGAAAGCCAGTGTATCAACCTCGAAGGCTTCTCGCCCAGGACAGCATTCACAATCTCAAAACTACACACTAGTAGCCTAAAGGCGGAGAAGTCGAGTGCTTGCGATACATTCGCAGATCAATCAACAGCCGCGGTATACAACAACTTTGAGAGTCTACCCTTCATCAGACCGCCCGACCTGGCACATGTATCAGCACTGGATATCCGCTTCATGCAGCTGAATGGATGCTTCGACCTCCCTCCTATGCCCATTCTCAATGAGTTCGTTCGAATATACTTTCTCCACGTGCACCCTATCATACCACTCTTTGACGAGGGAGAGTTTTGGGATTCCTACTCATGTACCAACGAGAAAAGGATCTCACTACTTGTGTTTCAGGCGATAATATTCGCCGCCTGTGCTGTGAGATCAATCTGCTCCGTGACGACCAGTCCCAGCGCTTCTCTAACAGCACCGTGATACCTAGTTCATTCCAGGAGCGATCGCAGAAGCAACCGGCTTTGACTGTCCCCGAGCGGCGACAGCAGCATTCTATAAAAAAGCAAAGGTATAGAGCCCCCTTGCTTTGTATCTGTCTCCTACAAAGAATAGCTATTGACAAGACGCAACCCAATAATGTGCAAAACAGATTCTCTACGACTTCGAGATCGAATGCGATCCCATTTCCCTGGGCCAGGCCGCGTTATTATTCACATTCTGGCCTGGGTCACTAAGACCGGGACCGTCTAAGCAGAACAGCCAATGGCTGAGCAAAGCGATTGGACACGCGAAATCCCTTCGAGCTCATCATCTGACATCGAACACGGGTCGAGACAAGTTGCCAGACATTCCGCCGCGGACGAGGATATCGCTCAGACGCCTGTGGTGGTGCTGTTATATTCGCGACCGAATCATTGCCTTGGGCCTCCGTAGGACGCTACGAATTCCTGAAAAATACCCAACGCTCGATATCGAAGACTTTGAGGATGAGATCCATCGCTCCCGCGTCTACAAGGCAGAATCGAAGCGGTGCTTCTTTGACATATTCATGCGAATCTCAAAGCTATGCGTCGTGGTCACGGACTTGTTAAGATTGTGCTCGGTTTCAGAACACGGCCTCGAATGCGAGACGAATATAACCGTCACCGACAGGCAAGAAGCTGTGGCGAGCTGCACCGCCCAGCTGCAGGAGTGGTATGACAGTGCTCGGCAGCAGTTCCCGGACGACGCAGAACAGCCGGGAATCCGGCCACATTTTGTCATCATACAGACCAACCTCATGTTCACGTATTATTTGTGAGTGTGAACTGGATTTGACCGTGTGGTGGGCGCGTGAGGGCTGACAGACGCCTTGATTGATAGCGCTGCGAAGTTGGCCATCTTCCACCAGGAGATATTCTATGCGGTTCGCGACTCGGAAAACGCAAACGGAGAGGGGCCATATCCGGCGTTGGCCGATAAAAGCGACCAAGTTCGTGATGCTGTCGACAATGTGATCAAACATCTCGCGAACCCCGTGCGGCTCGGGCTCGCTCAATATCTACCTATCAGCGTGTAAGGGCTCAGCATCTTCTTATGCTTCAGTTTCCTCATTGCTCACTTTGAACGATACCCAGAGTTGCATTCGTTGCTATGCCCCTCATGATGCAAATCATCAACGCCAAAATCATGGCTCGAGGCGTTGCAAACGCGCGAGCAGAGGTGCATCGGCAGCAGCTCCATTCCTTGATCAGTCTGATCAAGCAGTGCCATCCGCGGCTCGACGGCATTGATGCGGTTTGTGTGACAATTCGACGACTGACGGATCTGGCCCAGGCGCGCTTCATGTCGGGAAACGCTTCCCAGATCACGGAATGTTTGGATCTCATCGATCGCAAGCCGCTCGAATATCTGCGATTATTCCTGAACCTGGACTTGAATCTGAGTAACGCGACGATGCTGGACAATATCGAGTTCCTCGAATTAAGGGAGGAACTGCTGCGAATCAATAAATACTCGTCAGAAGCTGATGCTCAACAAAGCCCATCTGCGACTGAAGGAACGAAGGCGTCTTCGACGCCAACAGGTCCAGATGCATGCGATAGAGATCTTCCAGAGGCCAAAGCCGACGCACCAGGTGACATCGATGACTCGTTTTTAGACATCGACCAGCTATTAGGCGGAGATGGACTACTAGAAGCCGACCCGGCTTTCATGGCTCTAGAACCTCATTTTATGATGAACCAACAGATGGAATGGGAAATGGATGCCTGGCTGTTGGGAGAAACCTAGGAAGAACGTCCGGACCAACAAGCAGACGGTGACCCGTCTCTCACTCAGCTGTCCCGCCATGTGACAAACTATTACCTCTACTCCGGAGACGGTCTGACATGCATCGTTTCTTTTCGGCGCCGAGAAACCGGTGAAGAGACAGGGAGAGACCAAGAAAAGGTTCGGATAGCACTGGCACTAAGTGTATTGTCATTGACCGTATCTTACAAGCAAAACAATGTAGTTCGATGACCCATGACATGGAATGAAATAGATAGTTCAGCCCCCAAATGACAGAGAATTAACGTCAACTTCAGCTTTTTTGTTTCGTCGTGCCGAATTGCCTGATAGTAGTATTCCCCCGAACTTTGTCCTCAGCACCGGTCAAGTAAGCCAAGAAGGGTTCAAACGTGCCGTAGACAACAGCTCTGCCCACGAATCACACCACCCTTGCAAGAGATGGAGTGTTGCATTTAGCCGGAGCCTTTCACCGAGGATGCAGTGAAAACGTGGATATTTACAACGGCAGGACACCATTTCCAAGGCAGCCCGGGCTCGGATGCCCAGTCCGGAGGGAGGCAGATGACTCGTCTCTCTCCCCTTCAGAGCGCACACTTGGATTAGCGGCGGCTCCCGTATTCGATACGTCTCCAGGTTACTCCATATGTACATGTATACTGCCGGTTAATATAGCCGCTTTGTGGGAGAATCCCTGGCGGCGACAAGGCTTCCCCATTCGCGAAGTTGTGGGTTTGTGGGGTAATATTGCCGCAACTTGGAGGACTGCTATTCGCCTCGCCAGCTGGAGAAGGTTGAACATTCGGTACTAGTAGTAGTAACATTGAGTCAATACGTTTTTGTGTGTCTAAAGCTACGATTTCACCCCCCTCAGCAACTCAGCTGTTGTCCGCCTCATGATCGTCCTGGCCTCGACTGACACAAGTTTTCGGGCGAAGAATTTGTGTAAACGACGTCTTACTTCTCGTGTAGTATTTGCAACCACATGCATCTCACCTCCCAACCTCGCTCCTTCGCTATCATCACAAACAGACAAGGGGCCAACCTGACCAACAGTTTTGCCCTCGGGCTTAATCTGGGGAGAGCAAACACGCGCCACACACGTCGCAGCGGCCACTAAAATCGGACCGTTAACAGGTTCATACACACTGTTCCTCTAGATCCTGTAGGACCAAAGAGAGCGCTGCCCCCTGTCAAACCTGGGGCCCCAGTACATACCCCAATAGCTTGGGGTTGGGGGGGGCTTTTCGGCTTGAGCCAGTCGTGAGCTACGGAAGATTTCAAGGCGGCGGGCTATTCAGGCTAAATGGGAGCAGAAGAGCAAGCACTCCTTGCCGCAGCGCCGAGAAGTGACACTCCTTGTCGACGAAGATTATCCAAGTTTGCAGCGTGTTGGACATTGGGAATGCCCTTGCCGTCGGGCACATGGAGACGAGGCGAAGACAAGGTGTGGTGTATGGTCTTGTCTGGTCTGGGGACAAATCATATATAGTCGTAATTGACCCTCCTGCTCCCCAGGGTCGCATTCCGGGATGTGACAGAGCTCGGTTGAGAGTGCCATATCTTCTTCTTCTTCCCTCGTCTGTCGCCTCATTGTCCTCTCTCATCAGTGTCACCTGGGCTTCCTCTCTCGCAGAGTGTGACAGAAGAGATACAGACAATCCCATCTCTATCTGCCTCTCCTCTTCACAATGGGCGCGCACACCGACAGCGGCGCCGCCATCTATGATGCGGCGTTGCATCGTCGCCAGGCCCTCATGGGCGCCAGTGGAGCTCGCGCTCTGGTCAAGAATTTCCGCGTCTTCAGCCTGGCTGCCTTTGCCTGTATTGGCGGTGTTCTGTATGGTTACAACCAGGGCATGTTCTCTGGCGTTCTTTCCATGCCCTCTTTCAAGCAGCGTGAGTCTACACCACTGGAGCATATTGTTAGGTAAAACATCAGAGACGCGTCTAACAAGGGGCACCAGACATGGGAGAATACGATCCTTTCGACCCCAACGCCAGCCAGACGAAGAAGGGTTGGCTGACGGCCATTCTCGAGCTCGGTGCCTGGTTCGGTACTCTCTTCTCTGGCTTCATGGCCGAGACAATCTCTCGCAAATACGGAATCATTGTTGCCTGCTTCATCTTCATCATTGGTGTCGTCGTCCAGGCCTGTGCCATTGACGCTGGTCCCAATGCGATTCTCGGAGGCCGATTCGTTACGTATGTTTACCCAGACGACAGAGCGCCACTAAGGACTTTCTCTTGTATACTAACCTGTTAATAGCGGTATGGGAGTCGGTAGCTTGTCCATGATTGTGCCCATCTACAACTCCGAAGTGGCCCCTCCGTAAGTCCTCATCTTTTCTGCCCTCCTACGATGCACGTCATGAAAGTAAAGTGAACAGAAACAGCTAACAATGTGGCCAGTGAGGTCCGAGGTGCCCTTGTCGCCCTCCAGCAGTTCGCTATTTGCTTCGGTATCATGGTCTCCTTCTGGATTGACTAGTACGTCCTCCCAAATAGCATATGCCCGCCTCGGTGACACTTCTAACGCTCAACCCTTCCAGTGGAACCAACTACATCGGCGGCACCCAGCTTGGCGAGCAGAGCGAGGCTGCCTGGCTCGTACCCGTTTGCCTCCAGATCTTGCCCTGCCTGTTCCTCCTGATCGGCATGCTCTTCATGCCCTTCTCGCCTCGTTGGCTCGTCCACCACAACCGCGAAGACGAAGCCAGGCGCATCTTGTCGACCCTCCGCGGCCTGCCCATCGACCACGAGCTCGTGGAGCTGGAGTTCTTGGAGATCAAGGCCCAGTCGCTGTTCGAGAAGCGAAGCATTGCCGAGCAGTTCCCTCATCTCCGTGAGCAGACCGCTTGGAACAACTTCAAGCTGCAGTTCGTTGCCATCAAGTCTCTGTTCCAGAAGAGAAGCATGCTCAAGCGCTGCGCTATCGCTGGTATCACCATGTTCTTCCAGCAGGTATGTGTCATCTGGTGGCTCATGAAGAAGAGATGAAGCTTGCAGGATAACGAGACTTACAATCGCCGCAGTGGACAGGAATCAACGCCGTGCTCTACTACGCCCCTACCATCTTCCAGCAGCTCGGACAGACCGACAACACCGTCTCTCTGCTCGCTACCGGCGTCGTCGGCATTGTCATGTTCGTCGCCACCGCTCCCGCCGTGCTCTGGATCGATCGAATCGGACGCAAGCCCGTGCTCATCACCGGTGCCATCGGTATGGCCACGTGCCACATCATCATCGCCGTTCTCTTCGCCAAGAACGCGGACAGCTGGCCGGAACACAAGGCGGCCGGCTGGGCGGCTGTTGCCATGGTCTGGCTCTTCGTCGTCCACTTTGGCTACAGTTGGGGCCCTTGTGCCTGGATCCTCATCGCTGAGATCTGGCCCTTGAGCTCTCGACCATATGGCGTTTCTCTGGGAGCTTCCAGCAACTGGATGAACAACTTCATGTAAGTCAACACCATAGGTGAGAACACCAGACGTCAGATGCTAACAGTCTACCCTCCCAACAGCATCGGACAAGTGACACCCGACATGTTGCAGGGCATCACCTATGGCACCTATATTCTGTTCGGAATTATAACCTACCTCGGAGCCGCATTTGTCTACTTCTTCGTCCCCGAGACCAAGCGTCTCACCCTGGAAGAGATGGTGAGCGAATATTCTACTCGAGCAATCTTTATAACGAGCATTATGACTGACTGGTGCAGGACATCATCTTTGGCAGCGAGGGTGCTGCCCGTGCCGACTTTGAGCGTATGGAGGAGATCAACAACGAGATTGGTCTCACTCAAATGGTCTACCGGTCTTCTCCTGACGAGGTGGTGACTGTTGAGGCCGAGAAGGCCGCTTAAATACCCAAATTAGGAGGGCTTCTTTTATGTTGTCAGAGGACAGATATGATACTTAATGACAGGCTGTGCAAAGTCATCAAATAGGACCCCTGTTTGGTGAACAAACTCAGGCCGGAAATACGAACATAATACTGAGAACGCATTCATGAGCTCGTATCAATCCTTAGTCCAACTTTTTCGTAAAACAAGATCTTCTCAGTTGCCGCCCTTGACGCCGAGCGAATGAGGGCCTTGATGTCCCATGGAACCCTAGATTCCCGTTGATGAAGCAGAGCGAACCATGATGAATATAGCTCGTCACATAGCCTCTCGCGTAAGCTAAGCTCGGAACGGTTGCTAATCCTCATATGGGACTTGACCTCGATAACGATTTAACTCTCTTTGGCAAGCTGAGAGAAGAAATCTCGACGAGATCCCGTTAAGAGGCAGCGTCTTCCCCACCACTTCCGCGTTACCGTGAGGGGAAGACTCCACCCTCTGCCTCCACCTTGAAGACGGCTCTTATCAGCGATCTTTAACTTGCATCTCCATAAATGATACCGGTGTTAATAGGCAGATATGAGTATTACAAAGTAAGATCTCTACTAGGAGACCTTTGTACAGTTTTGGCATTCCAATCACTTCGAGCTTCAAGACTGGAATATTGTATGCAACAAATCCTCTATCTCTTATAGGGCTGAAGCTGCTCGGTGGACTGATACCAAATTGAATGCTGAGCGTAATCACTAACAACAAGGTTTACAGTAGCTCTCCGGTTTGTCAGGTTCAGGTAACGTAGATTCGGAGATGGTTACAAAAGAATATTAATGGTGGGCGCGGCTCTCCGCGGCGGGCGGCGAATGACACTGAGGGGCACATGTCAGATTACATCAATGTTCCAAGCGCCCTTCCTTTGTAGAGAATATCTATATAAGAAGCGAACCATCTATTTGATGCCTCGCGGCTTGTATTCCATTTCCCCTTCCTCTCACATCGTATTCCTTATTTGACATTCGACATGGCCGCTCCATTCAAGGTGTCTCTGCCCAACGGGTTAAGCTACGAGCAGCCTACGGGATTATTCATCGACAACGAATTCGTCCCCGCCAGCGGCGAAAAGTTCACCGTTTACAATCCCACGTAAGGCAATATCTTAGAATGAAAGTAACTGATAATATAAACAGGCGTTTGTGCTGACCATGTACATCAACAGCAATAACGAGGAGATTGTCACCCTCCAAGGCGCATCGGAGCAAGACGTAGACAAAGCTGTAGCCGCTGCCCGCCGTGCGTTTGATGGCGAATGGTCCGACCTCGCAGCTGTCGATCGAGGAGCCTTGATCTATAAGCTTGCGGAATTGATTAACAGGGATTTGAAGTTGTTGGCAAGCATTGATTCTTGGGACAATGGCAAGTCCATCACCGACGCTACAGGGGATCTTACAGAAAGCTACAATGTCTTCCGATACTATGCCGGTGCTGCGGACAAGATCACGGGCAAGACAATTGAGACGTCACCGAAGAAGCTAGCCTACGTCTTGCAGGAGCCTCTCGGTGTCTGCGGCCAGATTATACCTTGGTATGCCCTGAAGCTTCATCATTTTCTTCCTTTTCCCGGCCCTCCTAACCAAATTATCAGGAATTATCCCTTTATGATGCTTGCGTGGAAGGTCGCCCCAGCTCTTGCATGCGGAAATACCATCGTACTCAAGCCTGCAGAGCAAACGCCTCTCTCAGCTCTATACTTTGGCAAGCTCATTGTCGAGGCTGGCTTCCCGCCCGGGGTGGTCAACATCATTCCCGGTCTTGGATACATCTCGGGCAAGGCTCTTGCAAGTCATATGGATGTCGACAAGATTGCCTTTACTGGCAGCACCGCCACCGGACGGTCCGTCATGAAGTCTGCCAGTAGCAACCTGAAGAACATTACCCTGGAATGTGGCGGCAAGAGCCCGAGCATTGTGTTTGATGATGCGGATCTTGATCAGGCCGTCAAGTGGTGCCACAGCGGCATCATGGACAACATGGGTCAGGTAAGTCCCCCTAATGCTTCAGTCCATGCAGAACATTTCTCTAATACTCGTGCCACAGGTGTGCTGCTCGACTTCGCGAATCTATGTGCAAGACACCATCTACGAGGACTTTCTCGCCAAGTTTACCCAGAAGACCAAGGACGGCGCAACAAAGATTGGCGACCCCTTCCACGAGGACACTTACCAAGGACCCCAAGTTTCCAAGGCGCAATTTGACAAGGTCTTGGGCTACATCGAGGACGGCAAGAAAGCCGGCGCCCGCGTCCTGCACGGCGGTGCGAAGCATGGCGACAAGGGTTTCTTTGTCCAGCCCACAGTCTTTGCCGATGTATGGGAACCTCCCCATTCTTCTACAACTATTTCAGGTGTAGTTACTAATCGTTGATATAGACCACTGAGGACATGAGCATCGTCAAGGAGGAAATTTTCGGCCCCGTTGTCGCAATCTCCAAGTTCAGCACCGAAGCCGAAGTCATCGCCAAGGCAAACGACACTTCATACGGCCTGGCCGCCGCAGTCTTTACGGAGAAGCTGTCAAAGGCGCATAAGGTTGCTCGCAAGCTGCAGGCCGGAATGGTGTTCGTCAACTCGTCGGGCGACTCGCATTTTGGCATTCCATTTGGCGGCTATAAGTCGTCCGGCATCGGCAGAGAATTGGGACAGTATGCGCTGGACGCGTACACGCAGTCCAAGGCCGTGCATGTGAATCTGGGTACAGAGTTGTAGTATAGAAAGCCTTTGTAGTGGCGGAAAAGGGGTGAAGATTGTATTACTACTATATAAGGTATCAAACCAAGTTATTCTGAACAGTACGAAGAGTGCAGTAATCCTGCTTTGCCCGCATCTATCCGCAATGAGAACCACCAAGACGATAATAGACCTGAGCTATCAATAATAGGTTGAACATGATAATATGCACGTGACGGTCTCTCTAGCTCCGCATATTGCCCATTCTGAGTAGCACTTCGGAGAGGTCCTATCAGTCTCACCTTCTGACCCCCAATTCTTATCAACCAAACCCCATCGCCATACCCCTCATTTTCCTTAGCTGCTGAGGGGTAGCGGCTAAGATATGGCAATAGCGCGCCTGGGATTTCCTCTTTTGGCAAGGGATTCCCCAGACGAAAAGGTGCCGGTTTCTTCCAACTGATCGAACGGAGGGGTTCACAAGATCAAAGCCTCTCTCGGCTGGAGCACCGGGGTTGGTCCGAGCCGTTATAAGCCGGTCCTTATATCCTTCTTTATCAACATCTCCTCTCACCTTCATCACTTCACAACCACCACCACGGAACATAGGACAAAAACAAATCATTTCAAGCAAGGATGGGTGACAACATTAAGCAAATCAACATTTGGCAAGACAAAGCTTCTTCCGCTGCAGCCCGACGCGATGCCAGTCTCGCCAAAGTCGAGCCCAAGCTTGAGGGCATCCCCGAAGTTCTACCCCTCAGTTCCCAGGAGCTGCCAAAGTCCGTCTTGACGCCTCGGGAACTCGAAATCACGGAGAAGTATTCCGTCACAGAGCTGCTCAAGATCCTCCGAGAGAGGAAGATCTCAGTTGAGGAGGTGACGCGAGCCTTTTTGCGAAGAGCAGCGTTGGCCCAAGTTGCGGTATGTACAAGCACTTAGTACATCGTCTCGTTCAATGTCACGCGTCTTCCATCACCTTCTCATACTACTCACATGCTAAACGAGAGTACTGACAAGATAGACCAACTGTCTCACTGAGCTACTCTGGGATCAAGCCATCGCCCGTGCCAAGGAGCTCGATGCCCTACCTGAGCCCAAGGGCGCTTTCTTTGGCCTCCCCATCTCCACTAAGGAGCACCATGGCATGGTTGGCGAAAACGTCGTCACCTCTGCCTCATTCGCCGCCTGGGTCGATAAAAAACACGGTTCAAATCTGCTCTACGACATTCTGTACAGTGAAGGATGCGTCTTTTTTGCCAGAACAACGCAGCCGCAAACGATTATGCACCTTGAGACGAGTAGCAATGTGTACGGCCGGACTGTGAACCCGTACAATCGCGATCTGACACCCGGAGGAAGCTCTGGTGGCGAGTCTGCACTGGTCGGCATGCGTGGAAGTCTTCTGGTGAGTGATAAGCAATCACAAGCGTCCATCCTCATTCGTTCTGAGCATAATGCTAAGTCCGCGCAGGGTGTTGGTGGTGATATTGGAGGCAGTGTTCGGTGTCCATCCGCTCATGTCGGCATCTACGGCTTCAAGTAAGTCAATCCCCCGTGTATTTTCCGTCTTGTCAGTATTGTTAACACGACTGAAAGACCAACTGCGAAGCGCATCTCTGTCTTTGGGCAGAGAGCCAACATGGCCGGCAAGGAGACCATCCTTTCCACTCCAGGACCGATGACCGTCGAGCGCGATGCTATTGAGCTATTCATGAAGGTCGCCGTCGCTGCCGAGCCGTGGCGCATTGATCCATCCCTTACAGTCAAGGAATGGAAACCGTACCACTTCACGAAACCCCTCAAGATCGCTGTGCAGTGGTGGGACGGCATTGTCCAGCTTCATCCACCCATGAGGCGCGCATTGGAAGAGGTTGTGGCCGCATGTAAAAAGGCGGGCTTCGAGGTGGTTGACTGGAACTGCGAGTCTCTCGGTCATGATGAGGCCTGGGACATCATTTCGGGGCTCTATTGGCCTGACGGTGGCGAGGAAGTCATGAACCTGATGAATGAGACGGGGGAGCCCATATTGCCTCTGACGAAGTTCATTATCGAAGAACAGCCGAGCGTCAAGAAAATGACTGTGCATGAACTCTGGGAGGTAAGCATTGCGCTTGGCTCATTCAGTGCTCTAAATTGACGAACTGCTCACTAATTGGCATGAAGATTTGCGCTCGACGAGATGCGTATCGCGCAAGATACGCCAAAGCTTGGACAGACACCGCAGCCAATGGCGAACGTGAAGTCGATGTCATTCTGTGTCCTCCTTCGTTTGGCGCTGCCGCTCCTCACGAGCAGTCCCGCTACTGGGGCTACACTTCACAGTGGAACCTCCTGGACTACCCGGCTGTTGTCTTCCCCGTCACCACTGTTGATCCTACCAAGGATGTCAAGGACCCGAACTACGTGCCGAAGAACGAGAAGGACCGATTCGTGTATGAGATGTACAGCCCGGAGAAATATGTCAACGCGCCGGTGAGCTTGCAGATTGTTGGACGACGGCAATATGATGAGAAAGTATTGGCTGCGTTGGTGGAAATCGAGCGGGCGATGGGGAGACCATGAGACTCATCGATTCTCATACCTGTGAAAATAAGTGCTTCCTTGATAGACTATGTTTAGAGGAATAGATGACGAGTGCTAGTCTAGCCATTCTTAGTTTTCCTTCTGTTTGCTCTTATTCCCAGTCTAATGATATAGCTCGGCCTGCTTCTCAAGCACAACTGGATACCTCACAGAACCAGGCTTGATCTTGGCGAAGTTCAAGTCAACGCCTTCTTCCACGTCTGGGAATGGCCCCATGGGAGTGATTGCTAGCGGGTTGATCTTTGCATGGCTCTTTGTATACTGTTTCCAAGTCAGCCTCGTACTTCTCCTCGTCGCTTCTAGTTATTTGACTCACGTTTTCTTTGATGTGCTTGAAATTCGTCGTCTCTTTGAACCCCTTGACATTCCAGTAAAGATTCTTCAGCCACCCGTGAATAACAGGGTAATTGGCACGAATTGTTCCCAGGTTGCATTTGAAGTGCTGTACATAGACCACGTCGAACCTAATGACCGTTGTGTACGCCCGGATGTCGAGTTCTGTGAGATGTTTGCCCAGTATATACGGCCCTCCATTGCGGTAGATGAGGCTTTCGAGGTGGTTTAACGCAGCGAAGACAATCACTACGCCCTCGTTGTAGGCCTCCTGGGTTTCCGCAAATCCAGCCTTGTAGACGCCCGAGTTGAGGTCCCTCTGCATCCATTCTGTGATTGCGTCGATCTCGCTTCTTAGATGCGTCGGATACAGGTCGAGTTGAGCCGCCGATCCCTCTCGAGGGAGTACATCATCAAAGGCAGTTGGTAGCCAGCGCAGCAGCTCTGCGCTTTCGTTGTTCACAATGGTCCCCTCTTTCATGTCCCAAAGCACCGGGACGCTGTATCTTCCCTTGTACTCCGGGTCCGCCTTGAAATAGAGTTTGTGCAGGTAGTCGGACGCAAACAGCTTGTCCACAGTCGCCCCGGGATACTCATCGTTGGAAGCGGGAAATCGCCAACCCGGCCATCCGCGATCATCGCCTTTTGGATACGGCATCACGACCGACATATCAATAAGCGATTCCAATCCCCTGAGGGACCGCACGAGGAGGACTCGGTGGGCGAATGGACAGAAGAGCCCCACGTATAGGTGGTAGCGACCAGCTACGGGAGGGAATTGGGTCTCTGATTTGATGACCCCATGCCAAGAGTCGTCGGGACCTGCGTGTACGGCTGCCATGATGTCTGCTTGATGAATTTTCTCAGCGTTGTATGAATTGAGATCTGGGTGAGAATTGAAAGAAGATCTTCTCTCCAGAATATGCATCCGAAAAGAATAGCCGGCCCCCGCATCAGAGGGCAAGTTCATCGGGCCACTCAACGCACTACGATCTGCTTGCAGAAAAGAATGGAGATGTGGATTAGCAATATGTTACTGTACGCAAAGCATTAGATGGGTATTTCTAATCATAAGATTGGTGGTGCTCCAAGCATCGAAGTCCACTGAGCACTGCATCTCATCCCCACAAGAATCGGGCAATTCCCCATGGCATCGTGCTCAAGAAATTCCTATCGAGACCGCAGACCGTGTAAAACAAACATCAAACTCCGTGTTTTTGTTTTCATTCCACCATTATACGGGTATCTACCAAGCCTAACCATCAATGCAATCCATCATTCATATCCTCCATTACGCCTTTCCTGAGTGTTGCACAGTCTCTTCGACTGCGACTTCACCCTGCTCGGACTCCGCCACAACTTCATCCACCTCCTTCACCTTGACATCCGCCATTCCATATATCACAATGCTCACGATTCCGATAATAGCGGACAGAATCGAAAACACAAGCGCAACAATGCCCCTCGCCGTGAAACCATCCGGGATCCAGCCCGGCTGCGCAGCCTGACCCTTAAGGTCAAGGAAGTTCGTCGTGTCAGCCGCAGCATTTCCCTTGGATGAAATTCCAGCGGCTTGGCAGACATCCAAGTGGTCCTGCGGAATCTGCATGCGCTCCTGCATCTGCTGCGGCGCCTCAATCAGGATCATAGCCAGACCTGAGGCAAGATGCCAGTCGATGTGGCAATGGAAGATCCAAACGCCCGGATTATCCGCCACGAATCGCATCACAAAGTATCCCTGCGGCGGCAGCACAAAGACGTCTCTCCGCGCAGGAATCTTGGGGAACGCCGTATGGTTGCTGGGATCGTACGGCACGGGGTCGCCATTCAGGAAGTCGTTGAAGTGCGGTCCGTATGGCGGGGCGCGATCAATGACCTGGAAGTTGTGGCCGTGGAGATGGAACGGGTGCGAGCCGCCGTCGGCGTTGTTGACTACGATCTGCACGACATCGTTGTGGTTGAGAACCATTGGGTGCGTGAATTCGCCGTAGATCTCGCTGTTGGCGACGAGGTCTCCAGACGACATCGCCGTGTAAAGAGAGGGCACTTTGGGCTTCGTGTATGAGATGTTGTTCAGGAAGGCGTAGCTGAAGCCCGTGTTGAGGTTGTTCATGATGACTGTCACGTTAATCTCCAGATCCGGCTCAGGGAGAAGCTCCATCTTATCAGTTGGCACCAGTGTGATGTCGTCAAAGGGTACTAGCTCCGTGCTGTCTGTTACGTTGATGGTTGCCTGGGGATGAGCGGCATCTTTGTTATATTCCAGCCAGTTGGTATTGTTCAGCTGCAGGTCCTCAGGGATTCCATCAAGAAGGGTAGAGTCCGCGACTGTGACAATGGCATAGTTCACGTCGGTCTGGTTCTTCGTCGTCAGGAGGATTGCATATCGCTGAGCAACGGCAATGTACAGCGTATCAGCCTCGGTAGGTTCTGTGTACACGCCGTCGATTTCCACAATCTGAAAGGTATGGCCCTCGATGTAGAAGTATTGCGCGACGAAGGCACCGATGTTGACGAGCCGGAGAAGATATGTCTTGTTCGGCTCAACGGGGATGCTCGAGTTCATCGTGTCGTTGAACAGGAAAGCGGAGGGGATGGGCTCTGCGCCGGTGGGATTGAACACCGACATGAAGTCCGTCGACAGATCCTCCACCATCTCGTGATACCAGTCGGACATGGTGATTGTGAACTCCTCATCAAACTTGAACGGCGCATGTTCGTCGTGAACAATGAGGGCTTGACGATAGCCATCCGGGTAGCAGTAGTCCGTGTGGCAGTGGTACCAGTAAGTGCCGTTCTGGTTGACGGTGAAGTTGTATGTCATGCTCGAGCCGGGCGGGACAGGGCACTGGGTGACCATGGAAGCGCCGTCCATGTAGTTTGTGTTGTTCTGGAACATGCCGTGCCAGTGAATGGAGCACGGCCGGTCACCCAAGCCGTTGTGCATGTTGACGACGAGCTGGTCGCCCTTGTCGACCTCGATGAGCGGCAGGGGCCATTGTCCGTTGATGCCCACGACTTTGCGCTCTGCCAGTCCGTCGGGGTTGGCCGTGACCCAAGTGACGTTGAAGTCGTAGGTGACTGTCTTTGCCCGGCAGCCAAGCGCCGCCAGGGCCAGAAGCAGAAAGGACTTCATCTTTGGCACAGCGACGGCACAGGCTTGACTTCTCTCTCTGTCAGTTTTCTGACGAGGGTGGGCAGGTCAAGGTTGATATCTAGTCTGGCTGCAGCAAAGGACTAAGGGACCGGGTCTGCTTATTCTTCTCCCCCCATGGCCAAGTGCCCATCCATCAGATAATCAGTTGCTACACAAAGCCCAACAGCAAAGGAACCGGGAACAGAGCAAAAAGCAGCTAAAACAATCCCCACAGTCTCGATAAAAATTTCGACAGGCAAATGTTACCGATCACCGCAAGACCAGATCCTTGCTCTCACGTCCCGAAAACGAGCCAGGTCCCCGTTTAGACTCACCACGAACCCCTCGAGGCGTTCGATAGTTCTGCCGAGATTCCGTGAAGCGGCATCAGATAACTATATTTGAGCCATTTTTGTGGTGATCAGATAAATTTTTCTTCGTGTCTTTCCGGATCAGATAACCCAAAATCTCAGGGCCGTCGACGATGGTGGGCCTTGAAGTGCCGTCTTAGCCGAAGCGCCGCAGCTGGAGATGCATCAACAACATCTGACTGGACGATGCCGTTTATCTGATCATCTGATTTGGCTAAAGCTGCGAGGTGAGTCGAGCCGTGTTGAGCCATGTTCCACTTTGTATCCTCAAAATCGGTCTTCGAATCGATCCGTCGGAAAGTCAATTCGACTTCTGATGACAAGATCGGTTGCGCTTCCGGCCCTTTTTCAGTTGGGGGGAAAGATGGATAAAAATTCTCTTTAGTAATTATGCCGCTGCAGTCCTTGCCTTGTCTCAGTTCCGCGACTGTATGTGGCTAATTGTACTTTAGAATGCCCATCACCTCTCTAGATTGACCCTCCCCGCCTCTTCTCCCTCTTTTTCTGAGCAATTGACACAAGTTCTCCTGGGAGGCGCCGCGTGCCGTTTACACCATGTCCAAGAACGTCTTTGCCGTTCAGGTCTTCTTCATCGTCTTCAGGGAGTGCTTGGAAGCGGTCATCATCATCTCCGTCCTCTTATCCTTCCTCAAGCAATGTCTTGGAGGGCCAGGCCAGGACCAGGCCATCTATAAGCGCCTTGTTAGGCAAGTATGGCTTGGTTCCCTGGCAGGTATCATCATCTGCCTCATCATCGGCGGTGCCTTCATTGGAGTGTTCTATGGTCTGGGAAAGGACATCTGGTCAAAGTCTGAAGACCTTTGGGAGGGCATCTTCTACCTCATTGCCACCATCATCATCTCCTTCATGGGCCTTGCGCTGCTGCGAATCAACAAGATGAAGGACAAGTGGCGCGTCAAGATTGCCCAGGCTTTGGCTGAAAAGTCGGCTCAGTCTACCAAATCGACCACCTGGCTCGGCGACTGGTCACGGAGACACGTCATGTTCCTGCTCCCATTCATCACGACGCTGCGTGAAGGTGTCGAAGCGGTCGTCTTCGTCGGCGGTGTCTCTCTCAGCTTGCCGGCCACGGCCTTCCCCCTGCCCGTCATCTGCGGCATCATCGCCGGTCTCGCCGTCGGCTTTTTCATCTACCGCGGTGGTAACTTGATGTCCATCCAGATCTTCCTCATCGCCTCCACGAGCGTTCTGTATCTGATTGCCGCCGGCATGTTCTCCAAGTCTGTTTGGAGCTTGCAATACCACACCTTTGCTCAGCGTGTGGGAGGCGACGTTGCTGAAGAAGGCGATGGCCCCGGCTCATACGACATCACCGAGACCGTCTGGCATGTCAACTGCTGCAACCCCGAAACCGACAACGGCTGGGACGTTTTCAACTCGATCCTTGGCTGGCAAAATACGGCCACATATGGGTCCGTCATCTCATACAATGTGTACTGGGCATGCTTGGTCTTGACTGTCTCTTGTCTCATGTATGAAGAAAAGACGGGGTCGCTGCCCCTGAAGAACCAGTTCTTGAGCTTCATGTCCAAGATTCCAGGTTTTGGTGGATGGGTTGCAAAGAAGCGTGCGAAGCAGAACATTAACGAGCATGAAGTGTTGCGACAGGTGCAGGCGGCTGGGCTGCTCAGGGAGTAGGTTGACATGGTCAAGGGCAAAGGGCGTTGGTTGGTGGGAAAAGCAGGCGATGAGTTACGATGTCATGCGTTGGAGGTTCTATAATGAAGATGAATATATCCAAAACGGTGGGCCAGTTCTGTTTGCATTTCACTCTTATCAAGTATTGCTGTGTAGATGAATGTCCATGTCAAGACAAAGGCATGTAGTCTATATAACTTTTGTGCTCTATATTACATATTTGCTTGGTTGTTTAGAATGCCGGCAGCGTAAAAACGCCCATTTGGAATACCTCGTAACCACTCCCTGACAAAGTGTGTCCTGTATTGCCACACATACCAAGTTTCCACGATTCACAGACGGCCGATGCCTGTTTCCTGGGATCGCAGGTAGTCCGAACTTTTAGTCAGAGGTTTTCGCCATCGATCATCTCCAGCCGGGCAGGATTCGCAGACAGTCAAGATTTGTTGACAGGAATCTAGCCCATCCAACATCTGCCATTGGAAATTGGAGGCAGCCAAGGCCCCAGATAACAGAGTTTGACTTGCCGTCCAAGCAGAACGCTCGTCAGCTGATGTGACGAAGTTCCAAGACTGCAGATAGTATATGCAGCCACACAAGGCGTTTCCGGCCAGCCAATGATGTTGGGAGTCCGTGAGTGGGTTTATATCTCGACTCAAGTCATTTCACAGCCACCCGACCCTTCGAAACACAAAGCTCCCCCCTCCAACAACGGCTGTTGCTCCAGTAAACGCTATCAGGGTTCCATATCCACTGCCATATCCCCCCGCAGCTTGTCCTTGCCACGGCATTCCCTTGAGCAACGCCTCACTCAACGGCCCCGAGACAACATTGCCGATACCTCGCCCAGCAGACAGCAAGCCGACCACCATGAGGGGATCGTAACTGCTGGGGCTTCCATTCTCTTCTCTAGATCCACCGCCAATAGACATGAGGTGCTTCATAATTCCCGGCCAAGTCGATGTATAACAGCCCGCAAACAGACCATACGTGACGCAGAATACGTACAGTGAGGCCAAGTTTGTGCCCAGTCCCCAAAGGAAAAAGGTGCCAATCGCAGTACCGACGGTTGATATACCGATACATGTCGTCACATGGAGGCGGTCAGTCAGTGTTCCCATGACGATGCATCCTACAACAGCGCCGACGTTCAGCACGAGGAGCGTCAACGCCGACGGGAAGTCACCAGCACCGAGAGTTACTCTCGCATATGTCGGCAGATAAATGCCCGGAAGGAAATAACCCACACCCTCCACAATGTTGGTGAGCTGGTATAAGCCGAAGTAGCGATTCGCCAAGAACTTGAGGTTGAAAGGCCTAAAATGAGCCGTAGCAGAAGCTGGCAGCCGCGGCTTAATGAACCAGACCAGCGGCGCAGACAGGACGAACATGGTGAGAGCCCATATCCGCAACGTGGTTCTGAATCCGTAATGGTTGAGAAAGTATTCGAGGAGGAGAGGGATTGTAAAACCGCCGAGCCCAGTACCAGACCACATCACTCCGTAGGCAAATCCCTTGCGTTTGATGAACCATTCATCCATGCAGAGCATACAGGGGCAGTAGCAGATGGAGCCGCCGATGGCATAGAGGACTCCTTGAGTGAGGATGAGGTGCGTGACGTTTTGCGAAAAGGAGGAGATGGCGAGAGCAATACAGAGGAACAACAGACCGACGACAGGTGCGTATCGAGTTGGCTTTGGGTACATCCGTTGAAAGGCCATGATGATTGGAATATCGAGATACATGATGCCCTGTTTGGTGTTAGCATGGCCATGTACTCTGGGTAGTATTGGATAACAGTATGTACCATGGCAGTGGTGCCGATTACAGCAGTTTTAGATGAGCTCGAAAATGGTTCGTGCGTGCGATAGTAATCTTGAAAGACACCAAACGAGAATGGGAATCCTATGAAAGAGGCCCGGTTTTAGAGATGTTCAATACTCAAAAAAGGCATTCTTTGCTCACCCCAGACCAATGCTTCCAGGACGAAGCACGCCGCCAAGAAGAGCCATGCATCCTTCCCCCTATCAACAGGCGGCAGAAAGAACTCTGCCGTGCCACCTGGGGGTATCTGGCTGTCTCCAGAGTTGATTCCCCGGTCCGAATTGTAATTGCTTCGAGGGGTATTCTGGCCGGAAGTTTGCCTCGATGCACCAAATGACGGTAGGGTTGCTGTTAGCTCGACAGATGTTGATGGTTCTGCCATGATGAAACACTTAATTGGTCTCAATTGAGGCTCTATTCGTTACCGAAAGTAGATGATTTGAGACTGATCATGATCTGAAGCTTAGCATATAAGAATTTTGCTTAGCGTTGCTAGCCGTCGATCCACCATATCGACATCTCGGCCCTTGGTGCGCCCTGCATGTCAAAAGTCTTCATGAACTGCCGTGGTGGGTCTTAAGGTTGTTTGTACACGCACTGTACCATACAATGGGATTAGGTAGAGTCAAAACAGTACGACAGAGTCTTTGCGTGCTGCTAGCATGGCATAGATATAAGCCCTTGGAGCGCCCAAGTAGGTAAATTACTCGTAGAACTCGGGTTGCAGCAACGATGATGTCTCGATGCATACGCAGAGGGCGTCTTTGGCATTTGTGTAGGCCATTGAGTACCAAGATGGGATTGTGGGAGAAAGGCAGCAACGTCATCATTTGGCAGAGAAGAGGATGGTGGTTGTGATTCTGACTGTCTTGAATCAACTCAATTCAGGATATATTGCCTAATCTGGCCTATATACACCCCATACGATCCATTGGAAATATACATACGAATGCCCTAGTGGTTGCCCGAAACAACACATCATGGCTTAAAGTTGACAGAAAGGAATTGGATCACCTGAGGCGAAATGTCAATCTGCGAGCCAGGGCCAGGCCACGCGTGGGAGGCGCCATCAATCTTGACATGGCGCAGCAAGCTGTCAATGCCCGCACACGTCCACCTCGTGTCATGAACACCAGCGGCCAAGTCAGTCGTCGTGGAAGTGGTGCACTGGTTCCGTGCTGCCCATCGCGAGAGCCAGTCGGGAATCGAAGGCAGCGGGCCACCACGTCCCGGTCCGGTAGGGTTATACGGAATCGTCGTATCGCCAGTCCCGTGCGTCTCAAACATGGGCAACGGGGAGCGAGAAGGGTGGCAGTTGTCGTTACCGGTGACATCCGTGTACATGGCGCCGGAGACAGGGGCAAAGGCCGCAAACTGGCCGCCGTGTGCGGGACTGCAGGCAAGAGTGTTGACGAACCCTCCGCCGTTGGAGTGGCCGGTGGCGTAGACACGGGCCTCGTCGACGCAGTAGTTGTCCTTGATGCGGTTGACCAGGTCCGTGGTGAAGACCTTGTCGCTGACACCGGGGGTAGCATACGTTGGGCCTTCCCAGTTTCCCTGTAATTATGTTAGAGCCAATCTGCTCATGACTTGCATCTTACATGTGCTTGACTCGATGGAATAGGCAACGAACGTTGATGCCAGCTGGGTAAACAACAATCATGTCCGGGTTGACAGAGGGATCCGAGAAACGGGTCGTCTGCTCAAAATTGGTCGGATTGTCGCCAGACCCGTGGTAGGCGATGATGAGAGGCTTGGGAGAGCCTGGCTGGTAACTGGAGGGGAGATGAATTCTGTAGCTGCGAGTGCCACCGCTGCTGTCGAAGCTGAACTCTTTCGTCTGACCGGCCCAGTCGTGGGTCCTCGAGCAGCCTGCCGAAGCACGCTTTGCAACGCCAATGGCAGCGCCGTGAGCATAGCCAATGAGGCTAGCAACAGCCGCAAGGGCCTGGATGGAGGAGGAAGAGAATAGCATGTTTGGTGGAAAGCAATTGTTGGCTGTCAAACTCCTTGAGGAAATCAACTCATGCAACAAGATAACGACGGAATATTTATACTATAGAATCATTGGGGAATCTCCATCATTCGCGTGGCTGTTTACTTGTAACAAATCCATGGTCCTCTCTTCTCCGAGTTCCGGATCGCTTTTCGGTCACTTTCCAGATACTAGGAACTCATTAGTGTCATCTCCATCGGCACGAGGAACGGCACCGGGTCAAGCGCATTGTGCTGACATGCTATGAGCCCTCCAACATGCTTGGCAGCGCCGATGTAGTTCCGCACTTACCATAAAGGAGCATCGAGAGTCTCGTATACGGATAGAAGCTCGGATAAGGCTCAAGGCTAAGGAGCAGGTACGATGTTTGATGTGACTGCGCCTCTATGTCGTTCTGTTTAACCAGTGAAGTCTACTTGAATCTTCTCTCTCATTTAAGCTGTAATATTCCTTTCAAACAAATGACTCAGTCAGAGAGTGATGCTCTGGTTTTGCGTGTTTCCCAGCGGCTTCGAGCTGAGACTTCGGGGGGTCGTCAATGGGCAAGGGCACATCCGTCTCCTATACACCCGTTCTATTCCAGCCGAAGCGGGCGTGATAACCCACACTCGGATATGGAGTTCAGTTATTTAGTTACCTCCGTAAAACGGGTTAAAATGGAAATCTCGGGGCAATTAGCGCCTTACAAGGCATATATCCTTGTTATCAAGCTTAGTACGGAGTATACGCTACAGAGTTATCATACAGCTCTTCAACCACGGCGGTGGCACAACTGCTGTCGTAATCAACGCTGCTCTCCTACTCACCATGCTATATCTATGGAGAGCCTTATATGTCCTGAAACTCTTCTCATCAGCAATGCCCGCATCACTTACAGAAGGGCAATGCCGCGTCTCCTGAACAGTTTATGCGGAGTGCATGTGCAGTGAGCTAAAGCCGTAAACGAATCTCCACCTCCTCTATTTGGCCTACAACCTCGCCGATACGTGTTATAGCTCGGTTATTGTAGAGTGGAACCGAGGGAACAGCAAATCAGAGCTTTCTGGAAGCCTGGTTGCCCCTGTAGTTGCCAAGATTCCGACGAGCCAATCCCTCTCTAGCTCGACTCATGAAAGTTGCCAGGGGCCGAGTTTGACTGCCTATGGCCAACTCCACCTCGGGTTGATCAGTTGCCACCTCCATCTAAGAGGTAAGCTTAACCGAGCGTCAAACAAGCCTAACCTGTTTGTAAGAGGCGACTGTAGGAAGCGACGACATGAGAGTATACGAGCAGCAGTCAGACCACGACATGCTCTCTCTAGACAATGATTGCCCACTACATGTCTGTCCGTCGTTTGCAACACCCATTCTTTCTCCTCTGTTCGATCAAAATACGATACAACTGACTGGCGAGTTCACAACAATGAGACCTCTTATCCACCATAGTGCTCAAGACAAATCAAGTATCAGGAGCTAGACTACCTCTTCGACAAATTAAGCATATGGAGCTACCTTTTCTGGCAACGGCAGCATTTATAATTCGCCGAACTTGTCTTGTAAGCACCCGAACACTCCACATCTTGCTCCGATATTTTGTCGTGATATTAGGCATGACCTCTCATCATGACATTGCTATCGAGCAGAAGCTATAGATCTCCATATAATCAGCTCCAACGCCCACTCCAGCGCGAGCACTGGAAAGTGACTGCATATACTACTAATAGCTACTGTACCACTTCCACGAGTGGAACTGGCACGAGAATCGCCAGATCGCGGCAGACCAGCACGGGGAAATCCGACATAGTACACCTTCACGGCTTACGGTTCTCCACTGCTCAAATCCTCACCACAAACCTGAGGGCCTCAAGTACGACAGCATAGCATATCCCACATGCAAGTTACATTGAGGGGAAGCATTCATCCGACGGATTGTCTAGAACTCCATCACGCTGTATGGTGATGTGGTAAGGCCTGCTGGTGGAGAGGATTTCCGTTCATGTCTATTGTCAGCACATCATGATCAAAGCGTGTAGAAGCAGTTGAGTCAACCCTTCAGACGTGCGTTTCCTGGCTTAGAGAAGGTGACAGCTCTCTCACGGCCCCTGCCATGCGCTACTTATGCTACTTTGGCTCTGATTCCGTGTCAGTCTCTGATAGAGACGAAGTACTACTACAAGCCACAAACTCAGCAACTGAAATTCTTCCTCCTCTACATCCATATGTTACACCTGAAACTCTGAATGCGCCATGTGTGAGCCGAAAACAAGTATCAGCCTTACTGAGGAAAACGCCGCAAATAGACCCAGGTCATCCACACCAATTTAAAAAAAAAAAAGCTATGCTTGCCCCAGAGATCAAGCTCGCAACTCGTCCACAGCATATGCACAGCGAAAACGCACTACTTTACACGATACAAGCGTGTAACCACTCTTCTGCCCGGGCTGAGTACATGTGGAGGTATGTGCTACTCTGATCAGCTCAACTGGGATGACTAGAGAGCTGGCTTAGTGCAGGGATACATCAAATATTACTACTTCCTCTACATATGTGGCTTGCCCATGTGTAACTCACGGCTCCTGATGAGGGGAAAGGTAGGATGCCAAATGCCATGCCAATGATCGTGAATTGACTGTCCTTCGGGTGACACCATATGTTGACACAGTACGTGACAGTCTAAAAGTAAGTAGCTGTGTTCATCACTTGAAGAAAGTTGAGAAGTGATGTCCGGTGCTATACACTGGTACAATTCATCCCCGTAATTTCCTATTGTGATCAATGCTTCAAGATCAGCCTGAAGGAGAAGATACTATACGAAGAACGAAGAGAGAAGGACGAAAAGAAAATAGCAGGTTCCGCATTTTGGCGCCTTCATTGGAAATTCTCATTATGAGGCTACCTATACAAAAGACGCTGCTTGGCTTTACAAATGACCCAATCAAGATCACATAAAGGCCATAACAATAGGCTGTCTCAGACACGCAATCTGTTTGCTAATCTGCACAACTTAAATCCACGCCCCTTGACGATCTCAGGCCTCATCCCCGCTTTCTCTGAGCATCACATCCGATGTGTGAACAGGTGGCTGACCGGATGATACCTGAAAATGTTTGCCCAGCGGGAAACTTCAATATCGCAGTAGTTGATCACCAATGGCATCAAGTCGCAAAGAGTCTGGGCGAAAATCGAGAAGCGTACAATGTGTCATTTTCGGAATGAGATGCGAATATCTGTAACGTAAAAAGAAGCAATCAAGAAATCTTGAACATCGAGTCCGGCAAAGCAAATGTCTATAAAGAGAAGAGATGATTCTCCATCTCCGTTAACTTCATCGCAGTCAAAATCACCAGCATCACAACTTTCAATATCCACTTACAAGCACCCTCTGTCAGTTATCATTTCCAGCACCGTAACCTCCCTCAAAATGAGTTTCAACGAAGGAACCTACTACATCGCCACCGCCCTCTCCAACCACAAGGCCATCGACCTCGACTCGTCCGAAGCCACCGGCCGCATCATCGAATAGTACGCCTCCTTCCCTGAGTCTCTCTCAATTATGTCTCCTAACATAGTACTTCCACCTAAACAGCGAAGGCCACGGCGGCAAGAACCAACAGTGGCGCATCACCAAAATCACCCACGAAGAATTCAGCATCCAGAGCGTTGCCACCAACACCTTCATCACGGCTCCAAGTAAATAATCTCTCCCCTCTCAATCCCATCTCCAATACCAGATATAGAAAGACAAAGAAGCAGCATAAGTCACTAACTACTCCCAACCGCAGATGGAGGCGATGCCACGGCTCATGGCTCAAAGCTCCTCCCCGAGTGCAACAACGTGGCCCGCTGGAAGATTGTAAAGGCCAGCAAGAGCGACAACTATCAGTACGTTCCTCCTGTTATCCCCGGCCTGTCAGAGGCGGCAGCTCACAATGCAATACAGCATCTATAGCGTGGCGTTTCCCAACAAGGTCCTCGACGTGACGGGCAGCAAGCAGGATAACTCGACCCCCATCATCGTCTACAACTATCACGGGGGGGTGAACCAGCAGTTTACCTTCAAGGAGGTGTAAATTCAGGACTTGCTCCTGTCCTTCTGTCCGGTAGTCAACGGGCATCATGGTGCAACGGGCTGAATGTTCCGATTCAGCATACACACATTCGTTTACATGAAGAATACTTCCACTCACTCTATCTATTCCATGGTTATTTGGGGAGATGCTTATGAGACTGTACACCCGGTCGAGAGGGGAAATGGGAAGCTAGCTATCATCTTGGAAATTCACTGATAGTTACTACCAATCATCAGTCACGATTGCGTGCCCGAAGGGATGTTTCGGTAAAGAAGTGTTGCAAATGTCACCTCCCATATATCGGTGTTATCATTGCCAAGCCCAAAACGCCAGAATCCTGCCCAACCGTGAATGCAATACAAGAGCTCTCCAGAGGTTGAAACTATCTTATCCGTAGCCCTCAATATGTCTGCCAATGAACCAACATCTTGTGAAAGATTCCCCTTACTCCTGAGCCCTGACATATCCCCGCCGGCTTCGGTTATCCATATTCATCGCTTTCCGATGCAAGCCGTTGACAAAGCCTCGATCTCCTCCTCGTTCTCGCGCCTTGTCGTCGGCTTCTCGGGCCGCACGCTCGCGATCCGCCAAAGCTGCCAGCCGAGCCTCTCGGTCGCGGTCAAGGTCGGAGGCAGCCGACTGCATGGCGGCCAATTTCCGTGCCTGCTCAACCGCTCTCTCTTCGTTTTGGCCAGCATCATCGCGCTCTTTGTGGGGACCGGGGGAGCGTTTGCGCGGGCGCTCTTCTCTGCTGTTGTAATCGATATGTCGGTGGCGACGGTCGTCTCGGTCTCGATATGAATCTTGTCGGTGCGATCTTGAATCACGCTCACGTGAATCGTCTCTTCGGCGACTTGAGCCGTGCTCCCTTTCTTGAGAGTAATCGCGTCGTCGGTCTCGGTGACTGCGACGGCCTTCTCCAGAGTCGGAGTCGGAGTCGTCTCGGTGATGTCGGTGATGCCGTCTGCGCGGGCTGCGAGATCTGGAATCAGAGCGATGACGCCGTGAGTGGCGCTCGTCGTCGCGATCTCTGCTCCTGTGCCTGCGATGCCTCCGCGAGTGCCCGTCGCTGTGTCTATCCTTCTTCTTGCCGTCGTCGATGCCCATAGAGGAAAGGAGCTGGCGCCGTCGGATAGGGTCGTTCATCATGGCCTCGTACGCGGCCTGTTCCTGGCGCTTGATGGCCAGCAGGGGATCCTCGCGGATCTTGGCCGCCGTGTCGCGCGCACTGTTGGCATTCTGCAGCGCGATGAAGCTGTCCTGCCCGGCGGCCTTTTCGAGCTTCTTGTGCTCGTTGCCCTTGATCAAATTGTCGATCCTCCGCTTGCCCAGCAGGTAAGCCTCTGTTTCTTCCGTTGTTCCAGCCTGGCCATCAGTAGGCCCCTGGTACATCCAGTCGACGCGATCCACCCGCTTGGTGCCGCCAGCGGCTTCCAGCTGTCTCTGAATCTCCTCCTTTGCGCGCTCCTCTTTGATCTCGTTGATGCGCTGCTGGGTTCGTTTGCGCTCGGCGAGGGCCTTCTGCTCTTCATCGTAGACGGCCTGCTGGTTCCGCCGCAGACCGGGATGGAACGACTTTTTCAAGTTGAGATCGCCGCCACCCATGATTGCGGCTCGTCAGATCGTCGACTGTAATCTCGGGTAGAAATAGACTCTTCAACGCAAATCGTGGGATCGCAAGATTCTTGTCTGAAGAAAGTTTAAGACGGCGAATGTGAAGAAGTGTGTCGCAAGATGCAGGATCATCAAAACAAACCGAAGGCGACACTGCCTGGCGGCGAAGTGGGGAGCGCCACATTTCAGCCTCCAATGATTAGGTAAGCATACCTGTTCCCACAACTCACATGTCTGCACGATCTTCCCAGGAACTTGATATTCTGTAGGCAGGCATCGACAGAGATTCTTCGGCTGCTGCCAAATTGCTTTTAGAACTGGTATGGATGAGTCCCTTGAAAGAATTACAATACGCTCTTCCCAGGTACAAGCCCAGATCGAACGCTCATAATCACCGCTGCGTCACGGGAATTCTGCGGACCGCATAGTTGCAGTTAAGAAATCCAGGGTAGACTCCGTCTTGGTCATCTACCTAGCTCCTTGGCTCAATGGCATCTGGCACCTCGGCAGTAGCAATGTGCATTTTGATGGCTTAATATGAGTGGCCATCTATAACTCCGACCGGATGCTTGGGGTACCTGGGGAGGTAGCTCATGTGGCGTTGTAGATGCCGCGGAGAACATCTCTGTCGTGCAAGAAAAGAGTACGGCCCTTTCAGCATATACAGGGGCAACCGAAAACAGCGCACCGATAGAGACTGGAAAGACCGTTGTGGAATTCTTTTTCTGCCCTTCTTTGAAATATTTGTCTACCAAGAACCCGCAAAAAGAGTCGATCATATTGTACACATACAAGTTTATATACAGAGGGATTGCATAATCATGATTTGAGTCGTAAAAAGGCACCACATTCTACCAGCTCGCCCTCTTCACGCCGGGGAGATTTCCTGCCAGGGCCTCCATTCGGAAATTGAACTGCCAGACAAAACAAACCACAGTGTCAGCTTATGTTATCGAGCCAAGTCGGGTTCGGGGGAAAAGAGATAAAAAACGCACTCTGGTCATCTTGAACGCCCTCAGCACACCGCGTCCCTGGCCTCCCATGATGCAGCGGTTCCGAATCTGCGTAGGTCGGGTGTAGCAGTGCATCTGCGAGAGCTGCAGCTGGGCCGTGGCTCGCACTCGGGGCGGCAGAGTCGTGTTCCGGATCACGTATCGGAGAGCTTGTCTAAAAATAGCAAAGAAGGACGATCAGCACAAATCTCTTCAGATTGCAAGCATAGAGTCGAATCAAAAGAGCTACCTCTCCGTCTCGTGCTCCTCAAAAACCTTGCGCTTGGTGTGGTCGCGAATGGTGCGGGCCTTGACGAAGCACCCCAGGTCGAGCTTCTTCGCCCGGAACATGGACATGGCGGGCAATGGTTCTGCGCGATGCGGGCGAGCGGCGGCCGAACCGTTTCTTCGTCTCGTTTCTTCGGTTTCGTCGTTAATTGGCGATGGAGATATTGGAATCTCGGGATCTGGTCAAAGTTTGATGACGCCAAGCTGTGGCAGCGTTTAGCCGGCGAATTGCCGATATTTTCGGCATCGCAATCTCGACAGCCAAAAACGCCAGTACCTCTTCGTACCCAACTGTACCTACCTACCTACAAGCCACAAACACTTCGGCTTGTCGCTTTCACCTTCACATGGGGCGCCTTTGAGAAAGATATCTCCCAATTCTGCCGTGGCTCGTTTCTTTGCTCTGCTCCCTCTAGATTTCTGTTTCTGTGTCGTTGCCCACTATCTTGTTGCTCATTTGCCGATTCGGATCATCGGCTGCTGGACGGAGTACAGAAGTATCTCTTTGCGGACGCCGACCTTGGACAACCATCCGAGCTGCCTGAGAGACTCCATAAAAGTGCCTATTAATGGATGCGTCTCTGTCCAGGGGCCATGGAATCTATTCGTACGACACTGACTCCAGCTACGTAGAGCTACTACGACAAGAAGAGCAACTCTGGACGTGGTAGCTGCCGATCCAACCGTTGACAGCTTCTTTCTTGGGCATTTTTGCGGAGGCGCAGTGCCAATGCTGGTTTGATTGCGACTGGATAACCCGGCATCAACAAGGCAGAGAGCCAAATCGCATCCATGCCCTCTTGCTCCCATTCGGCGAACTAGGTGGGCGGCCGAGAGGTTCTAAGAAGCCCCAAGAGGCCCCGAGAGCCCTCGCAACTCCCTGACCTAGAGCAAGAGTCGACGTGACTGTTTCAAGCCGCTGGATCTCCCGTGGCTCGCGCATGCACGCCGCATGTACCCAATACCTGCGCGGCGTTCGATTGGAGCCGGCAAAGCAATTAAGATTGACTGATCCCTGGAGGAGAGACGCGAACTTGAACGTGAATGGAGGCAAAAACGCTCGAGAAGGCTGCATGTCCGTCGTGTGGCGTGGTATTCCCGGCGTATTGGCTACCTGCCTGCCCCATACTGTCAGCAGCACGGGCACACGTACCAGGTACGAGCGACCACCATCAATGCGTTGCGCGGCCCCATCTTTCAGGGGAAATAAGCCCCAGCGACTTATGCCGGCTCGGGCCTAGCGGGCTCGGCGCGCTGTGCCGGATCGGTGCCTGGCGCGGTTCTGTTTCTTGTTTGTTCTTTGTTCTTTTTGTTCCTTTCCCGCCATCACAGCATCAAGCCTCCATCGGCATGACCAAGCTCACTCGAGTGCCGTTATCCAGGTACCTAGTCAAGTGCTCCTGGTGCTAAGGTGCTTACTGCATTGTGAGCATTATGACTACCTAGCACCAGATCCAGAACATCGCTGCAGCGGCCCCTGCGTCTGCATCGCGGCCAAGGCGTGTCACTGCTGCTTGCGGACCTGCATTAGCTGTTCCATGTGCGTCCGTTCGTTCAACCCGACGTCCATGGAATCCATTCCAGCTGCTGGCCATCACCTCACCCAATGGAACTGTACCTCCTCCAGGATACCTGAGCTTCTGGGGGGCTTCCCGGGGTGCCTCTGCTGGTTCCTCTGGGCGTATCAGGCGCTGCAGGCCGCTGGAAATTACCACCAACCCGGCCCCCCCCCAGCACCTCCAGTGCTCCAAGGCGCCTGGAGAGCAGAACCTCCTCGCCCCAGGACCCCCCGGGGACCCGCCAAAGTAGACGGTACCTGCAGCGCTGCCCCCCGGCCAAGCAAGGCCTCGTACCCCTTACACAGGCCTCGGCGGACCCCTCGGGGCTTGTCTGCATCAAACCAACTTGAACCTGGAGCCCCTAATCTGCAATCTCCAATCTGCAATCTCTCTTGTCGTCTGCTTCTGCTTCTTTTCTTTTCCGTCCCTTTTCCTTCTTCTGCTTTCTCCTCGTCGCGATTCTATCCTTATCTGCTCACCTCCGTCCTTCCTTGAAAAAACTCTGCAACAAGAGACCTTCGGCATCGTGTTCAGGGGCCCTCCCGTCTCTGCGCTCGCTGTGAGAACCTCGTCTCGTCCTCTCTCTGACACCTACTGTACGGACCGTCGCATCTTCGCCGCTCATTCTCTCCGGTGACAGTTGCTTCATCCGCTGCCTCGAAAGGGATTCAGCAGCAATCATTATCTGATCCCACCAAGACACTCCCTTCGGAAAGAACATCCGGCTTCTCTTCTCTGCAGGGCCAGAGGAAGCGCATCACACTCACTCATAATACTACAACACACGATACGCTGTTGATACGTCGACGTCTTCGACACTCGCGCATCGACAAGCATTGCCATTTTAGCCTTTGATACCCACGCCTGTTGTGTGTTTCAGCGGTTCTTTTTCTGTCCTATAATACCCATTCATTCTCTTGCGAAGCTCAACCTACACACGCCTCAAAATGCGATACTTGCGCGGTCTCCTTGCGGCCGCCCCCCTGCTGGGCCTGGTCTCTGCCCAGGTGTCGACAAGCTGTAACCCGCTGAACTCGACCGACTGTCCCACGGATCCCGGCTTCAACACCGACTATACCTTCAACTTCAACACCACGCCGTCGTACGAGCTGTGGGAGACCACTGCTGGGTCTGTGTCGTACGATCCCGAGACCGGCGCCGCCTTCACCATCAACAAGCAGGGCGACTCGCCCACCATTCGGACCCTCTTCTACTTCTTCTTCGGCCGTGTCGAGCTCTTTCTCAAGTGCGCTCCCGGCGTCGGCATCGTCAGCTCTGCCATGTGGCTGAGTGACGATCTGGACGAGGTCGACTGGGAGTTCCTGGGCGTCAACAACACCGCTGCCTCGACCAACTACTTCGGCAAGGGTCTCCAGGACTACCACAACGCCGGCATCTACACCACGGCCGACAACCAGGCCGACTACCTCAACTACACCACCGTCTGGACCAAGGAGGGCATCGACTGGTACATTGACGGCAAGCACGTGCGCAACCTGACCCCTGATGCTGCCAACAAGACCCGAAACTACCCCCAGACGCCTATGAGGCTCTCGCTCGGTATCTGGGCTGGCGGTGACCCGACTCTGCCGGAGGGCACGCGTGAGTGGGCTGGTGGTGACACCGACTACAGCAAGGGTCCCTTCACCATGTACGTCAAGAGTGTCCGCATCACCGACTTTGGCGGTGGTTCAGAGTACGCCTACGGTGATACTTCTGGCTCCTGGGAGAGCATCAAGGTCACTGGGTAAGTCTATGTTGCAGAATTGATGGTATCGTGAGATTTGAAAGTACTGACGTGGCCAACCAGCGGAAACTCGACCTTCTACGAGGCTCTTCACCGGGCACCCAAGCTGAGCACGAGCCAGAAGTGGAACAACCTGCCCGCCGGAGCCCGCATCGCCGTCTATGCGGTCGCCGCGGCCCTTGGTGCTGGCCTGATCGGAGCTGCGATCTGGTACTGCATCCGCCAGCGCCAGTCGGGAGCCCGCGAAGCTCGCTTGGCCACCGAAATGGAGAAGATGGACCGTATGGAACTCGACAAGCTGAAGCGCGAAGGCGTTGACCCGGACGCGTATACTGACTACGACTCTCGCAGTATGAGAAAAGAAGGCGTCGTCACAACTGATGCGCCCCCGGTCAACGTCAGCCCTCTCGACAGCAAAGGCTGGACCGCCGTCAATATTGAATCGCCCATGGCGTCGCCCGCCCCGTTCCTCAACCCGGGAGCCGGTGATGCCCCCGGTAGCCCCGGATCCCCTGCCCCGTCACATCCCGGCCCTAACCGGGGCTCCAGCACAGCTCCCATCCGGACCTTTAGCGCCAGCCGCACGGGTTACCAAGGGATCCCCGGCGGAGAAGTCTAGATGCTGGCTGTTACATGTACATACACGGGAAGACAAGGGATTCCAGCACAGACGTCATGAAGTTTCAAGAAAAGACAAAAAAGAAAGCGGTGATTTGCTATACATGCTACTTTTTTTGCGGTTTTGATACGCTCGAAAGAGGGAATTACATATATAATGGGGGCCATGCAGCGCGTGAGGACGAGACCTTTTCTCTTGCAAGTCTCTCTGTCTCAAGGGAAATCTTTCAATGACTTGTTCCTTCGTGTTTTGACTTTTACTGCCTCCAGACCTATGGATGGCGTTATGGTGTTGAGCTAGAAAGGGGATGTATGGCTTTATGGACACTTTTTTTTTACAGATATATATATTACTTTTGAATGCACACTGCCTATGGCTCTTTATAGAAATTGCTCGTATGTCGCTTGCTTTGTAAGGATGCTATAAGCTGAAATTACAACAATGCTAAAGTCCTATTTGTCTTCAATGACGGTATAGGATGAGATATTAATACTGGACACATTCGATGGCTGTCTTAATTTCAGATCCACTGACTCAGGCCACTCATCTCACAACACGGCCCTATGAGCCACGATGAAGTGATCATTGCTGTCTGATTATTCAACAATACTAGGTAGGTATACGTATGTACAATCCCAAGTCCCTTTAACCAACATTATCACATTCTATCCAATCTCATAAACTCCGTTACGCGCAAGTCAGGCCCTATCCCTCTAGCAAGTAACCTTGCTCAGCTTGAACCCACCAGGCATCAACTTCTGGAACACCCCCTCCGGATCATATTTTGCCGCAGCAGCCTTCAGGAACTTGACGCTCTCGGCGCCATATCCACAGAGCGGGTTCTGCGTGGGAGAGGCATAGTTTATGTACAGGAAAGGGTGGTACGTTCCGTGAGCTTTGGCGACGGTCTCGGTGGCGGTGACGAACTTGTCGCGAGCGTCATACATCATCTGGTCGAGGGAGGGATCGGTCCAGCGGGAAGTGAGCCAGACAACTAAGGGCGGTTAGTATCAGTATTTCATCTCTTGTGGACGGTGAAGAGAAGAGAACGTAAGATGGCGTACCAATCTGGTCAGGGGCATCGGTCAGCCCAAGGCTGTTGCCGCCGTTTTTCGCAGCAAAAGTCTGCTGGACCTGGGGTTGGGGGATAAACGAGATCATCCAGTCGACCTGGTCCTTCTGGGGGAGGTCGTTGTAGATGGCGTCTGTCGCGTCCCAGATCTCACGGACGGTGGCGTAGTCGTTTGTGAAGGTGATGCTGGAGGTAACTTGCCTGTATAAGACGGTTAGCGATGCTTCAGTTATAACAATATTTATGATATTTCGAGACGCACCGGTATCCCTTGGCCTGGAACTCGCTGACCTTGTGCACAAAGTCGGCAAGCTTGATGGGCCCGACCTCGTTCTTCACCTGATTGGGCATGTTCATGAACGCCTCTACAGAAGGCGGATTCTCCTGCCCAATCGTGTTGCCAAACGCCGCGTTGACAATCTGGCCCTGGCCACCAGCCAGATACACCGTCATCAGCTGCACGGCCGTGTCCGTGTCGAGGTGGTTGTTGGCCGTGAAGTCGACAATGGCCTGGCTCATCTGGTCCTGCACCTGCGAGTACGTGGCCTGCGGCCCATTGAGGCTCACAAAGACCTCGCCTCCCCAGAGCCCGTCAAAGTCAAAGGCCTCGAGCTTAAGGTGCGTCACGATGCCGAAGTTTGTGTTTCCGCCCTTGAGCGCCTTGAACAGATCTGGGTTGCTCGTGGTGTTGGCATGGACAATCTCGCCCGAGCCCAGAACGACCTCGTAGTCGATGATGTTGTCAATGGCCCAGCCGCGCTTGGGCTGGAACAGCGACTGGCCGCCGCCAAGGCTGACGCCGCCGGCGCTCACGTCCTCGCAGATGCCGCCCGTGAAGCCGATGTTGCTGCTGTTGAAGGCGTCGTAGGCCTCGCCCCACGTGATGCCCGCGCCGATGCTGACGTACGAACGGTCGTCCGCCAACGCAGTCGAGTTGAGGTATGTGAGGTCGATGGAGACGCCGCCGTCAATGCTGTTGGCGCCCGGGTTGGCGTTGTGGCCGCCTCCCCTGACGGCAAACTGGCACTGGTTCTTAGAGATGATCTTGATGGCCTTGGAGACATCGGTGGCGGACTTGGGGGCCACAACACAGCCTGGGTGTAGGACTGAGGTGCCTGACCACCGAGCGTTGATCAAGGTGTTGTAGGCGGTACTGTTGGGAGCGTGAAATGTGCCCGGAAGAGACTGGGCCAACTCACTACACTGTGGTAGGAGGGCAACGGGACATTAGTGACATTGACCCCTTTGTTTGAGATGGCGCTGATCAAGTGTGTTGAGAGGACTCACGCAAAGAGCTTCTGCACGCGTAACTGAGGGTACAGCCTCGACATATCCGGCCAGGGCCAGCGTCGAGGCAGCAATGAGAGTGTTCTTCATCTTTGGGGAACGGAGTCTCTGTGTCGAATCAACCAAGACTTTCCTATTCGCGACTGCAGAGTAGGAATCGAAGCTTGAAATGTTCCTCTGCTTCTTCCTTCTTTCCATCATCGTCCGGGGAACCACGTGTAGTTATTATACATGTTCCATCGACAGGTATCAAGCACGGCTGCTTGGCTGTCAAAGTCCCACTCCCACCCTCTTCACTGGCCTTGAGATACAAGCCACTGTGATTCTGGGCACGAATATCACGTACTCGTACAACCAACCCGAGAATAAGGACCAGGCAAGGTATGGCACAAGGGCAGGATTCCTCCCCGGTCCCTACACCGTGACACCAGAAGGGAAACTCCAAAAGCAAAAAGTGGGAAGAGCCGGCGAGACCGCGCAATACTGCTGTTGTCGTGGTTCCCCTTCCTGCTGGGGCTCAACCTCTTCGGCCCTCAGTCAAAAGCCACAAGTTTCATATTTACATAGCCTTGTCGGCGGTTTCTTGCTGACCGCCGACTTCGTGTATTGTGGAACGTAACCCAACAGCTCTACTTCCTTCAATAGTCAGGCTGCTTATTAGTCCCACCCTGTCTCAAATAGGCACCTGGTAACCTGCTTAGAGCAGGGATGTCCATGAAGCGATTGAGAAAAACCATGAATATATGCTTCATCCGTAGATTACAGACATCAGTTCTCAAACACATCGCGATTCGCCAGTCGATTCAACGGGAAGCCTCGAGGTAACCGGGGTGCAGACCCCAAGGCGCTACGAAGACACCTACCTATGCTGAGCGTGCATGACACTACGGGCCTGATGTCCAGCGAGTACTCAAGTATTGCTGCTACAGGTCTATCCCCGAGATCAACTGAGTACACCAGCGTATTATAAGTGGTGGGTAACACTCCTGAAACGGGCCGGTACTAGGATTTGCAGCAGTCAACGGAGGCACCAAGTAGGCAATTCATCTGATCTGCATGGGTTGGGAGGATGCAGTCGCGTATGTGCCGAATGGACCGTTACCGGTAGGTGATGTGACTACACGATACCGGTATATGAGGCTGCCTGTCGGCATACAAGGGTACTAAGCCATGTAGCATGCCGGAATCCGTTCTAGCCTGCTGATGAGTTCTTCCAGACCGAGGCAACGCGATAGCCGATGTTTGATTTGGCTGAGCAGAAAGGCTATGCATCTCGGTCACGCCGAGTACTGCGGCGGGCGTTATAAGATGAATCCAAGCATCGTTTAGAAAGAGAAGGCATACAAACTGGATACTGTTGGCCCCTAGACTAGTAGGTACTCGACTACATCGTGCACTGCTCTTTAGCACGCGGGGGCACCATACCGCTGTTGAAGATCCTGCAATATTCAATGTGCCTTTCCGCTGACATCTGTAAATGAGCGTCAGAGGATTTTCTGACCAAGGCTCCAGAGCCGAGCAGTTGCAGGATCGCGTTTTCGGCGGCGAGGTGTGCCGATCGGCTATTGCAGACATTGCCTATCCGTATGTACATATGTGCGGCCGTGATGAGGAGCATGCCCAGACGAGGTGAAGGAGCAGAAAATGTCTGTGCCCAGCCGGAGCAAAAAAGATGTGTCTGCAGGGATATGCACCCACTCTGCTGACAGGATCGCCCCTTTGGAGAGGCAAAAAGGATAGACCCGCTGGGAGATGTTCACCAACGGGACCTATTGCTTGACAGGGGACGGCTTTTCTACATTGGTTTTATTGGTAGGACAGATTGTCCGCTGATGCTGCTTGCATGTATATTGTTTAGTGACCTGAAGGATCGTAAAGCTGCCTCTGTTCGTAGTATATGCAGATTGTATGAAGAAGCCAGTGGGGTAGGACTTGTAATCCTGCAGAGGGAACATTTACATGGCCCGCCACTTCGAAAGTGCTTTGACAAAGGATCGCTGCTCAGTATACGTTGGGGGTTTACACACGAGACAGTTGCTCAACTTTGAGAGGCGTTGGGAAGCTTGAGGCGATGCGTTCATGCAACCTGGCAACCTATGTAAGCCTTACTCTTGCTTCTGTTGCGCTCCGATAGCCTCGGCAGGGCGGGGTGCAGGTGCCTGAATTGTCGTCCTCAACGCTTCAGCAAAGTCGAATTATTTTCCCCTGTGAGCGAATATCAGATGATGGAAGAATGAATTGGCGAACAGCTGGATATTGTGGCCTTCGCGTTTGGTCGTTGCTCGGCTAACTCGATTCTTGTGTTTACTTGCACCTCTGGTTGATGGTGTATTTACACCAAAGGTTTGCTTCGTTGCCGCTGACGTCATGCCGCGGGCACAGCTTCCGATTCGCCCATCTGGATGAATGATGATGCGTCGCCTCTGATCAGTTGCCCAAGTGAAGGCAGGAACCAGCTGTGACCATTTCGTGCAGGCATCACTTTGGAAATTGCATCATCAACACTCTGCACGTATAGAGGCATCACCGCAATCTTGTCCATTCCTCTTATCCCCCATCACCAACATCACAATATTGTGACGTACGCACATCCAAAACGCCATGGCTGCCAACGTTCCAGGCATCATTTGGAGCGCCCTCAGGGCACTCAACCTTAACGAGGTTGCCAGAGATGGTCCGAGCCGGCGGTCATCGAGTGCGTCCGACGACAGGCCTTACGAGCCCAGCCTTGTCGACATCGCTTTGGTCAAGGCAATGCTCATTCGGGCCAAGAAGCTGCCTCCTGATCTCGTCGATACCATATTGGACATGGCCGAGTACTGGGCTCACTCCACGACGCGGCTGGACGAACGCATCGGCATCCTTGGCGGCAACGAGGAGAGGGAAAACAGATTTCTGGCACGTATTCCTTCTTGCTTGCCTAAGTCAATCCACACACCCACCTGCGCTTATACATTCCTCAGCCTGTGCTTTTGCTATGACTAACCATGAGAGTTGCAGCTTCGGTCATATCCCCTCGGCCTGGTGGACGCCGGAACTCGCCAGAACGCAAATGATCAGCCATATGCCACCACCCTTCCGACGCCTCGGCCGCTAGGCAAGGCTCTCGACGCCAGCTACTTCGCCAAGTCAGCCGATTATCCTGTGCCACGCCTCACTCACCCCGCGCGAAAGGTCGTTTTTAAGATCAGAAGCCAAGACCAAGGATATGTGAGCAATCCAGAGGATGCCAAGGAGCCTTACTCCAAGTCATGGACCTGGTTTGACGTCGGTCTCGAGAGGTTTGATGCTGAAGGCGCAAGTGAGCAATTTTCCACGTTTCCTCGTCAGCACAGTGCTTTCATGAACTGAATCCGAGCTGACGATCAATGGCTATCAGGTGATGGATCCGTTCCTTCGATCAACTCGCTTCGGCCTGTGCAACCCCCCATCCGCCAGACGTCTACAGATCCAGATGGCTATAACTACACTCACCAGCTGCTGCACTCTCCCGAGTGGGAGATCCAGAGGAACCAGACGGCTTCCAAGAAGTGGCAAGATCACGTCATCACATGGTCCTACCTCGACGACATCGATCCCGACTCTGAGGCGGCAAAGGCTCTCGAGGAAAAGGGCAGGGGTCGCGCCACAGGAAATGGAAAGTTTGTGAGAGAGCTGCAGGTGGGTGATGTGATTACGGTCTGGGGCAAGGCTCGGTTCCCGGGCTGGTGCAACAGAGTCGAGTCTGTCCAGATTGATGTGTATTGGGCGGTGTGATGCTTTTCGGGTTGCGCGTGTTTGATATGTCATTCTCCTTTTGGCAGCATAACTCATGCTGAAGCTTGCACATGTGATCTGAGTAACGAGTGAGATGAGTGTGATTTCTGGGTGTTGGCACGTCTATCAATTCTCTATTATGAGACGTTCAAGAGAGAGAAATGAAGCATAAGAAAAATATCACAAGCTAGAATGAGAATGGATGAGAAAAGAGGAATATATACGATTCCAAGATGCGACGACGTTGCTCTGAATTGAATGCCACAATTCAGCGGTCGATAATGGTGAAATATCATGAAGTCGGACGTTGACGTCATTCAGGTGCATACGTGCAAGTGTTAGCATGAGTGAGCTGCCTAATCCTCTTCTACCTCTATTCAATTCATAGCCCAGAAACAAACATCACCACTTCACTCACGCCTCAATCCCTTCGACACCCGCACATGTTGCTCAGACAAGCAATAAGCAGATACAGGCTCGCCTCATCCGTGTCTTGTCGCCTTCATCACCGCACCATGGCCTCCTTCACAGCTACTCCACACAACATCCCCGTCCAGCTGCCAGACGGCCTCTCAGAAGACCAGCTCCGATCCTTCAAGCCATTCACCGTGGGTTGGCCGAGCTTGCTTCGTATTGTTCATGTCTGACCACCATGTACTAAGAAGAATCATGCACGCAGACCTGGCTTGACACCCTCACCAAATCTCTCGCGCTGCAGGCAGACAAGTCTCACCCGTTCCACCCCGATCCGTACGCCCTGCGCAGAGTAACCGTCCAGTCCTATGACCTCTTCGGATCAGGTCGCCTTGGCTTCGTCAAGCTCACAGCGGCCGTGTCGAACAAAGCGGGCGAGACACTCCCCGCGGCAGCTCTCCTGCGCGGGCCCAGCGTGGCCATGCTCGTCATGCTCGTGCCGGACGACGTTCCCCCGGATTCAGACGAGCGCTACGTCCTCCTGACGGTGCAGCCGCGCATCCCCGTCGGCAGCCTGAGCTTCGTCGAGCTGCCCGCCGGCATGGTGGACGGATCGGGCAACTTCAAGGGCGTGGCCGCGAAGGAGATTGAGGAGGAGCTCGGCATTACGATTCACCAGGACGAGCTGACGTGCCTTAGCGAGCTCGCAGCGGATGCATCTGGGCAGCAGCAACGGGCAACGGCGGCAGCTGGCCAGGGCGAGAACCTAGCGGCAGCCATGTATCCGAGCGCGGGCGGATGCGACGAGCACATCACCATCTACAGCTACGAGCAGCGCATTCCGAGGAGCCAACTGGGCGAGTGGGAAGGCCGGTTGACGGGCGAGCGCTCCCATGGTGAGAAAATCACGCTCAAGGTGGTTCCCATGCACAATCTGTGGAAGGAGGGCGCTCGAGATGCAAAGTGTCTCGCCGCGCTAGCGCTGTGGCAGGGTCTACGCCAGGAGAAGAAAGTGTAGATCGAGCGTCTGGGACCTCTTTGCCTTGCCTTTCACCCTGTTTAACCTTCTATCCTCTAATAGCATCCGTCTATCCGGTTCCATGGTCATTATAGCTTTAATCTCTGGGCCAGCAGGATACCCTCGGCAAACGTGCCTACTCGTGCATCAATCGCATATCCTTCCGCCTCCAATCTCTTGCATTCCTCCCATAGGTTCGCCAACGGCACGGTGAAGACTTCGATGAACTCGTTCTCTTCCAGCTCTGGCTTCAGGTCCTGGTTCTCCGGCAGATCCATATCGATCGTGACATGTACCATGCGCAGATTCGTGCTGCAAAATCCTGGGTCGTTGTACATGATGGGGGTTGTCTCCGACACAACACCGACGTAGCCCGTCTCCTCCTTGAGCTCGCGCACGGCAGCCTGCTCAGGGGTTTCGCCCTCGTCGATGAGTCCGGCGGGGACCTCGATCACGACCTTGTCAAGCGGCGGCCGGTACTGCTTCTGCAGGATGATCTCCTTGCCCGTGGGCTTGTCGAGGATGGCGACGATACCGACGCCATCAACGTCTGCGGTGGAGGGGCGAGTGCGTCGTTCGGCCGATTCCCAGGTTCGCTCGATGCCCTTGGGGTCTTTGTACGTGATGCTGAGAGATTGACGGATGAGTACGAAAAACGAGTGCGGCGAAGTAGTAGATCGGACACGCAACCGAAAGGGGTTGATAGGGGCCTGCTCGCATACCTATTCAGGGACACCCATCGCGAGTCCTCGTTGGCCTGCAGACAAATGGGAATCAGCAACGGGACGTTCTCCTCTTCCCCAAGGGGGCATACAAGCAGCGCATAATGGAGAGACCTACAAGTGGCGCTACTGAAAGCACTTTCGCATCGGTAAACGACATGGCGATACGCAATCGGCACGTGAAAGAGGCTGTTGGTGAAGAGGGCAAAAGGTGACACCAGTCAGCACAAGTACCGGTGGAGAGAGGTCAAGCCGATGGCGGGGTCGCTTACGGAGTGGCGCCCGAGTCAGTTACAGGCACTTTAGGCGTCCCAGGAACCGCTAGAGCCGCTGAGAAGAGTTGGAGGCTCCCGAGGACGATTGGGCCCACTGCGGCCCTGTGAACCGAACGAACCTTGAAACTCCAACCTCGAGATTTCAACTGTCGTTGTTCGCCAACAACCTCAGCGTTTGCTAATCTCGGCCTTCAAGAGCTTCGCCATGACGACACTCAGTGGTGCCATGACGGCATTCCATTCCTGCGCAAAATGCTACAGGTCGATCTTCTAAAACTCTGTCTATAGCGTCGGGCAACCTCGTCAGCGCGGGTACCTCAGCCATTGGCTCGAGCATCGATCGATTGACCAGTTCGGTGATAGGCCGTCAGCAACCTGGAATTGGGTTTGACTAGGCGAACGAACGGGAATCATTGGCGATGGAATCAAAAGCTTGTCAAATTGCCATCGGATGGGCTTTTACTATCATGGTTTCGAGCATGGTATTTGACCAATGCCTGGGTGCTCTCTCGTCTATCATCGCGTTGCTTGGGTCTCTGGCAGCATCGAATACAGTATCTATTCTCCAGGACAAGCACAGCACGATATAGGGGAAATGACCCCCACCCCGCTGAAGCCATCACCGTCGTGATGGAATCCGATACGATGGACACGATGACTGCTTGCGCGTCTCCGGATACTGTACCCCACCGTAAAAAGTTCCTGGGACTACCGGTTGGCGTCTCCGAACCTTATCTCAGAGGTTCTCCGGGGTGTGAATGTGAAATTGGACTTGAAATCGCGGCTGTTTGGTCCTTGTTTCGTACGCAGGCGACGTGGTGTTGCATCTGATGTCGTCACCTTCAAGATGGGGGATGGCCATGGAACTGCACTCCTTCAGGTTTAAATCATTGTATCCCATCGCTACCATCACCTTCATCCAGATCGGACGCAGCACGACACAACACAAGCTTTTGGGGCCATAGCCAGCCATGACACGGTACGACGGCACCGAGGCCGCAGACGCCGAGCCCTCCGGTAGGGGCACTGATATCGAGGCCAATCACCGTCACCATCGCCTCGATCGATATGACGACTATGAAGCCGACGAGACCACGGCGCTGCTACAAACCTCACCTCTGGCAGGTGATGTTGTCGTGCCGTCCAGGTCGTTCCGCCGCTTCGTGCTGGGAATGTGCATGCTGTTTCTCTTCATTATCGAGGCCAGCCAGTTCATCCTCACGCCGGCCATGGAGCAGATAATGGAGGACATCATCTGTCGGAACTATCACCCGGACCACGCTTTGGCTGTGCCGGGCGCTCATGACAATCGCTGCAAGGAGACGGAGGTTCAGAAGAGGCTGGCCATGGTGCGGTCCTGGTCCATGTCCCTGGAGATGATGTTTCGTAAGCCCCCTTGATAGGATTGCTTTCACAGGACAATGTCGTGCTGACCATATCACAAACAGCCATTTTTGTCCAGATCTCCTTCGGTGTCGTTGCCGACAAGTATGGTCGCCGTCTCGTCATCTTCCTCGCTCTCTTTGGGGCCTCCCTCCAGCAAGCTTGGACAATGATTGTTTGTAGGTTCCCTGGCGTGCGTCTATTTCTTCAACTACTCGTCGCTGATCACTTGCCCAGTGCTCTTACCCGATACGTTCTCTATCTGGAGCATTCTCTACGGCAATGTCTTCTATCTCATCGGTGGCGGTGGCCAGATGGTGGTTGCCATGCTCTGGACCATCGTTGCTGACGTCGTCCCTGTCGCTGAGAGAACCAGCGTCTTCTACCGCATCTACGCCATGAACCTTCTCATCTCCGTCGCCATCAATCCCCTCGCCGGATGGCTTCTCAGCATTGATCCTTGGCTTGCCGCATGGGTCGGCTGCGGCGTGCTGGCCGTGGGCATTCTGTCGTCGGCTCTCATTCCAGAGACGTTGAAGCTTCGCCAAGAAGCTGACAAGAAGCGCCTCGGCCACCACGACACCCTTTCTCCCCCCACTGACAGCGAGTTCGAGGAGGAGCCGAGAAAGATGCCTGGTGTGAAGGAACTGGCGCGCCGTGCGTGGCTCTCCACCAAGAATGATGTGTCCCACGTGTGGCGCTTCATCTTCACCTCCAAGACCGTTGTGCTGCTGCTGCTGGCGTATGGGCCGTTTTATCTCATCCGATTGGCCTTTGTTCTCGACATTTTGCAGTACATGACGCGCCGCTTCAACTGGGAGTGGTCAACGGTACGAGAAGCCCATCTTCACCTTTCGAAATAAGATCATTACTGACACTCAAACAACAGGCAACCTATGTCAACACAGTCAGTAGCCTAACGGCTGTCTTTACCTTGCTAGTGGTGTTGCCGATATCATCCACCATTTTAACCAAGAGATTTGGCTATGGCCCCATCAGCCGAGATCTTTTTCTGGCTCGCGCCTCCATTATCGTCTTCATCATGGGAAGCATCCTCACCGCCCTGGCCGACGTGCCGTGGCTGTTCATCTGCTCCATGGTTATCTCCAACCTCGGGTGGGGCGTCACTTCTCTCTGCCGAGCACTGCTCAATGCAGTCGTTGAACCTCATACCATTGCCACTCTAAACACCACCATGTCCACCATGGAGACACTCACGGGATTCCTTGGCTCGCCGGTCATGGGATGGCTTCTGAGCCGTGGCATGGAGCTTGGTGGAATGTGGATGGGCTTGCCGTATATTGCGACGACGGCGCTTGGGTTTGGGGTGATGGTGGCCATTTTTGCTGTTAGAATTCGCCCTGGCACTGCCCAGAGCTTTAGATCATGAACCTTTAGAAGACTAGACTTGTATAAAGAAGAAGAGAATCGGAAGGAAGCGCAGGACGTGAGAGGCAAACGGGGATAGATGGTATGAGAGAGGGACTGGCATAGCATCAAGGCGTTGGTTGGATCTTTGGGACTTTCTTTCGACTGTAATAATAATACCATTGAATTGATGATATGATCATTTAATGTTCCTTTCTTGGAATAATCATAGTTGACATTGGTTGGTACACATCTCTCAATCATTCAGGACGAATAAGGTTGAAGCGTAGGTACACGCAGTATTACGCAAGTCCTTATCGATAAGCCCCGCGAGCTGTCACCTCGACACCACACAGCTCCACCATCTCGAGTTGCAGCACTGCGAACAAACAAACAACGAACGAACATCACACGTAAACCCACGAATCCATCGACCCCTCGTCTCTCCAGCGCCTCCATTTGACCATCTGCATCTTCACTCTTAGCACTGTTTTTCGCACAAAGCCGAGCCAAGATGTCCGATGACGAGGACTTTATGCAGGAGTCGGACGAAGAACAGTCGGTGCTGCCTCTGAGATTTGAGCTGAGAGCTGCTGCTGCCTGAGAGTTCGCGCGCTGACGCCTTTCCTGCAGATACGACTTCGAGTACGAAGAGGATGACGAAGAGGAGGCGGGCGACGTGGACATCGAGAACAAGTACTACAATGCGAAGCAGCTGAAGCTGAGCGACCCCGAGGAGGCGATTGCCGAATTCCTGGGGATACCGCCGCTGGAGCTGGAGAAGGGGGAATGGGGTTTCAAGGGCTTGAAGCAGGCGATTAAGCTGGAGTTCAAACTGGGGAAGTACGACGATGTAAGCAATGAGGATCGATGCGATTGCCTTTCGCTCGTACCATTCAGTTCGCATGGTCCAGGTACTGACAATGGTAGGCCGCGGATCACTTCGCCGAGCTGCTCACATACGTCAAGTCAGCTGTGACGAGGAACTACTCGGAAAAGTCCATCAACAACATGCTCGACTACATCGAAAAGGGCGCCGACGAATCAGCGGCCGTCCACAGCATGGAGAAGTTCTACTCGCTGACCCTTCAGAGTTTCCAAAGCACGAATAACGAGCGGCTATGGCTCAAGACGAACATCAAGCTGGCCAAGCTCCTGCTGGACCGCAAGGAGTACGCAGCTGTCTCCAAGAAGCTCAGGGAGCTGCATCGGGCCTGTCAGCGCGAGGACGGTACGGATGACCCCGGCAAGGGAACGTACGCCCTCGAGATCTACGCACTGGAGATTCAGATGCTGGCTGAAACTAGGAACAACAAGCAGCTCAAGACTCTCTACAACCGGGCGCTCAAGGTTAAATCGGCGGTGCCGCATCCGCGTATCATGGGCATCATCCGCGAGTGCGGCGGCAAGATGCACATGAGCGAGGAGAACTGGAAGGAGGCCCAGAGTGACTTTTTCGAGTCGTTCCGCAACTACGACGAGGCTGGATCGCTGCAGCGTATTCAGGTCCTCAAGTATCTGCTGCTCACGACGATGCTGACCAAGTCCAACATCAACCCGTTCGATTCGCAGGAGACGAAGCCCTACAAGACGGATCCTCGCATCTCTGCCATGACCGAGCTCGTCGATGCCTACCAGCGGAACGACGTACACGCGTACGAACAGGCGCTGCGAAACAACAGCGACATGCTGGCAGATCCCTTCATCGCCGAGAACATTGACGAGGTGACGCGCAACATGCGGACAAAGGGCGTGCTCAAACTCATTGCGCCATACACGCGGATGAAGCTCTCGTGGATCGCCAGCCAGCTGCGGATATCAGAACCTGAGGTGCAGGACATTCTCAGCTTCCTCATCATCGACGGCAAGATTAAAGGATCGGTCGACCAGCAGGCCGGCATTCTGGAGATCACATCGGATGCCGACCTCGGTCGGATCCAGGCGTTGGAAGGGCTAACGTCGTCGATTAATGAACTCTTTGCGGCCATTTTCAGAGACGGTGAGGGCTACAGGAACGAGCACTCGTCGTATGAGGATGGAGTGCCGGACCTGGATGTCCAGGCCCTGACCGCGCTCGCCAAGGCTGGGTCACGGCAGGGACGC